ATGGTTTTATCAAACTCTAACAAATGAGGCACTGGTTGTCGACTGCTGCATGGGATTTCTTGGAAAGGTTAGTCTCCTTTGGAGAGGGGAAGGTATGCATGGTGTTCAGACCCAGTTCAAACTGCTGACAGAAGGGAGACTGAGATGAGCTCTTAGGCAGAAGCTCTTTCCTGTGAGGGTGCTGAGGCGCTGGCACAGGGTGCCCAGAGAAGCTGTGGCTGCCCCATCCCTGGCAGTATTCCAAGGCCAGGTTGGACACAGGGGCTTGGAGCAAGCTGCTCCAGTGGAAGGGGTCCCTGCCCGTGGCAGGGGGTTGGAATTGGATGAGGTTTAAGCTCCCTTCCAAACCATTCCATGATTCTATACCTCTAAGAGAAGCTCTCATTTTGAGCAGCACAAACATAACTGACATTTCCACCAACTGTTTTCTAAAACCCTAATATAAAGATTTCTTTTTACTGTTAAGCCACATGCTTACTACCAAGACAAGAAAAAACCAAAGCAACCCCCACTTGCAGCCTGTTTGTGAAAGATGCTGCTGTGGTACTTTATCTGTGCTGCAACCAAGCTCTTGTCAGCAGTAACTCTCAGTCCAGCTTTTCACTGGTACGTGTTAACACTGATATTACAGGGTGCCTCATAAATAACTGTGCCAGCAAGACAGACACTGGGGAGGGAACCTGCTTTCCACTTGTCTTTCACCCTGTTGCCCCAGATAATGGATTTAGAAACTACAGTAAATATGCAGACTGTAATCTAGTACAGTTCTTTCCCCTTCCTCCACCCCACTTTCTTGGAAGGACATGCTCTTTCTCTCTGAGCTTTCCTCTGCTGCCTGTGGGTGTGCATTAGGATGTAGGCACTGAAGCAGATTCTTGGATCTGGTTACAAAACTAATGCAAAGAGCTGCCAAAAACCCAGGGCATCAATAAGTGAAACTCCCAGCTCCAGTTCTGCTGCACTTCATTCCATTTTACATCAGCTTCTGCATCAGCAAAGGTGAGACAATGGTGGCCAGGGTTTGGTAGATCCTGAGTTATGCATGTGTGGAGTCATACTCAGAGGTAAGACACCCCATCTATTCCCACTGTACAATGCCGGGTGACTACCATGGGCTGTGCTGCACTAGAGCACTGCTCAGCCCTACTCCCATTCCAGTAACCATCAACCACTAGCTTTCACACTCTCCTACTTCCTCGACAACTTTTGCTGAACCATTTACAGTTCGATTTGCAAATGCTCCTTTTTTAGGTTTTGTTCTGACCCACACTTAGAGTAGTTTCCATGCAATTTATTTTTGTTACCCCTATATCAATTCCAAACTTGTCTCGCTAAACTCCACAACTCCTTGCTTATTACAAGCATGCTAATTGCAGGCTGCGTGATACAGCTGACAGAGGCAGTTCCATCATGATAGTCACATTTCCTTCCCCTGTCCCAAAGCACCTCATCTGTCCTGTCCTCTCTGCTGATGCTGAGCTCAGGAAGCGATGGAAAGCCACAACACTTTCTCCCTTGGACAGAATGAGGTTTATAGCCTGGTTCCACTGGCAGTGGCATGAAGAAAGTGTTCCTGTACAACACAGACCACCCAGCACTATCATACTGCACCTCAAAAGCCTTTTCAGTGCTTGCTGGTCAAGAGCTTCAGCATATTCCACCTGGCTGTGAAAGGAAATGAATTACTGCCAGAGCGGTGGGTTTCTTCATCACATATTTTCCTCCTACACCAGGCTCAACTATTCATAAGATGCTAAAAAAAATCTGTGCCAATAAAGTAACTAACCCAAAGTTCACTGTCTTCCTTTCTAACCAAATTCAATAAATGAATTTTTCTTTAGGTACGGTGGAGATGAAGGATTTTCTCTCTCAGTCTGCAGCCAAGCACCAGATGTGTCTTCCTCTGGAAGCTGGTTTCACATGGTGGCTTAGATTTTCCCACTTTGTATCTAGCACCATTTGAAATCAGTGTTCTAGGAGCAAGAATTACAGCGTGGGAAGAGAGCAAGCAGCTGCTGAATGCACCAATAGCCTCTACTCCTTAAACCAGCACTTTTCCCACTGGTTATTTTTTTGCCAGCCATCCACTCTGTAACATCATCTGACTTCTAGACATTCATACAAGCACTGTATGCACCCTCTCAAGCTAGGGCCGCCACAGAACAGCTGCCTTCCAATGTATTTCTACTTAATAAACAATGGATATGATTCAAGTTGTCCAGAGTAAAGTGATCCAAAAGTTGTATCAAAACCAATGTAGTACTTCCTGCACCTTCACAGGCAGAGTGTGTTTCCTTTATTATACAGTCACTCGGATCCTAACATTTACTTAAAGCCAATGTATTTCCACTCTGTGCCTGGGGACTCTGTGGCCATAGAATTTATCATTCCATAGCTCCCTGAGACTTGCAAACAGAACCTGAAGTCACCAGTTAAACACAAAAGTGCCTTCAGCAATCATGCTGCTGTCACACTGGTACCCACAGAATCTACTCAAAGTTTATGACTGGTAACTTGTAGTAATGTTTCTGTTGTCTTCTATCCCCTTGCATCCAAACCACTAAAATGAAGCTAAACTATTTCTTGTTCCACCTCACCACTGTCAAACATTCTACACAGAACAGATGATCGCTGTGTGGACGAAGCGTTTGATCAGAGCACTGAATAGCCAACTTTAAAGAACATGTAGCTGTCATCTACAAGAGGATCCTTCTCTGAGCCAGGAAAATGTCTCTTACACAGGCTGACCGATTTCTCTTGGTGTTCAGAGTCTCAGTTTTTGTCTAGCACCATTTGAAATCGGTTATGATGTAGGGGGAAAAGCAACAGTAATGGAAAACTTCATTCCCCCGCCCCCAAAGTCCTTAGAAACAAACACCACCAAAGGCACAGACTTCACTAACACGGTATGCTTTTCTGTTCTCCGACCTGAAGTTACACCTGACCATCCTGCTCAGAAGGACAGTCAGCATCACGTTCAACTAGGAGGGATGCTTCAAGAGAAAGCGAAGCATCTGTTCAAACACCTCACTCAGATTCTTCAACTCAAGCAAGCCAGGGCCCAGGTGTCAGCAGAGCCTCCTAACCTTGACTGGTTCTATTCCATGTGCTATTTGTTTGCCTTAACCTGTTATTTACTCAGATTTTTTTTTCCTTTGAAATAAAATTGTGTCCTACTTGGTATCAAGCTCTGTCTCAGGCAGACAGATGACATGTTCCCTGCAGGACAATACCTGATTGCTGCAAGTCTCTTCATTTCAGTCCCCAGCTCCATTTTCAACCCCATGAACCATGCTCAGAAGTGAGCATTTACACTGAAGTGTACGACTGAGAACCCCACCAGCCACTGACACTATACAGTACGCAACATTCAAGCAGGGAACACTGTACCTATGTTTGGTTACTCCCACAGCAATACCATCACTTGCTTTACCAGTAGATGGCAATAAGAGATTTTTACTACATACAGCCCTTTTCTTAGCACAAAGTTCATGTGTTCATGACTCTTAAATTATCAGCTCCAGATTCTAAAGTGAAGGAATTCACCTGGGACTGACTTTTAGAGAAATGGCGCAGAATTAATGGCAATGAGGACAAATTCAATTGTAAGTGTTTAAGTCAGACTGCCTGTCCCGTCAGTGCTCACCACAATCCCCAAGCTTCAGAGACTGTAAACCTGTATAGTCTACAGATAGCAGTTCTCAGTCCACACCAACCCCTTTTAACTATCACAACCTGAACTGAAAATAACATGATTCTATATTAGTTGTTTTTCTATTGCATCCTCTCAAAGGCTTTATCTTCTAAGGCAGCTCACTCCACATGTTTCTTTGAAAATTAAGCATATTCTGAATGTAAAACTCAAAACTAATCACATTCTACTTAACATCTGACACACACTGGACAACAGTGCCAGAACACTGAGCTTTGCTCTTAGTATTGTACCACAACAGCCACCTGATAATCTTGTCTCATCTCCATCAAGCTTTTACCACATTTTTCAGGGGTGAACGCTGGTTTGGGGAGGATCTGGGATATTTCCTTCCCTTCCAAAAGAAAACCAAAAGGCTGCTCAGCAAATCAAACCACATTCTCTACACTGCCAAACTGTAAACTTCCATCTCAACAGTTGTCACCTAATACAAGTTGGGTACATGAAAAAAATCAGCTGAAGAAGCATGGGAAAGCAGCTGCTTGGCACATAAAGAATGAAAGACAAACACTTACTGCTAAATAATTTAACATTTTTATTTGGAATAGTCTTTACATCTGGAAAAAAAAGGTGTAAAAAATAAGGCCATTTGGTACAGTTGTTTCACTTGAGTATGAAGTGCATTTCAGCATACTTTAAAACATCCAGGATGCCATACATAAAAAGCTACACGTGACCAGCACACACTCCATTCCCAGTATATTACCCCAGAGTTTACAAACCATTGTCAAACTAGGTATCAGCTAGGCCATGAACAGCAGCAAGTCATTCTGTGTAGCCAAAACCTCTTTTTAGTAACCAGAGTCTATTATGAACTCGAACAATACAGCTGCTGGGATTGTCCCAAAAAGCCCTAGACAGCCCTAAATAGTTCTATGTTATTCCAACAATCTGCTCACAACAGTGGGGAGCAGTGCCAATCTACCACAGACAAACATGAGGAGTTTAAAGGCTGCCTTTAAACTACATCTGAAGTGAGACAATTTTGGGTTTTCTGGGAAAACTGGTTCTTGGAAGCTGTCTGTATGCTGTTAGCAAACTCCAAGATTCACAAAGCCAAACCCTGTCCTAAGGAAGCTTTTGGTTTTAATAAGGAATTAGGAGGAGCAAGGATGCGATGCATTTAAAGTAACAGCTATCAATGCACATCTGAGTCTCCACTCGTGGCAAACACTGTGCTGTGAGCTCCTGTAGTCAGTCTTGACTCAAACATTTCATGAAGCAAGCAGCTACCTAAAGGGAGCCCTCCTCTACCACCACAGCCAGCATATCCATTCCTTCTTTTGGTATTCCTTTAACATGGAAAGAGAAGGGAGTCTGACAGGGAAAGGCTTCTGTTTCTCAACAGATATTTAATGCTAAATCTAGCGTTACAGAGCTAAATTTAGCATCATAGTCTTTACACAGATTGGGAACATGGAATACATTATTTCAAGTGAAAAAAGCAAGGAAGCTAGATCCACGCAGTGCCCTATCCTGGAAAGCAAATGTGATCTTCAAAACTGCCATCAAGGCTCCATAAAAATCAAGCATCCCAAGGACCTTACTGTGCACTCCCAATAGGACATAGCTACCACTGATTGCAGTTCCTTCAATTAAGCACCTTCTGTCAAGAGGCCAAGAATTCAAAAGCAGGGGATACCTTTTGCTATAGAAACCTTCAGTTTTCCATTCCAACTAATCTACTATAGTGTTTCTGGGACTATATCAAAAGGCCAGAAACATATATGGCTTCTTTCCTTCTTAAAGGCAACAGAAAAGATATAAAACTCTTGATTTAAAGGCACAAATAATTAATCAGATATACAGAAATCAACTTTAGCAAACAAAGAGGTAGCATATAGAAGAGCTAAACTATGCTAGTTTCAAAAAACATAACCTTAAATGGCACCGACTGCTTCAGGGAAATAAGAATAAAACATTTCAGAACACAAAGAGAACATCATCTTTTAGAGCACCTCAAACAGCCAAACTGAATGAGAAGCACATTCAGGTTTTAGTAAGCAGAACTGGATAGTCTTCTGTAAGAAAAGAGGTAGCACTGAAGGCAGCAGGAGCTGGTACTGGGACAGGGATACATTCAGTGCTCCCACAGACACAAACACTTTTGCATGCCACATGTATGGGCCTTCAAGACCATTTCACATACACAGAAAAGACAGTATGAGTGGCCCATAAAGAAAAGCAGGTATCTCTCTCTCTATATACATATATATTTGTTTTACCCTATCAATGATCTACGATAATCAGTAGTCTAAGACATGATACAAGATATTAATCTACAGGAACTTTAAGCAAGTGCAATCATTTTCCATTCCTGATTGTGTCATTCAACTGCAAATTCCCTCCCACCCCCAAAAAAGGTCATTCATGCTTTACAGATCTTATATTCGGCAGTACATGGAGTGCTGTCACGTTTCCTACAAACAGAAAAACAAGTCAAATCAGAGGGTTTACATTCAAATAGCTTTTACATTCATTCTGAAAGCACATCCTTAGTTTTATCATCAAATCAACAGGTAGTCATGAAACTAAGTCATTAGTTGCCCTCTTCCTAAGCAACTGCTAGACTGAGGAAATTTTTACTCCATTTCATCCACTAGACTGTCCAGAACAACCCACAGAGTAGAGCATTTGATCCAAAGGGATCATTTCAAATGATGAACAGACCATGCCTGAGCATTATCAACAACTGACACAACAGTTACAGGGTTCCTAACTGATCTGTGATTCCTAACATCAAGAGCATCCCTTCCAATTCATTTTAAATACAGTATGTTATTTAGTACATATGTTTATAACCAGAAGCTGTGGATTAGGTTATGAGAATTTGGATTCTGTAGTCTGCTAGCAGCAAGTTTATAAATACTTAAACATCTGAGGATTGAAATTTGTCATTACACCCATATATGTGTTTAAGGTTCTTGAATAATTCCTGTTTTGCTTTACAGAAAGAAATCGCATTCCAAATCTCTGCACTACTACTCACAGTCACTAAGGAGTTCTAGATACCATAATGCAAACTCAGGGGTTAATAGTGGAAACTTCTTACTTCAGAGGTAAAGATGATATTACTTAATCCTTACATCAGTTTGTAAGAAACCCCAAGCTTCATTTTCATATATGCAACCCCAAACTTATGAAAACTAATGAAAGTCCCTTGTTCTCTGGAAGTAAATAAAATCAAGACCTTTGCATTAAAGTAGGAGACATCAACATTTCAACCATCACCTTCTCAGAATTTGTGCAATGCAGAAAAACAAAACAAATGAAGATACCAATTTACAAAAGGACTTGTAATGCAAACTGTTAAGGGAGAATGACGAAATACTGACAAGGATCAGTCAAATGAAGCCATCTTGTCTTCAACTTGTTTTGTTGTAACAAGGTTTGAAGAGTCAGCTGTTTGGAAGAGCTGATTCGACCCTACACAAGTGCAAGAGTAACCATAACTATCATCAAGTGCATCTGACTACTGGACTAAGCACTAAAAGACAGGAGAGGAAATCGGTCTTAAACAAGCAAATTGATTTTGATCCCTTTTAAGGCTACAGAAGTTTGAATTTGAGAAAGAAATAATCTTTTCATAAAAAGGTTTAAAAAGGCCACCTTGTTTGCACGTTCTTTTATCCTTCTAGAAAGCTCTCAGTAATCCTGAGACGCACATCATCTGGTTTTCTCTGAATGGATGCACACTACCACTATAATTCTAGTGTCCCTATAATGCAGCAAAAGTGGCTTCTACCTCCATCAGTCTTTTAATGACAGGGATTTACGCTTTGAGCTAATAAAAGTAACCCACCACTGGAATCCATTTCGTATCACTGAAACAGCTGCAGACATTCTACTGAGTATGTGCGTAGTTTCTATCTGACACAAAATTTTATTCTTCTTTAAAGACAACTCAAACCTCAGATAGGAGATCTGCAATTACTGGAAGCTCTCACTTACCACACTGAATGCTAATTCTTTCTGCAATATATCCTATTCTCCTCAAATGAAGGGTTAAGCATAGTCTTTCCTCTAGGAAACTGAGCTATATTCCACACTTCTGAAATTCTAAGTAAACCATAATAACACAGACACTTAAGCTTCATTACAGATGTCCAAATGAAGTGGAAAGTGTATATATACCTTCTTAAGATTCACTTAATTCATTTGTGCAGTTTCTTCCATCTCAGCTGGCTTTTAAAATACATGTTTCCTTGCAACTCTCATCAACTGTGTATGAGCTGAACAGCAGAAGGGGAAAAACTGAGTGTCCCATAAAACTGGCAGATTAAATACACAAGAAAGAGAGGGCAAGAAAAGATTTGGGCTGGCGTTTGAAGACAACAACCCAGCAAGTGTGAGGTACTGAAGCACAACAGTTCAAAGGCTCAGCTATATCAGAACACGGAAAACTGAACAGGAAGAACTAGGCCTTCACAAAAGGAGATTAGATGACGGCTTTCAGACAGAAAGAGGTTTAACAGTCAGATGTTCACAGCAAGGAAGCTTGAGGAAAGCACTGGGCCCAGTAAGACTTTTCATGCTGTGAAATTTTCAGGAATAGACCATTCTTTAACTTTTGATGATGTTGCTTCAGATCCCTCCTTTCTACACCCCAGGAAGTCTCTCCACAGATGAAGGCAGAAAGTGCTGCCCTAATAAATTAACTCCCATGTACTCTTACTTGGGCCACACAAACTGCAGATTGTCCAAATTACGGGTGAAAAGCAATTGCTCAAAAGCACGAAATTACTTCACAGCAGACAGGTACACAGCCACTCTGGCCCTTGTAATGATCCCCTACTGTCTATGTAAAAGATACTCAGGCTAAAACCTCACTGGATACAAGCTAGCTTCAGAGTTCTCCCAAGAAGTACTCCACGTACCTCATTACAAATATGAACTGCAGGAATATTTCCTCTGGTTTACTTTATGTAAAGGATCCCTTCCTTTGCTTAACGTACCCCAGATAAATTCCAACAGATTTTGTTACAAGGTTTGTCAGCTTTGACAAGATGCTTTTCAAAACATTCTATGTGTACCCCCCAACTCACTCTGAATTTTCAGTGCATAGCATGTTACAAATGACTTTCCTAACAAAACAGGCTTTTTTCAAGAAGATAAAATAAGACATTACTGCAAGAAGCAATGCACGAAGAGGCTGCTGCCACCCCTCCAGGAAAAAGCATACACAACCATCAGTTGTTTGGAAGATGAAGTTCAAAAGGCACTATATGTCTCATTAAAAACAGAGGAACAGTACTTCTGCATCTAATATTTTACAGTTGACTTTGCAAGTCTCTGACATAGGGCCAGCATTGCTGCTGCAGGAGGAAAATCTGAAGTGGATCCACACACTGAACGTTCTAGTAGCAAGCCAGACTCTTTGCTTGTTCAAACGCTGTAAGAGCTCTGGTTTAGGCTAAATTTCTTTCACATTTTCTATGCAATTAAGCCCATCTTATTTTATTCAAGGTGCCTCTGGTCCGAAACACAGAATATAATGGTTCTCCAGTTACCCTTCATTACCATTGGGTTATATTATGCAGAAGAGAGGAAGCTCCTTAGTTCATTTCCAAGGCTTCCAGTTCATGTAAACCACTCTGGCTCTTAAAGCCTGTGAGACCCAGTTGACACCAGAGGGTATCCAAGCAGTAAAATAACCCAAGCCCACAGAAGCCAATACTACCACTGGTTTTAAGAGGTCAACTGGTACATTTTAAAGCAGATACAAACAGTATGTTCCTCAGAAAGTGTACCTATGCCAAACAACAAGCTTAAGAACAGGGGGGGTTCCTTCTCTGAAATTAGTGCAAGTGTTAATTAGCAGCTTATCTGCATAGCAGATATGAAAATGAAGTCAAATATATTGTTAGGCATTTTAACTTCCCATCAGCTGCAGTGGTAAGCTTACATATAGTCATCAGGTGTTTGAAAGAGTAGATAAAGCTCAAGAAACACACACATTAGCTTTTGTTCATTTAGAAATATGCAGTAATGATGATAAAAAGTAGGCTTACTCACCCATTTTGTGCAAAGAACTTCTTATAGGCCCAGAAGGCTGCCAGGAACACAATGACTGCCACAATCACTTTAGGAAGAATTAAAGAGAAAAGCCTTAGAGCAATAAAGGTCATTCCTAGCTCACAAAAAAAGCCTCAAAAAGTTCTTCCTACACAGTCCTAAACAAACCCTCCCTCCTAAAAACACCCCCAAATTTGCATGGCTGATTTTACAAATGCTTTACTCAAGACTTTAAGACAGTTCAGCTCAGGAACGGGGACCAGCAAGATGGCAAAAGCCCACCAAGCTCAGTACCACTAAAACAGATACTACATCATAACATTACCTTTTACACCAACTTTGTAAGAAAATGGTAGGCTTACAAAACCAGGTCACAAAAGCAAGGACAGAAGATGGATAAAGCACTTCTGTTCCCTGGCACAGTTATGTATTCATGCTGCCAGTAAACCTAAGGTCTGAGAAGTTTATGGAAGTCACGAAGTTGTGGAAGGCTGTCTTTGAAATCTGTTGCCCCTCATATATGAAGCTGTATCACTGCAGTGACAGTGATACCACAATGACCACAATGTCAAAAAGTACAACCCACAAGGTTTTATAAGATACTTACCACAAATGATGGCTGTAATATAGGCACCTAAAAACAGAGTGAACCAGTATCACAAGAGGAACACAAGTGCTTCTTAGTCAAACATTATTATGCAAATACTCACAAAGTCACCTCAAAAAGATCAAGCACTTCTGTCAACACAATCCTGCTGCAAGCATTGTGTTGACAGTCTGTATGATAACATTTAACTGAAAATATTCCTATTTTTAAATGGGTTTTATAACAACCTATTTTCCTTATGTCAAAATAAAAGAAGAAAGTCTGCATTAAATGATTTCTCCCAAAGAATGTCCCCATGAAGTAAAACTTCTGTTACACGTATTTTTATTCTAGTGCAGTGCAAATTCTTGCAGTTCATACTTACTTAACTGGCACGTTGGCACTGCAGGAACCCAGCGATTTTCTCCAATATACTGAATTCGAGCTTCCCCATGTAACGTGTAGCCTGTGTAACATTCAATCGTAATCATATCCCCCACAGAATATGCAGGTTTTTGTCCATCAATTACTTTACCATAATTTATATGTGGAGTCAAACCAGAACTCATAGGCCCACCTGGAAAGAGAGGGAGGAGGGGAAAGAGGAAATAAAGTTCAAGAACAGAGCTGGTACATGAAGCAGATTCAAGTTGCAGTCAAAAAGCTGCTACATTTGTGTAAATGTCAGAAGCTCAGTCAAGCCTTAAGACATCTTACATGCAAAGGCCTCCTGCTTCCTACAGGTTGCAGCTACTTCTGCTGCTGGGCATGCCTCAGCCACAGGAAGAGAAATACATGTCTGAGCTTCATTAGGACAAACAGTTGCATGACAGTAATGACAAGCCCTCTCTACACATGCTATTGATTTTACCGAGTCTTACTAACATGCACAGTCTTGTAAAGAACTCCATGTATTCTGTCCTTGGCAAGTTACTGTCATCTCTTCAGCGCCATGAGGGAAAGTACAGTGAGCACTGCACTTGATCTGAACAGACTCTCCTCCTTCATACACCGATTTTGCTGGAATCACTACTCCATGTGTGATCTCCGGGGCACCACACACACTTCTAGTAACTGAGACATGGATTTAAAAGTAAGTTGAGTGTTAATAAACTTGAAATAATTCATGATTCACTAACTCACTCCAGAAATACATCTTTCCTCTGTATGAGAAAAACAGATCAGCAGATCTCAATAGTTTGATTTTACAATTCCAAGCATAAATGTTTCATTTTGAAGACTTAAATATCACTGTAGGTGTTAAGATAGCATAATCTTATGATGTGGCAGCTAATAAATTCGTATTTGATTGTTAATTATCTTTATAAGCTCTAGAATCATTGCCAGGTGCCTTATCAGACTCATTCATTATGGAACACCCAAACATACTCTTTGCAGAAGTGCTTCTCATACTTGGGAGCTCATTATGTATGTGAAAAATTCTCTCACTGTACTATACAACATTGCCTTTCCTTCTAGCATTAAAAGACAGGAGAAAGGTTATAGAAAGACCTCTGCAATCTTCACAAAGATTAGAGAACACAGACACAATGATTCCGATTACTTTAGAAGGACACTATACATTTCCTCACAGTGCATACTCCTAGTTCTTTCTATCACAATTCAGAAACCATTTTTTCTCCTTTATTTACAGAGGAAATCACTGGAACAAACACTATGAGGCTATTATGATGCAGCAGCATCACAGCATGTCCACAGCACAACTTCTACACACGTTTAACTCAAATCTCACTCATCTGAATACTCTTCACTCAAGCACCTAAAGTGCTTGCCCGCAGACAAAGCTCCATGTCAACTTCCTTTAGCTTCTGACTCCAACTAAAGAGTTATGATTTTATATTTTAGTTAAGACAGATTTAAAACATTCTCAACATACAAGAGAAGTTGGATTCTTATTTAAAGGCTTACTTTTCTTACAAGTTGGTTTTGGAGGAGACCAGGTGTTATCTTCTCCACAGAAAATTACCTCTGATCCATTCATGACATAGCCTGGATCACACTCAAACATGACAGAGTCCCTATAGGTATAGAGAGGTCCAAATCCACCTGTTTTTTTTCCATTTTCAACTTTCGGGTTTTCGCATTTGACCACTGAAAGAGGTGAAAGAGAAACAGCTCTGAAACATTTGTTAACAGTATCTATGCAACAGATAAAACTTCCTTCTAGTAGTTGTGAGCATCATCTAATTCCTTAAAGGTCTCTGGAGAGGCTTTGTAAGACAATTACTCTCTTGAAGAAGGTCCCTGTTTTAAGCTACTGAGTCACTGTAACTGGACACAGACAAATATAAATTGCAGTAATAGGTATCATCACATTCCACTTCCAAAAGACATGCTCCTTGTAATAATCTAGCTTCTACATACTTGCTTTTAACACAATTTTTCTTCAGCCACCCAGGTTTTATGGTCCCTCCACTCCCTCACTTTGTCCTTGCCGCTTCTACCAACAGCATGCTCATATATATAAAGTTTTAACTTAAAGTTAAGTCATACTCAGCGTCATAATCAATCAACATCCATAGTACAGTTCCTCTGATTTCCACTGGAACTGTATCATACAGTACTAGAGATCTGTTTCTTCTTTTTTGCAGGGAAGTCTGTTATATCCTCCCCCGCTAAAGAAGGGACAGTATTGAAGTTTTAGAGTCACATAAAAGCTATAATCCTAGAACAGTTTGGGCTGGAAGGGACCTTAAAGCTCCTCCAGCTCCAACCCCTGCCACGGACAGGGACCCCTTCCACTGGAGCAGCTTGCTCCAAGCCCCTGTGTCCAACCTGGCCTTGAGCACTGCCAGGGATGGGGCAGCCACAGCTTCTCTGGGCACCCTGTGCCAGCGCCTCAGCCCCCTCACAGGGAAGAACTTCTGCCTAAGAGCCCATCTTAACCTACCCTATAATAAAGTATATTAAAATAAAAATCTCAACAACCTTTACACTGTGGAGGTTCTTCACTCCAAACACCATTTAAGTCTGCATCATATGTGCAGAAAATAGTAGCTGAGCCAATCAGCGAGAAGGGATCTGCGCCTTTTGGTGCCTCGTCACACGTATAGGTTACTGCGGTCTGATAAACATAGCTGGCTGCTTCAGTGTGGTGCCCATTGGCTATACTTGGAGGAGGTTTGCAAGGAATTCCTAGAAATAAATGACACAAAGTATCCAACAGAATCTCATTGTTACCTTGTTCATGTCAGAAATAGCCTTGATTTTCACATTGTATCATTTAAAATCTGATAGGTAGCTATTGTTAAGACAAGCTGCAGTTATAACTGAGAGTCACTGATGGTCATCTGGTATTATAGGGGGTTTCAATTTCAAGAAGAGGTTGACCTTAAACTAATAGGAGTTAATTACCACAGTCACTGACATTTTTCAGTGGTCATTCCTCAGGCACATGCTGCAGAGTTCCAAAATACTAAAAACCAAAATCAGTCCTATTTTACCATCATTTCTTACACTGGAAAGTTTATGGCACAGCTGTTTTTAAATGAACTACCACCATGTGAATATGAACTTCAGCACACTAGTAATTTACTTACTTTCACAAAGGGGAAGATCTCTATCCCAGTCAACGCCTTCATTCTTAATTACACAGGTAATTTCACTAGCTCCTCGCAATCGGAATCTAGACAGGTAAAAATTTTTAAAGAGATGAAACTTAAGAAATCTTTCATTTCCCCAACAAGCACCTAGAAACTTTGTTTCTGTCATTCTGTTCTGTGATAAGGGGCACATAACACACCAAGTTGCTGTTGTAATGAGAAAGGTATTTGATTGTTTTCTTGTTAACAGTCTCAACTTTGAAAACAAAAGAGAAGCAAATGACACATCACTGAAGGAAGTGATGAAAATCGCACCATTTTTAGATGTGTACCATCTAACACTAATGCTCTAAAGAAATAAGCTGTTAAAAGGAAAGGGGGGGAAAAAAGTTGCAGGAGGCTAGTGCTTTTAATTTATTTAACTATACGCAGACAAGTGGGCCATTATTCAATATAATAATGAAGAGTAATGTATGTGTATTTATTCCCTCTGTCACAGGAGCATTAAAAGAAGACAGAAGAGGTAACACCCTGGTCTTCATTCTTCAGAATCGGACTAAAAAGCTTAAGCCTTAGTAGATGCCAACAAGTAAAACCAGGGAATCAAATCAAGTTTAGCTGTAGTTGCATTTACTCCAGGTAAAATTCAGGAGACATTTCAAGTCAGAATTGGAATAGAGCCTGCATAAGAAACTCTGGGGTTGGTTCAAATCTGGTCTAAACAAGAAAAGAAATAAAAGAAAAAGGACTCATTAACTCTATCAAAATACTTACCCTGCTCTACAAGAAAAAGTAGCTTTTGAACCAAATGTAAGATCTGTCACGTTAACAAAGCCATCTCCCAGTTCTCCTGGATGCTTGCATTTTCTCTCTACAGAAGTGAGAGAAAGAAATCAAACTACATCTCTGTAGTTATATAGAAAGACTAAGTCTCTGGCATACACTGCTCTTCCTGTCATTAGTATTTTTCATGCTTTGTTTAAAATACTACAGAATCCTAATCCTTTGTTGCAAAAGAACTCTAATTCTTAAATACCAAAGGGAATCAGCATCCGAGCTCACGCACACATTACCTGTACAGAGCTCCTCTGTGGGTGACCACTGGAAGTCTTCACCACACGTCCGAGTTAATGATTTTCCAGGAATTCTCACATATCCCGGCCGGCAGATGTACGACACCGTGCTTCCAATGGGAAAACTGTTCATTGTGCTGAATTTCTCCTCAAGTTCTGCAGACTGCAGCCTGTCTGGAGGCTCACACATGCCTGTCCGAGCAAGAGAAAAGGGAAAGCAACGCACAGTCTTGTCAACAAGAGATACAAGTTGAGGCTTAACGGCTAATTTAGTTGGGTTTAAGGACTCATCGGTTAAGAGGTGACATTCTTAAGAGCCACAGCTGTCTATATATTTAACTAGGTTTCAACCTTTTAATATATATTTTACTTGCAACCAATGACCAACTCTACACTAGTACAGGTTACTCGCTCCTTTGTTTTCTCAAGTTCTTCAGCATTCCACCCAGACAATGCATTTCCTTCCAGTTCATATGTTTTCCTCTGTCTAAATCTTGAAGTTAAAACACATGACTTAACTCCCTGTATACCCATCTGCAGCAAAAAAAACCCCTATTTATTTAGCTGCAGGGAAAACAAAGGAGCCAGCCACACTCACTTAGCTCATTTCCTTTCTTAAGGCAAAAGCCCAGCAGGTGATGGAACTGAGTTTAAGACAAAGGGAGACACACAGACCTACAGACCCATGTCCCGTTAATGAAGGTGTAAAACTCCCCCATGCCAAAAGACACAGAAAAACACAGTCAGGACCTTGAAATCCACATACAAATGCCCGATTTGCCCAGTCACACACACACACAGACCTCTCTAAAGACACCCATCATTCAATCCCTTCGTATTTGTGTTTAGAGATTTCCCTCCGGTTTATACCTCAGCCTCAGGGTCACAACCAGCACCCGTTACCACCGAAGCCTGCTCATGCAGCACAACCTTTCTCTCACCTTTTCGCCCCAAAGCCCCACCAAGCCGCCCGGAAAGCTCGCTGCTTCCGCCACCCCCGAGCCCATTTCCTTCTTCAACCCCTCTTCCCCCTGCGGGCCCGGGAAGGCCCCTCTCGGCTCGGCGGCCCAGGGGAGAAGAGAACGAGCTCTGCCCCCCCACCCCAAACACTCCCCCGCCATGGCGGGCAGCGAGCGCCCGTTCCTCACCCTGCGCCTGCGTCCCACCGAGCCACGACAGCGCCAGCACCAGCCCGACCACGAGCCCCGGGCCGCGAGCAGGAAGGCGGCGCGGCGGCCCCATGACCGCGGCGGCCTCACCGACAACGGCCGCCCCGCGCCTCCCAACCGGGCGACGGCCGAGACGCAGCGCGGGGCTAAGGCGCATGCGCGGTGCTGCCCACCCCGCCTCTTCCCTCAGCGGCGCCTGCAGCAATGGCGGAGCTGCTCCGCCTCTGAGGCGGTTGCGTAGCGGCGGTTCCCCTTGAGATAAACCGGGTGTGGGCTGGAGCCCACCGCGCCCTTTCCTAAGCAAGGGCCCGCGTCCTGCGGTGAAGGGGAAAAGCAAAGCGCGGTTAGCGGGGGCAGCTCCACCACCAGCAAAGGGTCATTAACGGCCCTGTGCAGGGCAGCGCCTCTGAGAAGCACGCTGCGAGGCGTGCAGAGCAGCGTGATAATAATAAAAACACTTAAAACTCTAAAGCAAGTTGTCCCATGCTCAGCTTTTATTAGGTAAAGCATTCATAGAGGAACGCTGCTAATAAGCGCTCCTAAAGGATGCAGACAGAGCAGCGCCTGGTGATGCTGCACGTGTGAATACAGTCGCTGTTAAGCTGTGGTTAAACTCTTGGTTTCCACGCAGGAATGCTTTCGCGGATCTTGTTTATCACAGGGTTTGCATATAGAGAAAGGAAATGTTCTTCGTCGGCTGGCAGCAGTGTAGAGAACTCCCTTGGAAATAGCCCCTGTGCCACAGGGAACCTGCACTTGGGTAGATCCTTGCAGCAGCAGGAGCATTAATGCTCTTTCTATAGTAAAGTGCCTTTTTTGGCAGCAGAATTCCGTTTTCAAAGTAAGCAATGCTTCCATGCAACCTGCAGCCGCTCTCTGTATGGAGAGCCAGTCCCGTGCCCACGGGTGCCCAGCCTAGGGAAAAGATGACATTGTGGAGTTAAAATTAGGCTTTTCCTGGCATAGAGATTGTGTCATAACTCAGGGAGGGAGGAGGGAAGTTCTGGGAAATGCATTGTTTCAAAGGAGGGATTATTGAAAGCAGCCTTAAAACAATACAGTGCAAGAGTGGATGTGTTCTGACGCCACTTGGTAGTCAAAGCTGGTTATGGTCAGAGTGCTCCTAACAGTGAAAATTCATCACTATCTGCAATAAATTCAGCATAAAGAGTAAATGAAAGTCTGACCTGTGAACACCATCTGTTCAGGTGGTGGAAAAGCAAACAAACACATTGAGGGTGGTTTCAGAAAGAAAAACAGGATGTTTTTCCATTTAAAACAGTCTCTTTTTATTCAGCAAAAGAAAGCATCTTACCATATCATTGAAAGAAGATGGTTTTCACCTTCAAGGACTATATTGGAACAACTCAAGTTCCTGCTATAACTGACATTTTCTGTTGAGGAATAGAAATCCATACCTTCTATTGAAGACACGAACACTTTGGTTCAGTTATCTCATTCAGAGGGGTTTGGTAACTGTGGTTTTCATATGTATCATAGTAGCTAAGTGGAAAAAACACCAACAGAAAACAGTGAACTGCAGTGGTTTGTAAAAGAACACTCGGGTTGGTTTCCTCTAATGAAATAAAACCACATAACCACACCATTGATTCCAGGTTGCTGTGCCTTGTACAGTTCGCAAGGAGGAGGTGAAGATACAAAAGCCCCTGGCACACTCAGGTAAATACTTGGAGAGTATAAGGCATATACAACTTGGGACTTAGCAACAAATGAGCATCCAGGAGACTGCCTTACCCTTCCTTCTGCTTGGAAATAATTTTCCAGACAACGCCTGCCCCTAGGAGAAGCAGGACTCCTGCAGCTACGACTCCTGAAAGAGAAGAGCATGTATTATGCTCACTGTGTGTTTTAAAGTATATCAGAACAAAAGCTATAACAAGGCATATCTTTAAAGCAAGCAGAAGGAGATGGTGCTGCCAAAACCACTGCATAAAGCTAAGACCTGGCCACAGAAATGTTTCTGAGCTGCTTACCTACACCTACGGAACCAGACTTGTGTGATGCTGAAGGGAAGAGAAGAAATAAAATCAGCAAAGTATTCTAACAAAATATGGTGCTTCTCATCAGTGTTTGATCACTTTATCAATAAATGTTTTACTTCTAAGGCCTACAATAGAGAATTTCTTAAAAACCACACTATTGTACCCTCTTTTTTTAAAATACAGAAATCCATTTACACGTTTAAAATTTATCTATGCGTTTCTACTTGGTCTTTGCTTCATTCACATGTCACTCACTCAGTTTACAGGCGGGTATAGGAGGGTCCCAGCTGAAGTCTTCTTGGCACTGAATCTGACTGATGCCTTCCAAGGTGTAACCATCATCACATTCAAGAGTGATGTTAGTCCCAGAGCGATAAGTGTTTCCTTGAATGGCTTTCTTAACACCTTGAACTTCTGGGAATACACATCTGATCTCTGCAATTAGAAGTAACAAAAAAGGGAACATAAAATACAAGAAATACAAGTGTGGGTTATTTAGGATGTTGTTAGTGAATTCTCTCTGACTGTAACCAGGATTTCATTCTCATTCCACAGGGTAACTCCTTTCTCTGTGGCTGCAGAAGTATGTTCACTCCTGCACGTGAATGCTTGGGCAGATCAACTACTTCACGCTGATACGGCAGAAAATCCTGTGTAGCAGGGGTACCTCGGGAGAAGCGTGTCAGAGAAAGAGATTTTTCTGATACTGGGCTACCAAAACACTGGGAGAAGAAAGGTTTAATAGAGAAGAATTCTGTGGGAACTTAAGAACCAACTGCCTATAACCCACTTCTAGTCAGTAGAAGTCCCTTGCCCTTCAAAGATGCCACCAGATATATTATCAATAATTACTTTATTACTTAGTCCAGCCATCTAACCTACATATACCACTGATTTCCATGAAATTACCCTTGACAGCCCAAGCCCAAGAATTCTGGAGGAGATGGTTCTCAGTGGAGACCAAAGGGTTAACATCACCACGTAACTTTACCCTTTCTTTTATGTCCTTTCTTTAATATTTATTTTTGCTAACACACGTAACAGTTTCTAAAGAGACTTCAAACCCATGAGGGGGAATTTTTCTGTGAGTGCTTCCTTTAAAGAGCCTCTGACTTATTTTACGTAAGTGTGTGGTATGTTATTTCCTCTCATTGTTATCCAAGCAGCTCCACCAAGGAAGTGCCCTGTGTGGGTAATGAATTTATTCCAGTGAATGCCCAGGGTTCTGTACAGGAACACCCACACTCATGAGGTTGCCTTTAGTCAGGTTTGCCTGGTGACTGACCTTCACAGTGAGCTACAGAGAAGGCACAGGGAGGCTTTTTCCGAGAAGGGAGTAGTCAGGGTCATGTGCAAGCTGCAAACGGTCCATCAGAGAGCTTGTGTGATATAACAATCACTTCCTCTGCTTTGATAACTGGGGAGTGAGCAACACAAAAAGGAAAGGAAAGGGAGGGGAAAAGTCTACTCTTCTACTAAAAAAAGCTTTGAGGACAGTTGGTACATGACTTATTTGCAGTACCAAGAACAGAGAGAGAAAAACATGAAAGAATTAAAGCTGCCTTTCAGAATTGCCTCTATCATACTCCGTTAGCATGAGGTTCCCATCCTGCTTCTTTACAACGCTGTACTCTTCCCAGGGATAACAAAGAGTAGTTAAATTCATAATTAACAGATAAACACTGCCTAGCTATGATATAAAAGTGGTTCCCACGCAAAATAAGGGGATGGAATTCAGTGTTAGCTGCAGGTTTTGCTGCTCTGATTTTGGCCTGTGTAGCTCTCTGAAGATTTAATGCAAATGATTTAGTGTGAATGCATGTATCCGCATGGCTACATGTCTCCTCAGGCCAGATCTCGTTCTGCCACCATAAGCTAATTAAGCACAAGCACACCTTTGCACTGAGGAGGAAGCTGGCTCCAGGTTCCTTTCACCGTGCAGTTGATGAAAGCATTCCCAACGAGTGAATAACCAGGATTGCAGCTGTAGGATACAGACGCTCCATAGGAAAAAGTGTTAGAGATGTTGCCTTTGAGCTTCCCATTGGTGATGTTTGGAGGACGGAGACACTTCACAACTGGAAAGTCAGGGGGAGAGAAGCAACATGTTGACATAAAGACCCTTATGGTCTGCCAGAGGGTAGCTAAGGCACCATAACCTTTGCAGCCTTGATCCCATTTAATTTCTTCACCTAGGCTCAACAACTGATTTGGTAACCCTATAACTCCATTAGGCTTTAGAAATGGTTACAAACTTGATCTTGTTCTTATCACACATTCAGTAGTAAGGGACTCTTATTTAGTCCTTGTACAGATCTTTCCCTAAGGCAAGTCATGTTAAATTTTCTTTCTTCTTAGCTCCCTACGACAAAATCCACCTTGACAGAGCGGAGGATGATGGCTCCAGGCTCCAGACTGTGTGCAGTACATGGAGGCTGACCCAATGAGAGAGAAGCCAGCCTCGCAGATGTAGCTTACAGACGTTCCAGGAGTGGATAATGCTCTTGCTGGGCCACTGAGAGACCCATGGGCAATATCTGCAGGCTTGGAGCAGGACTGTGCTAAGAAGAGAGACGTGCAGATCAAAACAGAGCTCACGGGGCAAGAGAGGAAACTTTTGAGCATCTGTGGTGTCAACAGGCCTATGGAGGGACTCTGGTCTTGTTTCAGCAAGTCCTTAGACAAACAGCACTACATGCATTGAGAAGATCCAGTGAAAAGAACATAAACACACCTTCACACCGAGGAGGGGGATGGCTCCAGACTCCAGATGTTGCACAACGAACAGATTTATTCCCAATGAGGGAGAAGCCCCGTTTGCAGCGATAGCGTACAAGTGCTCCTACATGAAAAGTGTCTAAGAAATGTCCACTGTGTTCCCCGTTGACAATGCTTGGAGGAGGCTGACACTTCACTTCTGAAAGAGGAGAGGATGAGAATGTGATGTTCAGTTGTAAAAACGGTGGTAATGTACTCCTCTTCCCTGCAAAAAAGCAGGACAGGTTGGGAGAAGGAGTTGTAGTAAATCTTGCTTTTCCTTGTGATATACCTACCTGGCTTTGTGGTGGTGTGAGGATGACGATAGTGTTCTGCCACTCCATCTAGATGCAGCATTAAGAGTTTAAAATACACATTTGGTTGAGCAAACACAGTGGAGAAATTGACCTTAATTTTCCATCATCCTGCCCTTACAGCGAAAATTGCACTCCTGTCTGATAGTGTCCTGCCATGAAGCTACCAAATGTCACACTTTCAGGAAATAAAGAGGTAGGTTATGGATTGCAACAAGCAGGCTGAGAAAAGAGCATATCATGTTTATACTTACAGCATTACCAAACACCTGGCTCATCTCCTGTGTAAGAGAGGCATAAATAAAAGGAACAGTTTCTGGTTTCTCCTTAAAGTAGTTGGAGCAAACAGGAAAAATAAAGTCAATGTTGGCTTCAATGAGTGGGTAGGAGCAGTGGGGAAGAATCTGCAGTGCTGGTGGGTCAGGGTGCAGGTACTTACCCTGCTCACAGACTGGTACTGGTGGATCCCATGTTTTATCAGCTTGGCACTGCACTGTGTGATTGCCTCGCAAGGTGAAACCTTTATGGCACTTAAAGCCAACAGTGTCTTTGTATAGGTAGTGAGACTTCAGAACAGATACTTTCCCATTCTGGATCTTTGGGGCTGGACATACCACCTCTGAAAAATAAATGGGTTATCTCAAAGAGGAAGCCATGGGTATGCTGTAACTGATGCATATATAAAGTCCATCCTTCACGTGCCACTGCTCAGAGGAGTTTTATGGGTAGTACTTGGAGACTCACAGAACAATCATTTCAAGAACTGAGGGCTTTTTAGTACCTTTAGGTACCCTGTGGTTACCACATTATCATAGAATCCCAGACTGGTTTACATAGGAAGGGGCCTTGAAGCTCATCCAGTTCCAACTTAGATCTCACCTAAATCTACCCTCTAAATCTACATTATTGTATATATAAACATAGTTTTGTGCCTATAAATAGTATAATTCAAATAAATACATTAAATGGTGTAGAAATCCATAAGTACTGTTAGTCAATTCTCATGACTACTTTTCTGTTCCAAGCTCATGACTTCTAAAGCAATTCCATCTGAAGGAAAGACTAATTACAGTGATCAGTCCTGCAGGGACTAGGGGTGACCTACTTTGACAAATGGGAAGACCACCACTCCATGCGACATCTTGTCCAAAACCCACACATCGCCTCTGAGACTGTCCAACCAGTCGGTACCTGGAGTTGCAGAGAAGGAAATGCCAGTTGATCCCAAATAGTCCAGCTCATAATTTGCACTCCCTGTCTGATACTACCCCCAGAGGTTTCTTTCTGCAGCCTCCTGAATTCTGGCTGGTCATCAAGGTGGTATCCGTTGGTTTGACACATGGATATGAAGGAACCAAGTTCTTTTTTCCTAGATCCAAGAGGAACAGCAATGATCCCAAACTACTCTGGGTTAGGTTGGTCAGGTGCTAAGTCAGGACACAGACCCAAGTGACTGCCAAACCGCTGGAGCCTCCTTGCAGCACTCTCAGCTCTTACTGGGTGGCCATCCGAGAAGCAGACTGCAACTTGAGCTTTGCAAAGGAAGCTGTTGAGCACAAGCAGGGGAAAACAAGAGACACTTCTCCCTTGTCTGAGCAGGCAACTGGAACCAAAGTAAATGGCATAACTGGAACCAAAATACAGATTCTGCCTTGCTGTGGGAGAACGGCTACGCAGAAGTGGGTTCAGACACTTCACTGTAAGATGCTCAACACCAAGCTCAGAAACAGTCAGCAAAGGCAGTGTAGGACTCACCCTTCTTTACATGTGTAGCTCACGGTTGACCCAAAAAGGAGATCGGTCAGAACAACAACTCTGCCATTCTTTGGTGTTCCTGGGGATTTACATTGCTTCCCTGGGAAAGAACAAGGCTGAGTTTAAACTCCTCCCTTGCAGCTTTGTAAGGCACTATGAGAAGGTACCTTAAGGATCTGTCCATATTCAGACACCAGTGAAGACATGATTTTGAAAAGGCCAAGAGCTGCCCAAACTATGTGACTAGTAAAGCCATGTAGGAACCATTCTTTAAAGAACTGCTGTAAGAAACCCGTAAATGCATTGGAGACAGTTGTCAAGAACCAACACCAAACATTGAGCTATTCACTTTTACAGAACTCTAGCGCTTCAGACCACGTGGAGTTTTGGAGGCATGTCAGAGTTGGGGATACTCCGGGGTGTTTCATGTATCCCGGGGGGCAGCGGTATCGCACAGTGTCTCCAACAGGGAACTCCGTCAGGTTCCTGTAATCCTCAGTGAGCTCAGCAAAGGTTAAGTTTGGAGGTGGGCCACAGCCATCTGTCAGGAAAGAAAACACAGGGAGAAATAGGGATAGCAACTAGGTAAATGGTATGAAAATGTACAGTGAGTATATACATCTATAGATAAATGTTTACAGGCAAAACAAAGGGGAAGGACTGACGAATTCAAGGGTAAGGACGAATCCTACAGGCTTTCAATGATGGAAATTCCCAGACTATCGCTAACTCCCATCTTGGGGTGTACCTGCACACTGAGGAAGAGGAAGACTCCAGTTTCCTGAGTCAGTGCAGTGAATCGATGCCTCTCCCAGGAGACTGTAGCCAGGGTCACAGCTGTAATTTACAACCATCCCAGCAGTGAAAACTTCCAAGCCCTGGCTGCTGTGATTTCCATTGTCAATATTTGGAGGTGAAGGACATTGCAGCACTGAAGAAAGAGGGCAAAACAAAATTAACAAAGGGGATGGACAGGATGACAGGCAGGAGGGATGCGAACAAAGATAAAGAGAGCCCATCTCCTACATGTATTGGAAGCACACTTAAGCCTGAGGGTGTTGCTGGATGTGCAGTTCTAACCCTTCCCATGCCAGCTCTGTAGTTCGAAGGGTTTGCCAGCTCCAGGATCAGCCAGGCATGGGGTGGATGCTCAGCAGGGCAGGGCATGGATGCTCAGCTGGGCACAGGGTGGGTACTCAGCAGGGTAGGGGATGGATCCTGAGCCAGCCCTGAATGCACAGGATGCTGCAGCAGCAGCCAGCCCTACCTGTGCAGCGGGGGTATGGGAGGCTCCAGTTCCCTGAGGCTGTGCACAGGACAGAGGGGTCTCCGAGGAGGGAGAAGCCGGGCTGGCAGCTGTAGCTCACGGACATGCCAGCGGTGAAGTTTGCCTCGAGCTCTGCACTGTGCGTGGCGTGGGCAATGGTGGGAGGTGGAGGACAAGGCAGCACTAACAGGGCAGGAGCAGAGAACAGCATTTTAGTTCTCTTGACACTTGGAGGAGCACAGGTAATACAACAAAAGACTGTCACATCTTATGTTTTGTGGGTGAGGCAGAGAGCAATGCCTCATCCAGCACAATGGCCCTAAGCATCCTTCTTCTAAACCCCCACGTGGTGGACTCGCCTGGCTTGCAGGTAGGGACAGCAGGCACCCAGCGGCCATCGGGCTGGCACTTGGCTGCACGGCTGCCCCGCAGCACATAGCCCGGGTGACACTGGAAGGTGACGTTGGCCCCAGGGTGGTAGGCAGTGCTCCGTCCTTCAGCCACTTCTCCATCCTGGATGCTGGGGCTTGTGCAGGTGATCACTAGAAGTGCAAAGCAGCAGAGCATGGGCTGGGGAAGGGGCTGCCAACACTGAGGGTTCCTTCTTCGCTTGTGCAATGTCAACATTCAAGGAAGCCATGCAACCGTGATGGTCTGTTTCCCTTTTCATTGGGGGTAACAGGATTTACAGCTCACCTTCACACCGTGGGTAAGGGATGCTCCAGGTTCCAGACATCAAACAAGAAACTGTTGTTTTCCCAGTGAGGACGTACCCTGTGTCACAGTAGTACTTCACAGATACTCCTGGGACAAACACCTTCACATCCTTGCTGTCCTGATGGCCATTTTTGATATTTGGAGGGGAAGGACACTGTAGCACTACAGGGAGGGGGGAAAAGAGCTGGTACCACAAGCACCCATTGTAGGGTAAGGCAGCCTTTTAGTTTCTTTCCCATTAACTTTTCCCAACTAGGTTGGTCTGTCACTGACTTATGTTTCCATCCTACCCTCCCTAACCTTCCACCCTTTCAAGCTTATTCACATCAAGAATGATAATTTCTCACTATTTGGGCACTTAGAATGGTTAGTTGTCATCTGTGGCCCCAACAGCTTTCTCTGGCCTTTCTATGGTTGTGACCTAGATCAGACAGCAGCCTGGCTAACTCTCTTTGTGGATTCACTTAAATAGATGAAAGCCCTACATAACAAGGGCCTGAATCATAGAATCATTTAGGTGGGAAAAGACCTTTAACATAATCAATTCCAACCATTAACCTGGCACTGTCAAGTCCACCACTAAACCATGTTCTTAAGTGCCATATCTATATGTCTTCAATACCCATCACCTCATTTATACTTACTCTTTTCACAGGTGGGGACAGGAGGGTCCCACTTGCCCCCAAACTGGCACTGAGACTCTTGAGAGCCCTTCAAGGCATAACCAAAATCACATTCGAAGACAACAGTATCCATGAGTTTGTACATGGTCTCCAGCCCAGCTGATCTTCCATTCTTGATCTCCGGTCTTCCGCAGCCGGTTGCTGGAAATGAACAGCACAAGGCACTGCTCGGGACATGAAGCCCATCCTGGGTGTGGAGGGACACCGACCAGGGGCAGTATGTGCTGCTGAACCTTGCCATCACTGTCATGGCATGCCAACATTACTGACTCTTATTCTTACACAAAATACCATTATTCAGCTGCTCCTGAGGGTCTGTCCTAACTGGGGGACAGAAAGGGAAATCCAAGCCCCTGTGTCCAACCTGGCCGTGAGCACTGCCAGGGATGGGGCAGCCACAGCTTCTCTGGGCACCCTGTGCCAGCGCCTCAGCACCCTCACAGAGAAGAGCTTCTGCCTAAGATCTAATAAAAGAAGCCAACACTAACACACCTTCACATCGAGGCAGGGGCCGGCTCCACGTTCCCGCGGCAGTACAGCTAATGGAGGCATTCCCAATGAGGGAGTAGCCATCCCTGCAGGTGTAGTTCACAGCCGAGCCTGGAAGGTGGGTGTCCGCGGGCTGGCTGCTGTGCTGCCCATTGGCGATGCTTGGAGGGGAAGGACACTTCACCTCTGCAAAAGAGGCAAAATGGGTAAGAAACGTGCACAGGGCATGAAAATTAAAAAGCCAACCTTCAAAATCCAAAAGGAGGAGGACAGTGAATTCCATTAATTCCTTTGAACAGCTGCCATGTTAGCTCACACCAAACCCCGCCGGTGCGGTCAGACCCCGCACACCCAGAGCCCTACCTCCACAGTGTGGCGGTGGCCCGCTCCACACGCCGCGCTCCCCGTCTGCTGTGCTGCAGATGATGGAGGGCTCTCCAGCCAGAGCGTGGCCGGGGTCACAGGTGTAGGTGACCACGTCTGCATAGGAGAAGGTGTCCCTGGAGTGCCCGCTGTGTGTCCCATGGGAGATGTTCGGAGGTGGGCCGCAAGCGATATCTGGAGGCACATAACAAGGTGAATTTCAACACCTCATTTGCAGGACACACACACTTCCCAGGAAGGGAGCTGATGGGGATGAACCCGTGTCAGTGGTGAGGCTCTCTGGATACATTGATCCAGATTATCCAGAGGCAAACCCTGCATGGAAAAAGAAATCACACGTGGAAAAGAAAACCTTTGCCCTCACATAAGTCACCCCCTTACCGCCTGTGTCTGGAGGTGGTGGGACAGTTTTTACCTCCCTTTCCATATCCACTGGGGACACTTGCAGAGAGAGACTGGCCACACAGTTCCTACACATGACCACTAAGAAATACTTACCCAGTAACATGGAGTTTAATTAACAGTTTTACCAGTTTGGACCAGGATAAATAGGAAACTTTTGGAAGTATTTTCAGAGGCAACCAGAATAAAATAGAAAGAAAAATGAAAGAATTTACACATACAGTGAGTGGAGAAATATTTTGCAATGAAATCTTGCTCTTGAAAGATGTGCCACGTGCAAAGCGTCTCCAAGGACCTTTTGTTGTGGCCTACTTACGCTGGCAGACAGGAGCATCTCCACTCCACAAGACACGTGTGCCAGAGACCTTGCATGTTCTCTGAGAGCCTCCAACCAACTTGTACCTGGAGTCACACAGAAGGGTCTGTTAATTTACATTAAGAGACTTGAACTTTCTTTACAACCCTTTTAAGTGGAAGCCAAGACTTCTGGCTTGGGAATGAGGTTCCTCCATGTGGAGCTGAAAATCTGCTTCACTCTCGCTTGGCAGATGGATTCCACCAGTCTCAAAACTCACCCTTTGTCACAAGTGTAATTGACTTTGGATCCCAAGAGGAGGTCTGTCAGGACAATAACTTGGCCATTCTCTGGATCCCTTGGGTTAGCACATTGTTTTCCTAGGAAGGAATGCCAGCCACCATTAGTCATAGAATCCCAGACTGGTTTGGGTTGGAAGGGACGTTAAAGCTGATCCAGTTCCACCCCCTGGGCAGGGACCCCTTCCACTGGAGCAGCTTGCTCCAAGCCCCTGTGTCCAACCTGGCCTTGAACACTGCCAGGGATGGGGCAGCCACAGCTTCTCTGTGCACCCTGTCCCAGTGCTTCATCACTCCCGTAGTAAAGAATTAGAAATGTGTCCTGCAGAACAAGAGTGGGATATTGAGTCAAATTAAACCGTTATCCCAACCACACAGCTGTGCAGGATTGATCACTGTAATAGTCTTTCCTTCAGATGGAATTGCTTTAGAAGGCATGAGTTTGGGATAGTAAAGTAGTCACAAGAATGACTAACAGAGAGAGCAGGCTGCATAAAGAAACCTGGAAAGCTAGGAAAAGATGAAAATCCAACACTTCAGGTTTTTCAACCCTTCCAGGACATACTTTTACAGAACTCCAGTGCCACAGACCACGTCCTGTTCTCGAGGCATGTGATGGCTGGTGACATCCCGACGTGCTGGGTGTACCCAGGCCGGCACACGTATTCCACCGTCCTCCCCACGGGAAAGATGGTCTGGTTTCTGTGCCGCTCCTTCAGCTCAGCAAATGGCAGCCTGGTTGGTGCATTGCAGCCAGCTACCAAGAAAGATAAGCCAGCTTATTGTTAGAGGAGTTAAGAAAAAGCAGAGCTGGGAGAAGTGGGGGTCAGGTTAATGTTCATAGCACTGTTGGAACACTTGCCCTGCTCGCAGACTGGCACGGGTGGCTCCCAGGTGCTATTTAGTTGGCATTGTACCACTTTGTGGCCACATATAACATAGCCTGGCTCCCACTCAAAGGCAAAAGTGTACTTGTGTGTGTAGACAGTCCTAGGAGACACTATTCTCCCATTCAGGACCCATGGGACAGGACATCTTGCCTCTGGTCTTCAACATGGGCATTTATGCAGTGTGTGGCTGCAAAGCCTCTGAGGGTTACAATCCCTTTTAAGACACAAGCCTGAAAACAGTTTCCCCATAGATGATGTAGGTACTGCCCACCTTGAGTGATGCTGAACACTGAGGTGTGACCTAAGCTGAACTGTGATGCTGGAGGCAGTGGGGTGCTCCATCAGCCTCCCCTCCTCTGCCTGGCCTCAGCTGCAAAGCAGCCCTTGAAGCTCCTGCCCTGGCAGGCACGTACTGCAGTTGTCTGGGGGTGCCCTTGTCTTTCTGAATATGAAGCAGTAGGGACAGAAGGATTCCACCCGAGTACCTCCATGTGCACACTCAACCCTACCTCCGCACGACGGCGGGGGCCCGCTCCACACGCCGTTCTCCCCATCCAAGGTAGTGCAGTAGATGGAGGGCTCTCCATGGAGCGGATATCCAGGGTTGCATGTGTATGTTACAGCAGTGCCAAAGAGGAATTCATCCAGCAGCTTGCCTGTGTGCTTCCCATTGGGAATGTCTGGAGGCGGCTCACAAGGGATACCTGCAGAGGGGCAGAACAAGGCTTCTGAATTCAAAGTACTTGAAATCCCTCAGTCTGTGGGGCATAAACACTTGGCCTAGAGATGGAGTAACTGCAATAAAGTGACCTTCCAGGGGAGGCCTTGGAGGCAACTGGATTCCATCTCCCTGGCCAGCAATTTCTATGACACTTAGAAAGCAGTCCAGCAAGATAAACCTCTCTGGAGGAAGCACCTACATGCTTTATCTTTTGTACTGTTTAAGAAATAAAAGAAAAACAAATACTTTCTATTCCCCTCTTGTACTGCTGAAAACGCTCCAGCTTTCTGCAATCCATTCAGCCTTGAGATCTTGTACCTGTTCCCAGAACATTTTCTTACAACTTCAAAACATTCTGATGTTTTTCATGCCCACAGAGCGTAGAAAATCCCCGTGAAAGCTTTGACTGGGAAGATTTGTCAGTCTCTGCTGGAGAATACAAACTGAATCCATGCAAACCCCTGGAACTGAAAGCTACTCACGCTGACAAACAGGAACGTCACCGCTCCATGCAACACGTCCACCAGAAATCTCACATCGTCTGCTGGCTTGTCCAATTAACCTGTGCCTGGTGTTCAAAGGATTAAACGTTCAGCCCAAGTCATTGCAGTTTGAGTTCCTCCCTCCTCGCAATCACCTTGTCCAAAGCCCCTCTCCAGCCTTGTCAGCCCCCTTTAGGCACTGGCAGACAGTTACAAGGTCTCCCAGGAGCCTTCTCCAGGCTGAACAAGCCCAGCTCTCTCAGCCTGTCTTCATGTATACATAAGATAGTGAACACCTTATGTGGTTTATAGGTACAGGACTCGATATAGCGGCTTCTAATAGAATCCATTTATTGGGGGTGAATGAATAGGAGGAAAAGAGGGAGACGTACCTCTCTTCGTGCTGTTTTAAGCAGTAGCCAAAACCAGGACTTACCCTTTTTCACAGCTGTAGCGCACGGTTGACCCAAACAGGAGATCTCTCAGGAAACTGATTTTCCCATTCACAGGCTCACCAGGGTGGGTGCATTTTTTCCCTGGGGAAGAAAAAACCTCATTGTAGGCTTCTGTGTGTCTGTACTATGGAGCAGCAGATGCAACTCTTACTCCAGTAACCCATTCACATTTAGTTACCCCAAAACGGGTTTCGAATAGCATGAAGTTACATGGCTTTACTAGTCACATACTCTTGGAAGACCAGAACAACAGGAAGGTTTATGCAGCATGGACAGAACCTAGCACCTATTCCTTCTTGAACAACGGACACCAAATCAAGGAGCTATTCACTTTTACAGAACTCTAGTGCTTCTGACCACACGCCGGTCTCAAGGCATGTAATAGTAGGTGACATTCCTGGGTGTTTTGCATATCCAGGGTGACAAGTGTATTGCACAGTCTTCCCCACAGAAAAATCAATCTCATTTTTATGCTCCTCCTTTAGCTCAGCAAAGTGTAACCTTGTAGGAGGCCCACAGCCACCTATTGGGAAAGAAAACAGACATGAGAATGATGCAGGACAAGCACAGAAAGAACACTGTTCTGAGGAAAGCTCTTTCGTTTGCCTTGCAGAATGGATTATTTGGATTAATATAGCCATTACTAAACAAACACAACAATTTCCCAAAGGATTCAAGGGGATCAGGTTCTTCTCATCAGGATATAGATAAATCTTCCCCTCCCAGGTTTAACCACCCTTTCTCAAGAGGTTTAGGGGATATAAAATAGCAGTGTACCCTGAGGCAGCTGTGTCACAACATACCTGAAAGTCCAGGCCTCTTTGAGAGCCCCTGGTCATGGTAAAGTCTACCACACGTGGGAACAGGAGGGTGCCAGCTTCCATCCTCCTGGCAGATGACTTTAGCACTGCCTTGCAGGCTGTAACCATCGAGACACTGAAATGTCACCGCTTGCCCAGGTGCGGAGAGAAGTCCTTGACCATCCACTCGCCTCCCGTTTCGTATATAGGGATGTACACAGACAGTAGCTACAGGTGGTGATGTGCAGAAGTGATGTGCAGCATGAGTTGGAACAAAAGAAAGAAAGAACCCCCAGGCTGTTAATATTGCAATGACAAAATCAATGTCACCTCTATAAACCTCCCCTCCCCACCCCACCTCAGCAATAGAAGGGCTGGAAATCAGTTTATACCATGCACCACTTTCTATGGGATTAACCTTCTCTGAGAAACCAGTTGCAATGCTCAGGGTCTGCTGTCCCCCCATCTGAGGAGACAGACCATAAACCCACCTTCACAGCGAGGGCCGGGCTGGCTCCAGTTCCCTGATGCTTTGCAGAACACAATGGCGTTTCCAACCAGGTAGTAGCTGGGATCACACGTGTATGTTACAGACATTCCCATGGTAAAAAGGGATTTGCCTTGGCCATTGTGACTTCCATTTGGGATCTCTGGAGGCACGGGGCAAGGCCGGACTGCAACAGGGAGACAGAAAGCCTTAACTCAGTGAGAGAGCAGCGTGCAAGGGAAGGGAGTCACTGCGGTGATGGGTTAAAGCCCATAGCAGGAATGGCTCTGCCTGCACACGCTGCTCCTGCCTGCAAGGAGCATCTACAGCCAGGGCCACCAGCAGGCACCCACACTCACCCCTCTCGCAGCGGAGCACCGGAGGATCCCAGGTGCCCCCGGGCTGGCACTGAGCCTCGTAGCTGTTCTCTGCAGCGTAACCAGCATCGCAGTCAAAATGCAGCGACTCCCCAGCTCTGTAGGTGCTCTGCAGCTCATAGACCTTCCCGTTCTGCACCTCGGGCATCTCACAGCCGATTGCTGGGGGGAACATGGACAGCAACCTTCAAACCTCAATGCATGGGCCAGATCCTGCATGCACAGCCCGCTCCCTTCTCATCACTGCTGCAAGCCTGCACTGTTCCTACAGCCAGAACATCCAGCATCCTTTCTTCCAGCCCCACACCTCACAGTGCATCCTCCACCCACCTTCACAGCGGGGCAGGGGCCAGGTCCACATCCCAGCCTCTGTGCAGCTGATGGACACATTCCCGACCGGAGCGTAGCCATCCTGGCAGCTGTAGTGCACGGTCACTCCAGGGGAAAACCTGCCCAAGGAGTGCCCACTGTGCAGCCCGTTGGCGATGTTCGGTGGCCGAGGACACGTCACCTCTGGAGAGGGAGGGGAAAGCCCATGAGAGTTGTCTGGCAGAGGTGACACCAGAGAAACAGCACAACTCAAACCTCCTGCACGCCAGGCGTGGGGAAGGGCAGAGGGCTCACAGCCCAGGTCTGTCTGACAGACCACTTGTGGGTACCCTGTCTCTCCTCTGGTTTATCTGGAGAAGGAGTGTTGAATGGGCTCATAAACATCCATCTCATCTCCCCCAGAGGCTGTGTCACATCCCATGCGCGTGCCTGGTCGCCAGCATCATTATTGGCTCTGCCTGGGGGTGCTGCAGCTGGAGCACCGGGAGGAGGGTGCTGGCCTAGAAACCCTTTTGTACTTGGTCTCACATTAAGCGATGTGCCAGTTCTTGGACATACACTGAGGATTCCCCACCAGCCACCCCCAGCATGAGGGGTGCAGCACGTGCAGCCACAGAGATACCGAGCTTGGGATTCATGGATGTAAGCGTGTTCTTTACATATAATTAAACCTCATACTTCATTAATGGGGGATTTAATCCCCCACTGAAGGTCTCAGGGGCAATGGTCAGGGTCTGCCCTGTGCTCAGAGCCACGCTCTAAGCTTCTTGCCGAGGGGGACAGATCACAAACCCACCTTCACAGCGAGGGCCGGGCTGGCTCCAGTTCCCTGATGCTTTGCAGAACACAATGGCGTTTCCAACCAGGTAGTAGCTGGGATCACACGTGTATGTTACAAACATTCCCATGGTAAAAAGGGATTTGCCTTGGCCATTGTGACTTCCATTGGGGATCTCTGGAGGCACGGGGCACGGCCGGACTGCAACAGGGAGACAAAGCCTTAACTCAGTGAGAGAGCAGCGTGCAAGGGAAGGGAGTTGCTGCGGTGATGGGTTAAAGCCCATAGCAGGAATGGCTCTGCCTGCACACGCTGCTCCTGCCCGCAAGGAGCATCTACAGCCAGGGCCACCAGCAGGCACCCACACTCACCCCTCTCGCAGCGGAGCACCGGAGGGTCCCAGGTGCCCCCGGGCTGGCACTGAGCCTCGTAGCTGTTCTCTGCAGCGTAACCAGCATCACAGTCAAAATGCAGCGACTCCCCAGCTCTGTAGGTGCTCTGCAGCTCATAGACCTTCCCGTTCTGCACCTCGGGCATCTCACAGCCGATTGCTGGGGGGAACATGGACAGCAACCTTCAAACCTCAATGCATGGGCCAGATCCTGCATGCACAGCCCGCTCCCTTCTCATCACTACTGCAAGCCTGCACTGTTCCTACAGCCAGAACATCCAGCATCCTTTCCTCCAGCCCCACAGCTCACAGTGCATCCTCCACCCACCTTCACAGCGGGGCAGGGGCCAGCTCCACATCCCAGCCTCTGTGCAGTTGATGGACACATTCCCAACCGGAGCGTAGCCATCCTGGCAGCTGTAGTGCACGGTCACTCCAGGGGAAAACCTGCCCAAGGAGTGCCCACTGTGCAGCCCGTTGGCGATGTTCGGTGGCCGAGCACACGTCACCTCTGGAGAGGGAAAAGAAATTGCCCTGGGGGTCAGCTCTTTGCCTTTCTGTGGGCTACTGGGAACGTTTGGGTAATATCTGGGATTCTTCTTTGCCATCCCCATGTCCCTCCCCATCTCCTTTGCTCTGAGCTGTTTCTGCCACTCCAGAGCCAACCTGCGGCACTTTGGTTTGAGCAGGCAAGTGAGGAGAACAGATACATCGTGGCTGTGCTTTCCCACCACATTTGAGAGGACACAAGAGGGAACTTCCCCACGGCTCCGCTGCATTGGGACACTTGCCCTTTTTGCACAGCGGCAGAGGTGGGCTCCATCTGGAGTCAGCTCCGCACACACTGGTGTGCGAGCCCTGCAGGGTGTACCCGGTGTTGCACATGAAGCTCACGGTGTCCCCCGTCCTGTAGAAATACCGGGCAATGGGTATTCTCCTCCCATGCTGGATGTGTGGGAACGGGCACTGGGCACCTGGAAAAGGGAGAGAAATCAAATGTCTTTTACCTGCATAGCCCTTAAGCTGCTCCTGCTGTGCTGGTTGCTGTGTTGATGGTGTCCATGCAGCTTGGTGACCCCTGAGCAATGAGATGTGGTGGAGGCTGCTGCTGGGGCTGCAGGACCCCTCCATGCACTGCTAGAGAACCCCAATGCTTGCTCTGTTCACAAAAGCCAGATGTCCGGCATTTCATATGAATCACCTGGTGAGGCCGAGAGCCTTCCATGGCCTTTCTGCATGCTTCTAGCTCATGAGCTGGGAAGCACACCCCCTGGGTCTGATCTGACTGGAAAACATTGGCAGGACTATCCAGGAGCAACCTTACTGCAGTGAAGGGCTCTGTGCTCCTGGGGGCATGCAGCCATGCAAGAGGCAGGCAGGGATGCACAGCGCACCACTGTGATGATGCAGGGATGGACCCAACCAGTGAGGGCAAAGCCTCAGAGGCACAGACCTGCCGGTCCCCCTTACCTTGAGCCCCAGGCGTGGTGGCCAGGAGCAGAGCAGAGATGCCCAGGAGGTGGAAAGCGAAGGCAAGCACCATGCTCCAGTCCCTGGCGCAGACTGCGGCTCTCAGGGGGCTGCAGGAAGATATGAGCACCCCAGTTCCCTCCTCATGCGGAAGGAGCCACAGCTGTGGGGCTTCCCGGGGATGCAGGACAGGAACCAGTGGGCTTCTGGGCATCACCGCTGGGGAGGCTGCAGGTCCCACAAGCTGCTTATGCTGCTGCTTAGGGCCAGGGAGGATGGGCCCCTGGGACACACAGGCACCTGTGACAGAGGGTGGGTGCAGCACAGAGGTGCTGTTAGCTGCACTGTGCCTGCAGCGGGGAGCATCCTTGGGTAGGGGAAGTGGGACAGAGCCTGGGTCATGTCCCCAGGGGGTGACTGCAGCTGAATGGGCACAGCTTGTCTGCCCCAGGATGGGAAAGACAGAGCAGGACATTCCCACCTGCTGCCTGCATGGGACTGGGTCCCACTCTCACACACCACCCTGCAGGCATGGACCCAGATCCTCCCGGCCTGACCTGGCTGCTCTAGGACTCATCCTAGTCTCATCAGCATCATCCCATGCTGCTGGATAGAAGAATAAAAACCCATAGACAGGACTTTCTGATACAGAAGCTGGCGCAGCAACCTCCATCTCCCCACTGGTACAGCAGAGGATGCTCTCTAAGCCTAATGAAGCAACGAGACACACATTACTCCAGTCTTTTTATCCTTTTTATTGACAGGGAGCTTCCTATATTTACATAGCCAACATTTATACTCAGATTCTAAAGTAAAATTATGAACAATTCAATTATAAACACAGTAGATAAGCTCTCTTCAACAATAAATGTTGGTGATGAGACCCGTAAGCTATGTCACAGCATTCACAGTTCCTTCCATGTGGTTACAGGGAGATCATTTCAAGCTGATCCCCAAATCAGGTATTAAATCATTTGGAAAAACCACTTGGGACTATATGCAGGAGGAACAATTGTGTTGGGATTAGAGTGCCAAAACAGAATCCAAAGCTAAGCTATGAGGCTTTACATTGTGTTTTGTTCACGTCATCACTCACACAGTTTATGGGAAGAGACAGATAAAAATAAGCAGGAATCTGCTTGTTCTGCAAGACTGGCTTCTGAAAACAGGATCTCTGTGAGAGCTGGCCAGGACAGGACAGTGCTGTGCTGGGAAGGGAGAACTTTGTGGGTCCATTCAGAACAAGACAAATGTGTTGCTGGAAACAGGCACTTGAGTTTTCCCCCCCTCTCATTTGATGTTAACAAATTAACAGGAAATCAAGGGTGAAAATGCAGAAGCAAAAAAAGATGCAGTAGACACATTTCAAACACTTCCTGTTCCCAACCGCGCATCACAAGCAGCTCAGACGGGTTATTCACCTTCTGCACCAGACAAAACCCCAAACCTCAAAGTCTTGCTTTAGCAGCAGCTAAAAGTCCTGGCATCTCCAGCTAGATTCAAGTTTAACAGGTTTAAACTGATCACAGTTTTGTTTCCCTAATAAACAGCATTCCCTCCAAACCTTTATTTCAGTTTACGCAACTCTTTAGCTTACTAAGAGATGATTTAGCAGGGCCAAGTTAAAACCAGGCAAGGACAGCAGCACCACACAGTGGGCTGTCATCAACCAAATAAATCAAGGGCACTTTTGCACATCTTTGGTTCAGGCAAGGTGAGTTGGGCCCCGTTATCCAAGTTGTCCTCATGGCACTGCCAAAGCCTGGCTCAAGTTAGGGATGGGACAGCTTCCACACCCACCTCCATCCACGTTTGCAAACCACTCTCAACACAACGATCAACTAAGGTCAGGTAAAACAGGATGAAAACAAAGCACACACAAGCCATGGGGTTTGTGTCCTGCTGGAGTAAATTAAGGCTTTGGCTTGCTGTGCCTCTGTGCGTACCTGGGGTACAGCATCACAGCAGTCCTGAGGCACCCTGGGGCTGAGCCAGCATTGTTGGGGTGCACAGCACCACCTGAAAAAGCCTTTGCAGTGCAAACTCAGCATTGATTCAGTGCAAACTCAGCAGCATCCCCCCATCACCTGCCCCAGGCAGGTGATGTGTGAGGAGAAGTGAACAGATTCACATGCAGCAGTTTCCTGGTGCTGGGTGGCATCTGCCAAGACACCTGCAAGTTCCACATTCAATACAGATACCTCAAGCCCATGGATGAGCTCTACTGCCCCTGAGCATCCCCTCTCTGTGTCCTTCATGGGGCTTTCAGCCCACTTAAAGCTTCAGGAAAGCATGAAGCCATTGCAGAGACAGGGTGTTTGTGTGAGGTACTTGCAGAAGAGCCTCAACGTGATACAAAGATAGTGCCATGGCAGAGCTATTCAGCCACAGTTTAAAGCTAACTCAAGCAAACAGTGAGAACACTAGCTCTTTGTAATAAGGCATTTAAATTGTTTTCTCTCCAGTTAAGTTACTGATCCATAAGGATTGCTATTTCACAACAGTTCAGACTCACCTTGAACCGCTGCTTATGTAGGAACATTTGCAATGCCTTCAGTATTCACAGACCGAAGCATCCTCTTTGTATCAAATCATTTTTTAAGGGATGTATCACTCAGGTGAAGACATTCACTGTTAATCCTCTTGGCAGCACTCTCCACCTCAGAACACCCCGAATCCTGACCAGGACCAGGCACAAAGTGACCTTCATGGGGCTGAGAAACTGCACATGTGGCAGTACCTGAAATGAAGGGCTTTCTTTGAGCCTACTCTATTGCAGCATGAAGGTCTCTGGCATCACTGCAGCTTCACACAGGGATAATGCACTTGATTCCTGACTGGCATTCCCAGCCTCCCAGCCCGGCACACAAGTTGCTTTGTCCTTCAAGGTCTGTTGGCTGCTTCTTCAAGACCAGTTTCACAGGAGGGACAAGGGGAGCACTGGGATCAGTGTGAGCAGGTCCAACACAGCTTCAGGTGCTTCCTGCTGTGCCCACTCCCTAATCTAGATGTCCATAATGAGCACTGCCAGCAGGAGGGGGAAGATTCCTACAAGAGACAGATAGGAAGCTTCAGTTTCATTATACATTCAACTCTCTTTTCCCTCTGTACCCTTTTGCCCCCCACTTCCCATTTTCACAGTGTGATCTTAAAGCAACAATATAAATATGACAACAGACAAAGAGAAGGCATTTAAGTCTATTCCAAACAGAACACCCAAGAGACAACAACATAAAGATGGGCAGGAGCACAGTACAGGGGTGCAGGAATGTGTATGACTTACCAGCAATGATCATGCTCGCTCCACCTGAAAGGGAAGCAAACCAAAACGTGAAACTCAGCATGCAGTCAGCACAGTAACACATCAAACTACACAGGAGGCTCAAATCCGAGCCAATGCACATGGAAGACAATTCAAGCAACACACAGAATGGGACCCCAAACATCTGCACGGATGTTCACCTGTTAAACCCCAGATGTATTTACTAGGGTACATTTCCAATATGTGAGTCTGTGCCACAGTCCCTGTTCTTTTGGCACTAGATTTTCACTGAAGCTGTTTCAGGAATAACCAAAGACTTACTGCTTGGTAGAATTATGCATGTGATTTGAGGATTCAGAGAGGAAGGACAAAACCAGAAGACAAAGAGGCAACAAGACAGACACAGAGATTGTCACCTCTGCATTCAGGAGCCGGCTTGTTCCAGTCTCCCCAGGATTTATCTCCTGCAATGCACTGAAGAAAGGCTGCTCCAGCAAGGGTGAAGCCCTCCTTGCATTTATAAGCTACAACGGTGCCATGAGAAAAGCCCATTCCCTTCGTGCCATTGTGCATCCCATTCTCAATCCTGGGGGGCTCTTCACAGAGAGCACTGGGGAGCAGTCCTGCAGGAGGAACATCAGCAAGAGTTGGGCTTGTTCAGCCTGGAGAAGAGCAGATGGCTGCCCCATCCCTGGCAGTGCGCAAGGCCAGGTTGGACAGGGCTTGGAGCAAGCTGCTCCAGTGGAAGGTGGCCCTGTCCATGGCAGGAGGTTGGAACTGGATGAGCTTTAGGGTCCCTTCCAAAACAAACCAGTCTGGGATTCTGTGACTCTAAGTGTGTTGGAGCACTTCTAACAGGAAAGGTTAAGAGGTGCATGGGGGAGGAGGTACAGCCAAAAGCAGGGACTGAAAATACTTTGGGCTGTCTTGCTTGGTACTACGCATTAGACTCAAATCAACTTTCTCATGTTGGGCAGCTCATTGGGCAAGTACAGAGCAGGAGAGGGATGAGAAACAAAGCCAAAAGAATGAGCAGAGAAAGAAAGCATTTACCTTTGCATTCAGGGGCTGGACCACTCCATCGTCCCTTCAGGTCTTCATCCACTGTACAGTGAATTGTGGCATCTCCAATAAGAGCAAACCCCTCATTACAGCTGTAGGTTACGGCCATGCCAAAGGTGAAGTCTCTGTTCCCACTGTTGAGCTGCCCGTTCTTGATAGGAGGAGGTGGTAAACAGAGAACAACTGCATGGAAAAGCAAGAACAAGAACATTTCCACCAAATATGAAACAGAGGTCTAGCTACTAAGCCCAGGGCCTCACTGCACAAATTACTATTGAAATCCTGAATTTTACAATGGATTAAATTAAGAAGCACCAATAGGAGCAGCCCAAGCCCAGCATCAAGGCAGCTGCACCAGTGCAGTTCCAACTACTCTCTTAATGGCTCTGTGAAGGGTTTTTCCCTCTTACTTTCACAGTATGGAGGTCTTGTATCCCAGTCGACTCCTTTTCCCGACACCACACATTTGGCATAAGGTGACTTCTTTAATTTATACCTAAAGAAAGAGAAGATCAGTACTTTCCAGACAACAACTTAGAAAGAGTCTTCCCCCATTCTCCAACACTGCATGCAGGCAAGTTCTTAACCAGAGGTTGTCCTAGCTAGGAAATAGGATCTCGCCATCTCAAAGCCACTCAATAAGGGCATGAGTAAGAAATGAACCGAAGCAGTTCAGGGCTTTACCAACCACACGCCTGTTACCAGATGCTCAACTCACTGAAGACATAATATATGGTTTTACTGGGGACTAGCACTGGGAAACCAAGGAGGGGAAAGAGTGGACATTACTGCCTGTGCTCCCTGACTTCTGACCCCCCAGCTGGTCCCCTTTAAGCAGTGATGCACTCACCCTGGATGACAGGTGAATGTCACCACTGTCTCAAACAGGAAATTATCTGCAATGACATTCCCGTTCTCTATTGTGGGAGGAGCACACTGCTGTCCTAGAGAAAAAGAAAACAGCACGGGGATGACTTCAAACCCAAGACAGGCATGACCCAGATTTCAGAATAGCATCTTAAGCTTGTGCAGATCACACACACTGTCAAAAGGAGAAGAGAGATACTCACGTACGCAGAAGTCCACATCTGCAGACCAAGTTCCATTGCGCAGACAAGTGACAACAGAGGACTTCCCACTTGCTGCAGTATAACCTGGCTTGCACTGATACTTCAGCTCAGTTCCAGCAACAAAGCCCTCAGCCACAGCACTTGTTAACTCAGCAAAAGGGAAGCGTGGAGCAGGACCACAGTGGACTAACAAGTGGAGACAAAAGCAAGGTTGCTTATGGAAGAGTATTGAAAGGGTCTGCAACAACAGCAGTGAACTGCATGCTTGGAGCACACAACATCTTAATTTGTTTAAATCTCAGTGTCTGGGATACACTTTGCACCCAACCTGTTAGCAAGCAGCAGCACATATCACAGTTTGCTTAACTGGATGTAAGTTAACATGCAGATGGGGAGCAGCTCTGCCTCAGAGATGCTCCTTTGCTGACCACCAACCCAGCCTGCAGCAATGTGATTCACTGAGCTTGGAAGACAAACACCCCCTCCACCATGTTTGATAGTGGTGAAACAAGTCCGTCAGCTGTAGGAGATTTTGTTCAGCCTGGAGAAAAGAAGGCCTTAGAGCAGCTCCCAGTGCTTAGGACCCAAGCCTGCATGCTCTGCGAGGACATGGCTACGAGTGCACAAGGGTCAGAAGCTCTTAGACCTAATTCATTGCAATTGCTCTAGGAAATAAATTTGCTTGGACTCACACGGGTCACACGTTGGCAGAGGTGGCTCCCATGTACTGTCAGCTTCACATGTAACTACACTGCTGCCATTCAAGAAGTGACCAGGTTTGCACTCAAAGGTCACTGTATCTTTATACACGTGCCTAGGGCCGAAGCCAGATAACCTTCTCCCGTTTTTCACGTCTGGATTCTCACATTTGACCACTGAAAGTGAAGGGAAGACAACAAGAGTATGTGTTAGAAGAAGGAAAAGCCCTGCAGTGACACCAGAGGTATTATGCAAGCACCTTCCTAAGAGCACTGCTGTCCCTTCACTTTGACAGAGGCAGGTCCCCAGCGGGGCACAAGTACTCCGTGAAGAGAGATGTCATTTAGGGACTGCACACACAGGAGCTTTGTTTCTCATCTGCAGGAAGCCCTGGCCATGGGCAGGGAGAGGGAGGTCGCCTGTGGGCTGAAGCATCCATTAAACCAAGCTCTGCCTCTAATCACTGCATTAAACTTCCTGGGAATCCTTTTAGACTCAAATCACCCTTCTCATGTTGGGCAGCTCATTGGGCAAGTACAGAGCAGGAGAGGGATGAGAAACAAAGTCAAAAGAATGAGGAGAGAAAGAGCATTTACCTTTGCATTCAGGGGCTGGACCACTCCATTGTCCCTCCTGGTTTTCATCCCCTGTACAGTGAATTGTGGCATCTCCAATAAGAGCATACCCTTCATTACAGCTGTAGGTTACGGCCATGCCAAAGGTGAAGTCTCTGTTCCCACTGTTGAGCTGCCCGTTCTTGATAGGAGGAGGTGGTAAACAGGGAATAACTGCATGGAAAAGAAAGAACAGGGTCAGAACAGCAGCAAACTACCTGCAGCTGCTGGCCCCTGTATTCAATTTGCACTCCCAGCTCCACTGAGAGTGCTTGTTTGGGGGAGAGATAAGGAGTCAGTCTCATTAAAGGCTAATGGAATTTGCATTAGGAACCAAGGAGAAACCATCCACCTGCCATTCCCAAACTACCAGTTATATTGTAATAGCTTCCAGGAAGAGATGTACGCAAAACATTGAAGATCTGCTTACTGGCACAGTATGGAAGCTTATCCCAAGTAACTTCATTGCCTTTAAGGACACATTGCGCAGAGGATGCCCCAAATAATCGGTACCTAAGAAAAGAAAAGGTTGAGTCTCTTTGGAAAAAGTGGGGAAAACTTGGGAAATTCAGAAAGTTAGAGTTTTAATGGGATTATCTGGAGAAGCGGAACCCTCAGGAACAGGCCCCAGCTATTAAAAGGCTCTGAGTCCCTCATGGGTGCTGTCTCTAAGCATCATCTCCCCAGGAGCCCAGGCCAAAACTTACCCAGTGTTACAAGTGTAGGTTATTGTGGCCCCAAACAGGAGATTTGTTGTGTAGTCAAAGTTCCCATTCATGATGTCTGGTGGTCCACACGACTTCCCTGGAAGGGCAAGTGGTCTGCGTTATATATCACACATATATTATATATATAAAGTAATGAAACAGGCGACAGTGCTGCTCACACACAAATAGAAAGGAAATAAAAGCAGAGATAAAGCTAAGGGCAAATAAAAACCCAAGACACATAGTGAGAAAGGAAACTGGTAAGAGCCCAGTGGTCTTAGGGCAGAGGTCTTGCTCCAAAGGGAAGGAGAAGGGGATAGGTACTGACCCCAGAGCTAGTAAAGACACATTACCGGGATGGCAGCAGACTCCCATGACCTTTTCCACACTACCCCTTGTTTCTGTGGAAATCTACTATAGCTTTTACGCTATATCACCGGGTGGTAAAGTCATTAAGAAGGGCAAAGATCATCCCCCAGAGATTAAAGTTTTTAAGGAGGTGGGTACTTTTTCTCAACTGCCCTAAAACCGGTAACCTGGAGCATCCTTTGCAACTGTCTGGGATGCAGCAGAGATCCCCCCCCAGTCCCAGGAGCCCGCGAGGGGGGAACCCACCGATGCAGAAGTCGGGGTCCGCCGACCAGCTGGAATTGGAGACACAGGTGACTACTGGGGACTTGCCCCCGGCCATCGTATACCCCGGGCGGCATCTGTACCTCAGCGCGGTCCCCACGGTGTAGGGCTCCTGCGGGGCCGCTGTGGGCTCCGCGAAGACAAACCGCGGCGGCTGCGGGCAGTCCCCTGCGGGCAGAGAGGATGGTGGAGGGGGGGTCCCGCCTCAGCCCTTCCCCGCACACTCCCCACGCCCCCCAGACCCCCTTCTCGCGGTCCTGGCTCCCCGCATCCCCGCTCACCGCAGGCTCCGGGCAGCACCAGCAGCACCGCACAGAGGCAGCGCAGCTCCATCGCCGGAGCCCGCAGCCCCCCCTGCGCACCGGAACGGCCCTTTCCGGGCCGGGAGGGGCCCGGCCAGACCCGGATCTCGTCACGGCTGGAGCACAATTAGCGGCGAAGGTTCCGGCTGTGGAGGGAAGGGGCTTTGGCTCTGCTGAGCCCCGCGGGGCGATGGTTCCCACGGCGCGGCCGCTTTCTCCCGTCTTGGTGTGAAATGACCCCGCTTCATACCCGAGAAGCAGCAAAGTGCTGGGGTTCAGATCTTCCTCCCCACTCTCCCCGGTGCTAAAAGAGGGTTGTTCTAACCTTGGAGCTCATTAACCCAGCCCACATCCTGCCCATCCCACGCAAGTGATGCCGAAACGGCGCGGGAGTGCCTGCGTTGGGAGGTGCTCAGCTCCAGAGCAGATCGAGGTCACCCCCGGTCCTCCCTTCGAGAGCACTTGGCCGCCGTCTGTTGCACCGGGCCCACCTCTCGTCATTGCACCTCTCCCTCAACCAGCTGAGGTTTAGGGAGCGCTGGAGGCACCCAGTTCGAAGGGATGGTCGAAAAGGGATGTCCTTAGTGGCATTGGTTAGTGGTGAACCTGGCAGTCCTGGGGTAATAATTGGACTTGATCGTTTTAAAGGCTTTTTCGAGCCTGGTTGATTCTATGATTCCATTGCCTCTCCTCCTCAAAGCAGTATCAGATTTGCAGCCACCAGCACAAGCCCATGGAAGTGTGCTGCATTCTGGTTTGATGTCAAACACAACAGCAGGATCGGTAACCACACCTTTCAGTCCTACCCATAGCAGTGTCTTTTGCCAGAACACAAATAAATTCAGTCTCTTGGCAAGCACCAACAGAGCAGAAGGGTGATTTTTGCAGCTTCTGTACCATCACTATTAGTTTTGTCCCCAAAAGGAGTACAAGAGGTACAAGCCAACAGGGAGCAGACAGTTCAATCCTTGAGGCCCTCGCTGCAGCTGCAGCCTGGTGTTTTGGGTGTGGGAATACTTGGGGTTGGACAAGGGAAGGATGCACCCGGAGAGAAGCACTCCCTTCCCCTGCCATTGCCCAATACTGCCACAGGTTCTGCTCCAGCAGCGATGCCTGATTCCCAGGAAAGGCTGGGCACCAGGGCAACACTGCAGTACAACAGCAGCAATTGCCTGATTCCATCTGGCAAAGAAGGAGACTGCAAAAGCCCTTAAAGCACTCTATGAGAAGGTTTGATTAGTCAATGTGGAAAAAACCCCAACCCCCAGGCTATTGCTTCTTTTATATTAGGTATAAAACGTTATAGATATTCCTTTATTTACAGGACAGTTTTACTGTAAATACACTCATGTCTGCACTCTAGTGAAGAAACCTCAGTTAAAAAGTAGTTAAAAAGTATAACTAAATCTTGCAATATTGTGTAATGAGGGTGTTTGCTATGAAAATATTTTCCTAGTGGAATGAAACTGGATTTTTCAAGCCTTACTTTAAAAGCTGTAAAAATAGGGATTTTTTTTTCATACTAAAGCAAACAAAAAAAGTACTTAATAAACCAACGTGGTGCTGGATTCGCCAGGAATTTTGATTTTCCTGCTTTTCCACAAAGGAATTCTTCATGGTGAAGTCACCCACTTGACTTCAGGTCACCTTTATTGCACTCAGAACTTCATCCCGACAGCGTCAGGAGTTAGTGTAGTGACTGTCCCCTCCCTCCAACCGGCTTTGTGGTGCTCAGGGTGCTCCAACCGCCAGCAATTAGCCTGCAATAGGGAAGTGAGTGGTTAATCTGGGTTAGTCGGGGCGGCAGGGATGCGGCTTTGGGAGGAGCACCCAGTTTGTGGCACCTCATCGCCGCGCCGCGGTGACCCATTGTGGGTGCCCCTGTGCCCGTCCCTACCATGGGGTGCCTGGCAGAGGTGCACATGGGTGGGTGCTGTGCAGATGGGGCAGCCGTGGCAGCCGGGGCTGCCGGGGGGGATGAGGTGAACCAGGGTCCCCTCTGTGGCCAGGGGACACACGGAGCAGCTCCAGGTGTTGCTGTGCACAAGGGAGAGGTGCAGGCGGTCAGTGCAGGGCAGGCAGATGGGACCTTGTGGGCTGTGGAGAGAGCAAAGGGTGAGCCCTGATGGGTTCATATAGAATCCCAGACTGGTTTGGGTTGGAGAGGACCTTACGATCATCTGGTTCCAACCCCCTGCCATGGGCAGGGACACCTTCCACTAAAGCACATGTCAGAAACTACTCCTTGCCAAGACATACTGCACCAGCACCTGGTTCATTACCAGTTTCGAAGGTTGGAACAGATGATCCTTGAGGTCCCTTCCAACCTGGTTCTGATGACCTCAAGGATCATCACCTTTGAGCCTGGATTGAATCAGAGCCTGGTTCTATGGTTTTGCAGAACTGACCATGGCTAGAGGTGTGAAAAGCATCGTAGGCCACAGGTGACACGAGGCTGAGCCCCATGGGGACGGCTGAGGAGCACAGGCTGAGTGAGAGGCACCCATGGAAACAACACGAGCATTGTCCAAATAAACCTCACCCCAGCTTCACCTCACTCTGCTTTGCAAGCAGGCACCACACTTCTGTCCTTACAGAGCTGTAAGCAAGCGGAACCAGCACCTCCATTGTAAACTAAACGGTCATTTCTTCATTTCAAGTGGTTAACTTGGGTTTGAGCACACTGGGTGCGTACCGTGGTGCCCACCACAGAGGGGGTGCCCGCACTGGCTGTACCACCCTCACCCTCACTCCACACTCACCTCTCATCCTGCTGTTGGGGCTGCTCCCTGGGCACCACGGGGCTGGTATCACACTGACCCACGTGAGCACGCATCCAGCTTTCACAGATAGGACAGATGTGATCGCTGTGGAGAAGCACCATTGAGGATGTGCATTGGGTCCCTTCATGGAGACTCAAAAATCCCTGTAAAGTCTGGCATCTCCAGCTCCCCTGGTACTGAGGAACCACCCAGGATTCCAGATCCAGGCTGAATACCTGGGATCAGCTCCACCACAGACCTCCTGGCTTTGATAAAACCTGTGTTTGTCTCTTCTGACACACCCTGCTTCATCAGAGAGCTGGAGCAGCTCTGCTCTGGAGCCAGGCTGAGAGAGCTGGGCTGGGGCAGCCTGGAGAAGAGAAGGCTCCTGAAGGGGAGACCTTAGAGCAGCTCCAGTGCCTAAAGGGGCTGCAGGAAACCTGGAGAGGGGCTTGGGACAAGGGCCTGTAGGGACAGGGCAAGGGGAATGGCTTGAACCTGCCCGAGGGGAGACTGAGCTGAGCTCTTAGGCAGAAGCTCTTCCCTGTGAGGGTGCTGAGGCGCTGGCACAGGGTGCCCAGAGAAGCTGTGGCTGCCCCATCCCTGGCAGTGCTCAAGGCCAGGTTGGACACAGGGGTTGGAGCAAGCTGCTCCAGTGGAAGGTGTATTTCTAAGTGGAAGACAAACCTTTCATGGTCCATGGGCTGCTCTGCCTTGCCTTGCTCTGGAACAACTCCTCCAGTCCCATCACCCCTCCACTCATCCACAGCTTTGGCAGGAGAGCTGAACACAGAGAAAGAGAAGAAAACCTGAATCCACCTGAGCGTGTGGCTTCCCAAGAACAACAACTGCCCTGCAGAACCGGGCTGAAAGGAACCAAAAGAATTCAAACTGCAAAACCTGCCCTGTCAGAGAATGGGTTTTGTCGGAACGGACCTTAAAGCTCATCCAGTTCCACCCCCTGCCATGGGAGGGACACCATCCACCACACCATGTATTGACTGTGCATTAGAAGGGGGGTGGTTAGTAGGTCGAGAGAGGTTCTCCTTCCCCTCTACTCTGCCCTGGTGAGACCTCATCTGGAATATTGTGTCCAGTTCTGGGCCCCTCAGTTCAAGAAGGACAGGGACCTGCTGGAGAGAGTCCAGCGCAGGGCAACTAAGATGATGAAGGGAGTGGAGCATCTCCCTTATGAGGAAAGACTGAGGGAGCTGGGTCTCTATAGTTTGGAGAAGAGGAGATTGAGGGGTGACCTTATTAGTGTATATAAATATATAAAGGGGGAGTGTCCTGAGGATGGAGCCAGGCTCTTCTCAGTGGCAAACAATGATAGGACAAGGGGCAATGGGTACAAACTGGAACACAAGAGGTTCCACTTCTTCTCAGTGAGGGTGACAGAACACTGGACCAGGCTGCCCAGGGAGGTTGTGGAGGCTCCTTCTCTGGAGACATTCAAAACCCGCCTGGACACGTTCCTGTGTAACCTTATCTAGGTGTTCCTGCTCCAGCAGGGGGATTGCACTAGATGATCTCTTGAGGTCCCTTCCAATCTCTAACATACTGTGATACTGTGATACTGTGACTGTTGCAAGCTCCCCCCTGAGCCTTCTCTCTCTAGCCATGTATCAATGCTTTCCCCCCCAAAGAAGCACCCTTTCCCCCTGGTTTGCTCCACACAGACCCACAGTACCTCGTGCCTGCCGGGCTCTGGCTCTCCCCATCGCCGATGCTGGTGACCGAGTACGTTGGCGGTGCTGCGGGCTGGGAGCTGAGCCAGCGCTGGCAGGCGGCACAGCCGCGGCGTTCGCGGGGGGACAGGGCAGCGTGGAGCCGCTCCTCGCAGCTGGGACACGCGTGGCAACTCCTCGTGTGGCTGCAGGGGGGGAAGACAAGGGGGGATCCCTCCTGAGGAGCCCTCGGGGCAACACCGAACCCTCCCTTGCAGCACACATTGACTTCATTGCATCACACAGTCCCAGCCTGGTTTGGCTTGGAAGGGACCTTAAAGCCAATCCGGTTCCAACCCCCTGCTCTTGAACACTGCCAGGGGCTGTACCGCTGTGGTCAGGCACAGCAGACCAGAAATAACACTGGTGGCAGCAGTGGGAATAGTCAGAAGAGCAGCACAAGCTTTTGGACATAGCAAACCTACCAAAAATAGGAACGCCACGGCACAGGCTGCTTCCCATCAGCCTTCATCTCTGGGTGCATCCCTGGATCCCTTCTGTTCGTCTCCTGCTTTTGTAAATGCACATTGAAAGAGCTGAAGAGACAGAAAGGAGAAATGCACGGAATAAAAAGCAATTTAGCAACACGGAAAGGTCATTCTAACCATGCACACTTTCACTGAAGGCAATGGCCTTCACTCAGAGTTCAAAGGAAACCCTTAGGGAAAGCTAGGGCACCTTAGGCTCACTTACTGGGTTTTATTGTCTTTCCGCCTCTTGACGATCCCAATGAGAATTCCAAGGACTACTGCAGGAACTAATAAATAAAGAAGGAAACCAGAACCAAACAATACAGAACAAATGCACCGAGAAACCGGTGTGAAATTTCAGTGAGATCCCACAGTTTGGTAAAAGCCTGGCAGCAAAATTCCCTGAGATTCCATGCCCCGAGGCTGCCCCTCAGCCAGGATAACACCAAACCCCTCCTGTGTCTGAACAGAAACCACAGCTCCATGCGGTGCCATGCTGAGCTTGTGGAGGGTGTGATCCTTTTATAAACAACCCCCTAATTCCTTCCTATCGTAAACATGCTCACCACTTTTAGCACTTGACCTCTTTTGCAACCAGGATGCTCCAAGCTCCTCTAATCTCTTATCTTTTAATGTCTGCAAGGCTTTCTAAAGCAGCTTTATGCATTCAGGATGTACAGGTTTTGGTTTGCATCCCACACTGGCTTCTTTGGCTCCTTTCATGTCATCCTCAATTGATGCAGTGTTTTATACTAAGACATAATCGAGCCAATGCTGCTGCATTAGATGATCTTAAGGTCCTTCCCAACCCTAACTATTCTATGATTCTATTACCTAATGGCAAAACCCCCACCTGAATCCTGACCAGAGTCTCTCAGTGCTAAGGAAATGAACAAACCAAAACCACTGACTCCAAGGATTGAACAGCAAATAACAGCTTTGGGTTCGAGAAGTGTATTTTCAGTTTTAAACTACTTACCAATGCAACTGGGGATGAGGACGCTTGCTAGGGAAAAAACCAATGACACTGATGTTAATAAAATGAAGCCAACAATGCAGCTAACTAAACAGGGGGGGCTGAATTCTTGTTCACAGAATGATGTTATTCAAACCCAGAAAACCACAGCACTGCTGAGATGACAGAATGCTCTAAACCGATCTGTCATTAACTATGCTCATCATTATGCTCCTCTTGAGTCCCTCACCCTACTGTGGAGCTGAGGTCCATAGCCCCAGGCTACCTCCACCCTCATCAACATCCAAATACAGCCAAGATAACATCAGTGGGTTCTACTGAAATATTTGGCTGCACAGAGGGAGATCCAAGCATCCAAATCCAACCCTGCATCACATCAGCCAAGTGGTCACGCAGTTGGCACCAGAGAGAGAAGGGGATAGGACCAGGGAATAAGTCTGTGCAACCCCTTTAGAAAGTGGAAGATGGATGCACAAAGCAACAAAGGCAGCAACAACAGTGTGTGGAGTTACCGGGACCTGATGTGCGTGCAGTGAGTGCAATTAAAAGGTCTCTGAGGCAGAAAGTCTCTCCTGGACTCTTACCTAGCCAGGGGGGATTCTCTGCTGTCTTTTCTTCCGAGGGTTTGGTTTGGTTTGCTGCTGCCATAGTGCTCACTGGAGAGAGAAGCAAATAAAGGAAAACCAGTCAGAACTGTATTTTATATAATCCTCCATTGATATATGATATAGAGAATACTTCAGATGTGTCACATAAAGAATTTATTATGGGCAGGTGACTTGTGTATCTGTGGCTATGACGGCAAGGGCTGTAGGAGAGTCACCTGGGACCTCTTGGTGACAATGCAGCTGTAGGATAGAGGGAATCTGCTGCCCTGTTTGACTTTACAGCCCAGTTAACTGCACAGCAAGAACAGGGTGATTACCCAGCCATGCTTACCCCTGCATTCCGGAGGAGGCCCGCTCCAGACACCATTGACCCCGTTCTCTGTTGTACAGTGAAGGGTCTCATTCCCCACAAGCTGGAGCCCAGGGTCACACGTGTACATCACGACTGAGCTGTATGTGAACTCCTCTGTCCTGCTGCTGTTATGCTTCCCATTAGGAATAGCTGGAGGTGGAGGACAAGAAAGAGCTGGGGGGGAAAGAAAACAGTGACCATGGGATGCTTTTCTCCACAACGTGAAGAGAGAAAAACCCAAGAGCTGCTTGCACATGGGCTGCAATGGAGGGGAGCAGGAGCAGGAGCAGGAGCAGGAGCGCTGTTCCCACTCTCAGCACACAGTTACTTCCCAGCCCCTCCTGACCTGCTGTCCTGTGTACACCAGGCAGCACAGCCTGCAGGGACACCAGCCCTTCTGGGTTCCCCCTTTGTGTCTTTCACATGCAAAAGGGAAGAGTGATGATGGAATCATAGAGTCCCAGTCTGGGTTGGGTTGGAAGTGACCTTAAAGCTCATCCAGTTCCAAGCCCCTGCCATGGGCAGGGACACTTTCCACTGGAGCAGCATCAAGGCTGGGCCCTGCTGTCACCACACCAGAGATACTGGCCTGACCTCACACGGTAAAATCAACACATGGGTCAGTATGTCAAGTGCTGGAGAGCTTCACTTACCCTGGCAAGCTGGGATTTGGCTCCAGGCAACATCCCCTTCCCTTATGGAACACCGGATGAGAGGTGACTCTCCCTTTAACGTGTACCTGCAAAAGGCACATCCCCAAATCAGCTTGTTGGCAGCACCCAAGCATGTGTCCTGTCTCCCCCAGAGGTGCTTAGGACTCAGTAGGCAGAGCCCCCTTAGGAGCTCAATAGGCAGAGCCCCGTGTCCCAGTGCACACACAGGGTGATGGGAATGGAGGGTCTTCACACTCACCCATGGTTACAGACTACATCTGCTCTTGCACCCAGCAGATGATCATTGGCAATAACTTTGCCATGTTCTGGATTTGCTGGAATACCACAAGATTTCCCTAAAAAAGAGTGAGATTATCCCAGTGTCATCCCCAGACAGAGTCCATCACCCAGTGGGCAATAGCCAGTGCAGGCACAGAGCTGAGGGGCTTGGTTATTCCAAGTCTGTGCTCAACAAGGGTGCTAGGTGCTAGCACCCCACCCCATACACAAGTCACCTATTCACACACTTCATCCCAGGTTAGTGACTTCCCACAGCCCTCCATGACTGGCCAGTTAACAGACATAGCTACACCATTGATTCCTTACTACACATGATCAGGGAAGGCCCTTTTAACCTGGACAGGGATCTTTTGACCTATAGGCATGATTTTTAGTATTATAATGAGGATAGCTCCCCTAAAGGACACTCTAACCCCATTATGCTGACACATCAGAGTCATATCTTGACGATGTCCATGTGTCTTCAAGATGTACCAAGCTTCAAGGATAGTTTTTCCTGATTGGAGATTCCTTAGGCCTGTTTCTTAATCTGCCTACACAAAGCCTCCTCCCTGGTTATCAGTTCTCTTTGTTAGGCAGTGCTGTTTCCAGGTTACCCTGACCTTTTGGGAAGCTCTTGTATCTCTTTGGGCTTTCCCACAGTGAAGTGTCAGCTTTATAATTATGTATCTACACAAATCCCAGTTTTTTAACTATATACCTATAATGCTTAAGGAACTGCAGGGACGGGGGAAAACCCACAGACATCACAGTATGGCAATGTCAAACCAGGCATCTGGTGGGGTTTCATGGCCAAACATCATCAAAAAGAAGCAATCCTAAAACACAAATCAGACGTAGCACTTGGAACGCAGCACTGCGGATGCAGCTGGGGAAGGATGCTGAAGCAAAGGGAATGGCACAGGGACACTCACTCTGGCACAGCTGAGGAACCTCTGACCATGTTAAGTTGTCAAGGCACGTGCTGGTGGGGAGCTGGTCTGTGGTGTTCCTGTAGCCTGGGCGGCAACCGTACTTCACTGTGGTACCAACACCATAGAAATTCTGGGTTTCATCTTGTTGTGATACTTTAGCAAAAAGCACCCGGGGTGGGCTGGGGCAGCTGCCTGGGAACGGGAACGACACCCTGAGCGTGCAGGTAGAAAGCAGAGGTAACAGTGCTCTGCATTCATAGAATCATGCAGTGGTTTGGGTTGGAAGGGACCCCAAAGCTCCTCCAGCTCCAACCCCTGCCACGGGCAGGGACCCCTTCCACTGGAGCAGCTTGCTCCAAGCCCCTGTGTCCAACCTGGCCTTGAGCACTGCCAGGGATGGGGCAGCCACAGCTTCTCTGGGTAACCGGTTACTGAGCAACCTCCTTTGCCAGCTTCACCATTGAAGCATTTAAGGTGGGAAGAGCAGCCAGTTCTTCCCACCAGTGCCAAACCTTCCCCCGAGCTAACCCTTGTGACAGCGGTGCCAGCCTCTCCCCTCGTCCCTCTGCTTCCACAAGCCAACAACCTGCTTCAATGCTGCATGAGCACCAGCACATGGCTCCAACAACCTAAGCAGGGTTGGGAAAAAGGGTAAGCGAGAGGTTCTCTGCTGAGCAACTTCATTGTGCATCACTTTGGGTGAGGAAACCCTTGAGGCTGCGGTTGCTAAAGCAGCGAATGCTTTCACAAGCAGTGGATGTTTTCACAAGCAGAGTTCCCCTCTAAGCAACTCCTTCCATAGAAAGTGAAATACTTACGCCCACAGAACTCCGGGAGGTTGGACCACTGGGAGGTGGCAAGGCACTGGATGGTGTCTGAGCGCAAGGGGAGCTTCGTGTAACCCGCACGGCATCTGTACGTTACCATGGAGCCGACGCTGAAGCTTTCCCGGTGTTGAGGGTCCTCCGGGGGCTCTGCATTGCTTATGGTTGGCAGTGGCCCACAGTCACCTGCAGTAAAATAAACCTGGGTTCAGTGGGGTGCCTGCTGCCAGGGTGAGTACGGGGGGGGTGTGGGACATGCAGAGTCTGCAGGACAGCGCAGCACATGCACCCGCAGTAGAGCAGAGCATGCATGGAGCACACGGAGCACACAGACACATGGACAACAGACATGCACAGGACACACACACCCAAATGAAACACATGCAGCCTCGACGCACATCCACAACGTCCACCTCCAGTAGCACAGCACACACGGAGCACATAGAGCACATAGGTGCATGGGGCATTTGCATCCGCACAGAGCAGGCACTGCACGGAGCACACACCTGCATGGAGCACACACATGTGTGTGTGGGGGGGTACATACACCCACATGGAGCACACAAACCCCGCAGCACACACAGCACGTGTGGAGCACATGGAGCTCACAGATGCATGGAGCACATGGAGCTCACAGATGCATGGAGCACATGGAGCTCACAGATGCATGGAGCGCATGGAGCTCACAGATGCATGGAGCGCATGGAGCTCACAGATGCATGGAGCGCATGGAGCTCACAGATGCATGGAGCTCATGCATTCCCGGGGCACGCACACAGAATACCAGTGCTCACCCTCCACCACCTCCCGTCCCCGTGTGCTCACCCCACGCCGCGGGCAGCAGCAGCAGCAGCGGCAGCAGCAGCGCGGGCAGGAGCGGGCGGCGGCGGCCGGAGCCCATCACCGCCGCGGCGCTCCGGGACCAGGACCCAAGCGGAGCCGAGCAGCGGGTGCGCAGCCGGGAGCGGCCCCCGCAGGGCGGGGAGCAAGGCCCCTCCTGGAGCTGCTGAGAGGGAGGGAGGGAGGGAAGGGACGGGAAAGGAGATGATGCTGCAGCCGCCAAAGGTGGGGCAGCGCAGCTCGCTGTGGTACCACCGAGCAGCCCCTCTCCTGCACACGCTTTCAGTGAGAGACAAGCAGGTGATGGCCCGTGGGACACAAGGTAAGGAGCAAAGGGATCTGAGCGTACCTGGGATGCAGCTGGGCACCCGTGGGTACCATCTGCCGCTGGCCAGGCACCGCACGGTGCTGGTGGCACCCAGGGGCACGTAGCCGGGGTCGCACGTGAGCATGGCTGTGCTGCTCGAGGTGAAGTTCTGTGCAGGTCCCAGCTGTCCATGGGAGATGTCTGGGATGGGGCACTGAGCCTCTGCGGATCACCGGCTCCCAAACCAGTTCCAAGCATCACCTGCCTGTCCCTAGGAAGAGGCTTCCCTGAAGAGAGGTTTTTCTGCAAGAAGAGAGAGGAGAAGGGAGCTTTCCTCCGGTCCAAGGGATGCGCAGGGGACCAGAGGGCTGTAAACCAGCTCCACTTTGAAGCTGCTGATTGGCAGCGTTTCCACTGTCACTCTCCCAGTCAGACACACAGCTCCTCACATGGGAGGAGAGGCTCAGGGATGTCTTCACACCCAGCCAGGCACAGGAGCAGTTTGTTCAGCTCCATGCCTGCATTGGGAAGCTGCTCTGGGCTCCCTGCCCTCCACAGGGATTGCAGAAAGAGCCAAAGGAAAGGTTGTGGCTGTGTTTGCTGCCCTGTCCTGCTCTGATGAGCAGCACTGCTGCTAGGGGGGATGTGTCACCCCACCCCGAGGAAAGGGCAGCCAGCAGCAGCCCATCTGCCTCCCTCTGCCTTTGTTATTCAGGAAACGCTGATGTTTCCACTGGAAAGCTCCATCATTTTATTTTAGTTCACTTCCCCCACTTGATTTCCCTTTCCAATGCAATTTAAGCTCCAAGCACACATAACAAAAGCACCTGCAACGAGGCCAAGAGATGTTTTCATGAGGGAGGAGTCAAGTAGCCTGGATAACATATTCCTTTCAAACACTTCCTTGTGACCACGCTGGCAGGTCATATGGAGATGTCTTGGCCACATACATTTACAGGTCACTGGTCACCGAGCTGGGATGGTGGCTGCATAATACAACAGGAGGTTGCTAAGAGGAAAAAGGTGGTGTTAAATGTAGGGGAATTCTCTTGTAAGAGCTGTCAGCAATGACCTCAGCAAGGGAGGGCAAGATGTGCACAAGTATTTGGCAAAGAGCTCTTGTAACACTTGAGTTTCAGGGAGTGGCTGGGTTCTGACGTACTCAGAACCAAGTGCTCGAGGTTCAACCCAGTGGAATCCCCTCAACAGAGCCCAGATGAACCCATTGAACCAGGCTGTTTTCCTGCCTGAGGCCATGCAGGAGCATCTCTACCTCCCCAAACCATCAGGCTCAGCCCATCCCCTGCCCCCATTTACTGCCCCATTTTGACCCAGTAACGGCCCAAGCACCAAAACCTCCTGCTCTGGAGCTGCCCCAGCAGCTGAGCCCTGTGATAGCGGCTCTGCCCTGCTCAGCTGGAGCCAGCAAGGGCCACTGGCTTTATCTTGCCCTGACATCCTTTCCCCGTGCTGCAGGAATCAGGCCAAGCAGATGGTGACGGCCGAAGCGACAGCACAGAGGGGAGCCTGACCCATGCTGCTCTGTGTGTGCTCACACCGCAAGGCTTGGACCTGGAGCAACACAAGCTTCCAGCAAACCAGGGCAGAGCTGCTGGAGCTGCTCTTGGCTTTCCACAGACCTCGGCTCCTTTCCAACCCTGGGCAGGGCAGCAGCTCCCAGCTCCCGGAGCCTCTCTGGGGATGTCCCTGGCTCTACCCGGGCTGAGCTGGGGAGCCACAGCTCAAGACCAGGACACTGAGCAGGGTTAAGGCAGGTGTGCCTTACTGGTGACATCACTTACCAGAAACACATTGCCAAACATCCCTGCATGGATTTTCTTTCTTTTTATGAAGAAACCAAGTTAAATTTGCACAGGAGGCCATTTAGAAAAGAAAAAAGCGCTGATAAAAAACCCCAAATCTGAACATCACCAACACGTATCTAAAAGCTGATACCTTCCTGAAAACAGCATCAGCTATGGAAAGGGAAGAGCAGGCAGCCGAATTCAGAAGCTACCCTTCATAAGCAGTTGCCATTTATTACTAAATGCAAGTAAAGTCCCATTAAGACTTTGGGAGCTTTAATGTTCAGTGAAGAGCAGACAGTAACCGGCCAGCAGCATAACCCTGCCATTTCCAGGTTCTCTCTTGCAGTGTGACAACACAGGAGGGTGTATTGAGCAGTCCCTTCTCTGTGTCTGTGAGGAGTCCATGCGCTCACAGCCTGCAGTGTTGCAGAGGGGCCTTCCTCCCTCGGGAAAGCAGAACTGGCTTCTTTTTGGCTGGTAGATACCCAGTGGCTGTTATCTGTCGTGTATGAACAGAGATAGAAACTGCAGAGCACTTGGGTCTGATACAGAAAACACTTTAGCTGAAGAAAGTGCTTGAAGTACTGAAGGTTCACAGATCAACATTCGATTTAGCATGTAAGATACTGTGCTTTCCTAACAGAAAAGAGCTGCTAACCTTGCAGGAGGGGGAAGCCAGTTCTTGGCTCTCAGCACAACCCTGCCTGGGTGTATCTGCAACTGGAGCGTGCTACAGCCAGAAATTCCTGGGCAGTGAAGGGAGCAGCTCATCCTGGCTGATTGCTGTGGGTCCTTTACAGCCTGTCCTGTGCACTGCTATGTGTGGTGTCGCCTGTCGCCTGCAGGTGTGGAAACACTGAGTTGCACTGGTTGAGATAGAACCGAGCTGCACCAGAACCTCTGCAGAGGGCTGAGGGGGTCCTGAGAATCTGCAGCTTCCCAGCCTGAAGGAAAGGCTGGTAAGATCCATAGGGAATCCTGACTGGATTCAGGACGTTGCTGGAAATGGCTGAAAGAGAGAAAAGCTCAGCTGGGAGAAGCAGCAATGGGAATTGGCAAACTCTTGTGTAAGGGATTTTCAATCAATTTCTTGGAACGTTAAGACCTAACCATCATTGTAAAAGCTACCTCCCAATGGGTGTTTTGTCTTGATCATTATCGCTTCCAATTACATGCTTGTAGTCCCCACCCAGGCACCATTCCCAACACTCACCCTTTTTACGGGTACAAGAATCCTTTGCACCGGATAGGAAACCTGTTGTAGCAACACTTCTGCCACTTCCAGCTTCTGCGGGCTGCCCATGACCTCACTGGTGTGGAACAAGGTCTGTGTTAGTACACTGCCTCTTGCTGCTGAACAAGGAGAGAAGTCCCAACACTCTCATGGCCACATGGGCCAAAGTTATCTCTTGTTTTTCAATATGGCAAAAATTGAGTTAAATCAGATCTGTGATGAGGGCAAGGGAAAAACTGACAAAATACATTTAATACAAAGCAAAGCTTTTGTAAGAGGAGGTCAACGCAGTCAAATCTCATAGAAGGCAAGAACACAATGAAAAAGAAATCACTCACTTCCACAAAATGATGCAACTTTAGACCACTTTAGCTTCTCAAAGCAACCAGCTTGGGGGAGGATGCCAGAGATCCCCATGTACTTCGGAAGACAGATGGATCCTTGGCTGGTCCAAGGAGAATGGTAGGGTTTGGTTTTGTACAAAGGAACAACGAATCTCAATGGGGAGGTAGCACAGCTCCTGGACACTGAAGAGGAACATAGGGGAAAATGGCAGTTCCAGGTATAGGAGCACCAGGGAGTTTCACTGATGAGCTCCCCTGAACTCCAGTGATCCTACAGGGACTGACCTGGTGTCTTGGAGAAAGAAGAAGAATGGGAGTAAGAGATGGTGTTTTGGAGTGACTTTTTATAAAGGCTGAGCTTCGTTTCCCATTTCGAAGCTTTCTTCTTAGCCAGGTGGATGCCTTTTTGTTGGGAACCTGAAAGAATGAAAACCCTGGTGTGAAATGGCTTAAATGTGATACAGGAGCAAATTCAGGTGGGAAACGTGGGTCTTGATTCAGTGTCAGATCCTTCCAACTCACTTTGGGGAGGAGGACTCCTTTACATTTGTTTTACTCCAAGTTTGACAGGCAGCTTTTTCTCTAGGGTATAAAGAGTAAGCATCGCTTAGCACCGCACCTTTCCTACACAGGCCATTCCTTACTCACTTCAGCACTGCTTTTTTTCCTCTTTCAGATTGCAGTATGACTTACACCCTGTGCTAAGCAATCACAGTATTTTAAGCTGGTGCATCCTAAATACTGAATTCACAATAAATACTAAACTCAGACGAAACCACCTTTGCACGCAGGCACAGCTCTGCTCCAGACTCCCTTTGTTTTGTCCGTACTGGTACAACGGATGCTCCCATTCCCAACGAGCTGGAAGCCAGAGTCACAGCTGTAAGTCACGGTGGAGTTATAAGCAAAGGTTTTTACGCCTTCCCCATCATGTTTTCCATTGCTAATGTGAGGAGGTGAAGAGCAGGTAATTACTGCGGGGAAAAAGGTCAACATAAGCATTGCTAAAGGCTTCAGTAATAATGCAAATGCAAAAGGTTTCTTGAGTCCATGTGAAACTCAAAGACAATAAACATCCAGACAGCTGAAGAGAGGTAAAAACTAGCACTGAGATCTGTCCTGATTCTCTTTGTTCTTTCTGTTGTCACATCTTTCTCCTTCCCCATTCCCAGGGTCCCAGAACATCAACAGACCACTTGCCAAGCCCTGCCTGGTGCTTCCTGCAAGCCCCATCCCACCAACTTCACTGCAGCCTTAAGTCATGAGAAAATAGGTTGAACTTGTGGGAACAAAACTGCTGAAACCCAGTGTCAGCAGCACAGTGGGGATTTCTGAGCTGCGGTGGTGGTGGTGGAGCTGCCACATAACATAACAAAAACAGAGTATGAAGACAGGCTTAGACTGGACATTAGGATCTACTGGAGCAAAGTCAGAAATAAGGGTGGGTTAACCTTACATTCACAAGTTGGAAGTGTACTCCATGCAACATCGTTGCCTTTAAGCTGGCACTGGATGAAATGACTCCCGTTCAATCTGTACCTAAGTGAAAATCCACAAGAAAAGAAGCATTTGTGTTAACTGTTCAGAAACAGAGAATACAGTTTTTTCCCTGTTACCTGTCTGCTCAGGAATGGAGAAAAGGCAAAGTTAAAACAAGCAGATGTGCACACTGATACACATTGATAACAGGAGAGCTCCTTCACTTTGCTCTCTGCCAGCATTCGTCTTAATCTGGTTTTTAGGTGATTCTCTGCTTTCAGAGTGAGCATCTTCCATTGCAAGGCTGGGAGCATGTGCTGAATCCTAGAATGGTTTGGGTTGAAGGGACCCTAAAGCTCCTCCAGTCCCAACCCCTGCCGCGGGCAGGGACCCCTTCCACTGGAGCAGCTTGCTCCAAGCCCCTGTGTCCCACCTGGCCTTGAGCACTGCCAGGGATGGGGATGTGAATGCCAGCCAGCACTGAGGTTAGCCGTGGATTCCCACCCGGGCTCGGGTTTGCTGAATCAGGAGCTATTTCCCCCCTGTCTGCTTCCTGGCGGAGAACAGCACTGGGATTGATGCTGCTGGCTTCCAGTGCCTTTCCCACGCCACTGCCACCCACTGGGATGAGGGGGTGAGCTCATGCAGCATCTCTAAAGGCTGGGGCTCAGCCCCCGCTGCTGCTCACCCCCAGCAGTGCTGCAGTACCCGCTGTGCTGGACCTGCTGGCAGCCCTGCTGGGGTGTGGAGGGCAGCCTGCCCGCGGTCTCCAGTGCTGCCTCCTCTCTGGCACGGTGCTTTTGGGTCATAAAGGTGCAGCTGTTCTGCTAAGGGAAGCCAGCAACAGCACCAAATATTGAACAGCAGGGAGCAGTGAGGGGCAGTGAGGATCTCTGTGTCATTTGGGGTGGATTGGCTTGCTGGAAGCTCAGTACATCTTGCTCTGACAGCACCAACACCTTTCCCAACCTCTGGCTTACATCCTTCTGCTCAAAAAAAATATCACCATTTGGACAGGATCGATAGTATCTGATCTTGCTTATATGGACAACATTATTCCTCCACCCTGATGAGGTATTGCCAAAGATCAGCTGAATTGCAGAAGGGTGGGACATGCTGTCATTTCCCCAGCATCCATCCTAAGGGAATATCTGCAGGAAAAACCCCTGTGTTATATTTGAGGCAGCTGTAAAGACTGGCAGAAGCCAGATGATACCAGCTAATTCCTGCTAGGGAGGGAGGAATACAAGTTGGGGATGCAGGAACTTACTTTTGCATGTCAGTCTTTTGCAAGTGACCCTGATTGAAAGCAGGCAGAAAGTGTGAGTCAGCTCAGTGAGTGATGGAAAGAGCGCTTCACTGCAGTCTTCTGGACATCGCTGACCTTTAAACATTCCAACATAACCCCTTTTTAGTCCATATATCTCAAATATGCTGAGCTGAAATGTTCAAGGCCGGGTTGGATGGGGCTTGAAGCAACCTGGTCTAGTGGAAGGTGTCCCTGCTACGGCAGGGGGTTGGAACTGGATGAGCTTTGAGATGCCCTCAACCCAAACCAGGCTGGGATCCTCTGAAATAGTTGAAGTAACTTGTTTTGAAGTGTGCAGTTATAAACTGAACATACAACCAGCCCTGTTTGGTTGATGCACAGGGGCAGTTCAATCGCCTCTGCATGACATTTGATAGAAAAAGCAGCCACAGATTCAAACCCAGTCCCTTCCCTTCAGCTGTGTCTTATTCCTTCCCAGCCCAAAGATGCAATTCAAATGGGAAAAGCAGCCCCATGCTCTGCACTGTGAGCAACACCACAGGAGTGATACACAGTGAAACAGCATCCCAGCATCCCTGCGCTGGACCAGAGCCTGTGTGCCAGCAGCAGTGTGCTGGAGCTTAGGCCATTGCCCTGGGACTCACCCGTCTTCACAGAACATGTTCACTCTGGCCCCGAACCGCAGGTCTGTCAGTGTGACCATCCTGCCCCCGGGCAGTGCCCCTGGGTCCCCACAGGATTTCCCTGCCGGAGAATGAGGCTGGTGTTAACAGAACACACAATGATGGGTAAATCCCGAGTAAGGAACAGACTTAGGGGTTATACCCAGTGCTACCAGAGTGTTCTACTTCACAAGCATCTTGCAGGAGGGCAGAGGAGGCTGCTTGCGGAGGTATTCCCATTCCCATAGATTAACAGTAAATTACTCAGCTGTGAAAAAGGTATTGCTGCCACACCATCAGACTTAATATTACATGGATTTCATCAAGGAACACGTTTTGTCTTCATTTTGAAGTGCAGCACAACTGCAGCTCGGCACCTGTCCTGCGCACAGACCACAGCCAGACAGAACCATATGGAGCAGAGCAGAGCAGAGCAGAGATACTCACTCCTGCACAGCTCAGCAGCTTGTGACCACTCCAGGTTTTCAAGGCAAGTGCTGGTGGGGGAGCTTTCCGAGGTGTTCTCATAGCCGGGGCGGCAGACGTAGCTCACATTGCTCCCAACGGGAAAGAAGTTAATGCTCTCATCCACCTCGGAGAGGGCAGCAAACCTGAGCCTTGTCGGGGCAGCGCAGCTCCCTGGTGGTCAAGGAAACCTGACCTGAAAGAGCTGCCCTTGGGGAAGCATGCAAAATAAACCTCGGCAGTGCAGAGCTGCTCCTGCTATGGTGCTTTTGGAAAGCTCCTCGTGTTCAGCACAGGTTATGGCTGCTTTCTTACCAGGCTGCTGTTCTGCTGAACACCCTTTGGCAAAACAGGGATGGAGATGTGGTAACAGCGCAGGCAAAGCTGTTAGTAGGAAATAAGGAGTCACAGCCTCTGCAGCCTCTGACACCCAGGGTTTGGGAGGCGCAGGAGCATCGTGGGCTCCAGCCACCATCCAACTGACCCCATCACTGACCAGCTTGGATCCTGCACCCATCAGCATGCAGCAGCCATGGGAAGTGGGTCTGTACCTTGCCAGAGGTGGTGATGCCGTTGCAGAGCAGCCACTGTAAGAGGCAGAAGCGTGAAGCCAAGCAAGAGGCTCTTTGGAGCTGGGTCTCAGAGAAAGGAGGTATTTACGGCCGCAGGGCTCGGGCAGTGTGGACCAGCGTGCGCCGGGCAGGCACTTCACCATGTCTGATCTCCCAGGGATTTTGATGGTGCCTTCGATGCACGTGTATGTCACACTGGATCCAGTAGGGAAACTCATGGTGTGCTTCTCAATGGATGGCCTGGAGTAGGTCATGGAAGGGGGGGGCCCACAGTCACCTGCAGTAGGAGAAAACCACTTTGGATGATGCCTCCATTCCCTGGCCCCTTCCCCAGCCCCACTGAGCATCCCAGCTCCTGGGCTGACCCAGGATTCTTCTGCAGGCAAAGGTGCCAGGCAGGACTGCATCCATGAGAGCATCAAGCAATGGATACCCCCAGGCTTGGGGATGATGGTGGCATCACCCACCCCAGCCCCGAGCAGCAAGGTGGGATCCGGACAGGTCTCATTGATCCTCCCCGTGCATCCTATGCTCCTGTACTCACCATGAGCCACAGGCATGCCCAGGAGCCCCAGCAAGGGCAGGAGCAGCATGGAGTATCCAGATGCCCATGCACCAGCGGGTGCCCTGCAGGTCAGGGTGCCTGGGTGCTTCCCCCATCCTGGTTCTCCAGACTTCATTGCAGTGATTCCTGTGCTCCTCTGTCAAGCACTGTTTAGCTCCAAGGGGCTGTTTCTGCAGCTGGGAGGAGATGCAGCCCAGGAGACCCAGCCAAACCTCTGCAACAGTGGAAACCTTTCCAGAACACCCAGGGAGCTAAACTCTGAGTCAGGGACATAGAGAGCAGCCAAGGGTGGGGGACAACTGTCATCCACAGCTCGGGTTATGCCTCTGGTCCTCCTGCCTCACCATAAGGGATGGGGGGATAACTCAACCCTTTCATTTGACTTGAGGCTGGCTCGAAGCACTAGTTCTTACCAAAACCAAATGCTACCAGAGCAGAAAAGACCCTCACCCAGCCCCAGTCTATGCCCAGGGTAAGTAAATGCCCCTGGTTATTTGCTGGCAGGTGATGCAACCAGGATCTTCCCTAAGCAGCTTTAAGGAAACAAAAAATAGAAGCATTTTCCTTTTTGCTTGCTAATTTGTTTCTTGATTGCCTGACTCATTTATAAGCAGGAATGGGTGGGAGTGAATACATCTGCATACTGACTAACATGCTGAAGTATCCCTGACATCAGTCAAGACTACTGAAACACACTCTTAGATACACGTGGGATGTAACACCCAGTTCTTACTCATGCTGATGGGTTGTGAGCCTTGCACAGGGAGATAAGACTCTTGCTGTTTGCAGCCTCAGGTGAGCTCAGTGAAGAGGGGAGTGAGGTGTCACAGGAGAGGATACAGCCCAGCTCTCCCTGGGGCACAGGGAGCACTGAGGTGGGTCTGAGAGTGCCTCTCACTGCAGAGGATGCTGTGGGGATGATGCACAGGTTGCATTATCAAAGCATCTTTCTATGTAAAGGTGGAAGATGCCATCTCTTCCCTGGGTGTTGTGGTTAGGCTCTAGTAACCTTTAAAGCAGCTCTAATAAAGCATGCATCTGGCAGTGATATCCCACCGTAAACCACTTGGGCAGGAGACGAATTACAGTCTTGATCAGGAGAGCCCTTGGACCATGCTGGAAATCAGCCAGACAGATCACAAGACACCATGGTGACACCTTCAGCTTTATTGCAACCCGCAGGGAAGGAGTTGTTGCTCCATCCCAGGGCCACACAAACTGTAAATCATCATTTATTGAGTAATGAGAGCAAGCTTTGGGTTCTGATTCTCTACACATCAAGTTACAATATCTATTCTCAGCGTTTGCTTGCCAGAAATAAGGATGTTGAACACGACGCCAACAGAGGTACCTGAGCCCAGTGCTGGATCAGAAACCTCTTGCTCTTAAATCCGGGGATTAGAAAGCAGAAGCCTTTAGAGAAGCACTTCTATGTAGTCACGCTGAACTAGATGAATAGAAATCATGCTCTAGATTAACAGGACATGACGTAGTTCAGCACTCACTTCATTGCTATTTCTAGATAGCAGGAGTACGCTGGTGCAATGAGAGGCTGAGCTCAGCCCAGGCAGAGGGTGAGGCGTTTGTGCACAAACACCTTCAAAGAGAACCACTCATCTCAGCTGGAGGTTTACTTCCGTGGACTTCAGTCCCCCTCCTCTTGACTTAGCAGTGACTCAGAGCTCCCTTTACTTTCTTACTACACTTCCTGATATAAAATGTGGCACAGCGCACTTGTTGCATAGCAAAACAGACTTGTCGGGTTTAAGGAAAAGAGCAAAAACCCCTCCGGGCTCCAGCGTCTAGCGCAGCAAAAGCAGCCTCCCATGCACTGCTTATTACTTGTCTGGCTATAGGCATGCAAGCACAAACCATAAAGTCACTGATAATCTTCTTATAGATACCATGGCTAAACAAACCGTGTGTTCACCAAATGAAAGGGGATCTTTACAGCGCATTTTTGGACTCACTTGTTCAGGGTTTCTAGTTCCACATTTAGTTTTTTAACCTCCAGCAGCAGCTTTTGTATTTCCAGCAGAGTTTTCACTTCTGCTATAGGCACACCGCATTCGAAGGCTGCTTTAATGTAATGAACCTCTTGGCATACATCAGCATCACCATCCTTCTTCTGTTGGAAAGCAAAGCAGAACAAACAAAACCCAGGCAAAAAGGATGTAAAACTGCACTGCAGCAGATGGGAGCCACCTGCTCCTCAGCTCGAGGCTGAACTGCCCCACTTGCCTCATTACAGACCCCATTCCTCACTGGTGCCATCAAGCAAAAGCTTTTAAGAAGCTCAAGCAGTTATTTTTCATATTAGATATCAAGCAATAACCATCCAGACCATGGTACTTACACACTTGGGCAATGGTGTCCAGTTGCCATCAGGCAAGCATGTGGCTGTTGAAGACATGTCTGAAAGGTGGTATCCCTGGGAGCATTCAAATGTAACAGTCTCATTTGTTTGGTACCACATTTTCCCATCCAAAGTGCTATTCAGCCTTCCATTGGCCACGTGTGGTTGTGGACACAGAACTGAAAGGGAAACCCACAGCAGAAGGCAGCTCAGCAAGAGGCTCATCGTTATGTAGGTAGAAAAAGACCCCACAAAGTTTGTGATGCCTGAGGCAGACCAAGTGGACTTGAATCTGTGGAGCCATGGAAACCAAATGTTAAAGCCAAGTTACTTCCTCAGGCTCTTCAAAGGAGAAGGGAGATGGTCAGAACACATTGGTTGTTTTCTGTCTCAATTTGGCCATCCCCATGCAAGAGGCTGCAGACACCTCTCAGTACGAATGCGCACTGAAGAGAAAGTCAACAATGACGGTGGCTCCTGACCTGCCTTAGAGCCTCCTTTGTACCTGACCATCCAGAAGAAACCAGCCTGGTAAGCACCAGCTTTGGGAAGTTTGTTTCTTCTGCAGAGGGGAAGGCACTAGGGAAACCCTGAGGATAGACACAGGCACATGATGCTGCACCCCAAGCTCTCTGCACCCTGCTGGTACCCACCGGGCTGGCAGGAGGGCAGAGGAGGGTGCCAGGTGCTGTCAGCCAGGCACCGGCTCTCAGCATCACCACGCAGCACGAAGCCTTCGTCACAGGAGAAGCGCACGACTGCTCCATAGGGAAACGTGAATCTCTGTGGGCTCATCCTGCCCCTCTCGACCACGGGCCTGGGGCACCGGACCACTGCGGGAAGAGAGCAGAACGGGGGGTTTGGATCTGCGCTTCCCCAGGGACAGCAGGGACCCAGGTGAGGTGGGGAGAGCCACAGTTCCTGGTGCTCTCTGCATCAGTTTTATACTCAGAGCCACAGTTCCTGGTGCTCTCTGCATCAGTTTTATACTCAGAGCCACAGTTCCTGGTGCTCTCTGCATCAGTTTTATACTCAGAGCCACAGTTCCTGGTGCTCTCTGCATCAGTTTTATCAAGCCACATTCCTGGTGCTCCTGCCAGTTTTACTCAAGCCACACCTCCACAACAACCACACCCCACAAACCACACCCCCACAAACCAACCACAACCCCCACAACAACCACACCCCCCAAACACACCACAACAACCACACCCCCACAAACAACCACAACCCTCTCTCATATTATACTCAGAGCCACAATTCCTGGTGCTCTCTGCATCAGTTTTATACTCAGAGCCACAGTTCCTGGTGCTCCCTGCATCAGTTTTATACTCAAAGCCACAATTCCTGGTGCTCCCTGCATCAGTTTTATACTCAGAGCCACACCTCCTGACCATCTGATGGCCATCAAAGTAAGACAACCAGTGTCTCCTGTTTCCACATGGATAATCTCCAGTCCAGCGCTGTCAAGCCTGTGATAAAGCCTACAAAGGAAGCAGGATCTCCCAGCAGCCCTGCTCACTTAATCCCATTGAGTGCTAATATTGGCCCCAGGTCCTGGCTTCAGTTTGGTCCCATATGAGAAAAACGACTCACCCCTGCACTCCGGGGCAGGTTTGCTCCATGCCAAGCTCACCCCATCATCAGAGGTGCAGTAGATGGAGTCGTCCCCAATGAGGGACATACCCTCCACACATCTGTACTTCACTTCGGAGCCGTAGAGGAACAGCTCCGTTTTCAAGCTGGTGTGCTGCCCGTTGGTGAGTTTTGGAGGGGGGCCACAGACTGTGGGAGAATAGAGAAAGAGAAGATGAAGATTTCCTTCATTTAGCAGGGAAATAACAGGAGAAGTCAGTTCTCAACGTTTATACTTAGGGTTGCTCTCCTCAAAGTCCTCCTCCCAACAGCACTGGCTCCACCAGTGTTCCCAGACTGGCCCAGGTAGCCACCCCAACCCAGCACAGCACGTGTCCCAGCCTTTCCCTTACCCCTCCTCTTTTCCATGAGGAACGATACTGCTCATAAACAGGGTTAGGGAACTGCGGGTACCATAAACCTCTTGAGCCCCCTCTGAGAAGCAGCTGCAAGTCCCATTCTCAACATACTTAATCCCAGTTTTGACAAAAGATGAAAACACTAAAGCCATTTAATGATGTGACTTGGACCCCTACTCCGAGAAGCAATAGTCGGATGATTTCTTCACTGCTGCCCCTACCCTGGCAGAGATGCAGTTGCTGACCCCCGCTGTTGGTGCTCACCTTTGTCACAGTATGGCACAGGGGGTCTCCAGGTCCCATCAGACCAGCACTGGATCCTCTGGCTGCCCCTCAGCACGTAGCCATGCTCGCACTGAAGTTCCACCTGCTGCCCAAAGGTGTATTCATCTCTCCTAGGACTGATTTCCCTCCCGTGTTGGATATCCGGGCTGGGACACTGCACCTCTGAGGAACACCAGCATCAGAAAGAGTTTCCATGGGTTGAATCAGGAGGGAAGAGCAGGAGACATTCACAGGGAGGTGTTTTCCCATAGCAGTGGGTTGCAGACCTAAAGAACTTGCCAGGCAGACTGCTAATGCTGACAGACATCTCTAACCAGACCTGGCATGCTCAGGGATGGCAATTATGTGATAACAGCCATTCCTCTTGGAAGGCAGAATGATCCAAGCCCTGTAATTAGCTATAAATTGTGCTGAAGGGATGAGACATTACGAGCTGCATCACTGTTTGAACAGCTAAATAATCAGTGGGAGTTGCAGCTCTTTCTTCTCAGCCATGCTACCCATAGAACAGCAAGCCAATCAGCAGTGAGAGCCAAAGATCTGCTCAATAACGCCCTTATGGCACGGCAGCACTAGTGGGTGTTTTCGATATGGTGTTATGACCACATCATTACACTGATGCAAAGGCAATGGTGCACTTACCCTGGCAAAGCTTTGGGACTGCGGTCCATGTGAGATTCTGAAGACAAGTGGCTACTGGAGATACTCCAGGGAGCAAAGTATAGCCGGGTCTGCAGGAGTAGGTCACGGTTGTCCCAACTGAAAACTCACGCTGAGGGTTTCGGTCCGTGTGGTCAATGACAGGAGGGTAGGAACAGTGACCTGGTGCCAGAGTAAGGGACAGCATTGACCCTCAAAGCTGGGGATGAGGCTGAGCCCTGCCTGGGGGCACCCACTCTGTCCCTTGGGCACTGGTGGCACCACAGAAGGAAGCCAAGGGACAGCAGCAGCCATGAGCATCGCTGTGGGGTAGAGTGGCTGAACCGAAAAGCAGAATACACTGATGGCAAATTCACCAAAGGATGTGACTCTGATGAAGGTCTTTATTCTCATACGCTTTTGTATCTCATCGGGTGACCCTGCAGCAGGCACAACAGCCCTGCCGTGTCACCCAGGAGTGATGGAAGAGCAGGGAGGAACCCTGCCACCAAAGGTGGGGCAGCGCAGCTCGCTGTGGTACCACCGTGCAGCCCCTCTCCTGCACACGCTTTCAGTGAGAGACAAGCAGGTGATGGCCCGTGGGACACAAGGTAAGGAGCAAAGGGATCTGAGCGTACCTGGGATGCAGCTGGGCACCCGTGGGTACCATCTGCCGCTGGCCAGGCACCGCACGGTGCTGGTGGCACCCAGGGGCACGTAGCCGGGGTCGCACGTGAGCATGGCTGTGCTGCTCGAGGTGAAGTTCTGTGCAGGTCCCAGCTGTCCATGGGAGATGTCTGGGATGGGGCACTGAGCCTCTGCGGATCACAGAATCACAGCACAGTTTGGGTTGAAGGGATCTTAAAGCTCCTCCAGCTCCAACCCCTGCCATGGGCAGGGACCCCTTCCACTGGAGCAGCTTGCTCCAAGCCCCTGTGTCCAACCTGGCCTTGAGCACTGCCAGGGATGGGGCAGCCACAGCTTCTCTGGGCACCCTGTGCCAGCGCCTCAGCACCCTCACAGGGAAGAGCTCCTGCCTAAGAGCTCATCAGGGTGTTCTTACTAAATACAGCTGCAGCAATCAACTGCCAGTGCACCTTCATCTGGTAAGTAAGAGAAGACAAATCAGTTTAACAGATGCAGTGACTGAGGCTGAAATTAGTGGTTCCTAAGTGTGCTTAAGCAGCCATCACCCACAGGACTTTAAACCTGAGTTTTTATCATTGTACACCATCAAATGCTATTCCTGACAGCACTTGCTCTAACAGCTACAACTCACCTGCGTGCTGGGGTGGGTGACTTCAGAGCCCTGGCAGTCCGCTTCCAGCATCACATCTGCACTGGTCCATGGCAGGACTGCTGATGCTGCCTTTGGTACCAATACCCACAGAAAGAGCACGTCTCTACTCATAAGTGCCTTCCCCAGGCCCCAGCTCAGGTATCAGCACACCACTTACAATGCTCGGGTTTGGAAAATGGACTGAGAAGCATCATGAAGTAGAGACAATAATCTCTAACAATAAACAGGGTATAAAGGTGGTGCTGGCAGGAGGGGGCTCTGCAGGGAGGCACTGGGGTGGGCTGTGCATCCTGGCAAGTGTCTCAAATGGCCTCTTTTTAAGGGAACTGTCAACTTCGAGACAGAAAGAGGGTTATTCCTCTTCCTAGAGACATTAGTCAGCAAACACCCACTTCTCCTGTGGGGAGCATGACAATCTACCAGCTACCTTCTGTGTGTCTGTTGCCTCAGGGCATAAGCATCAACCTGGGTATCAACCTGCTACCACTCAGACTGCCAAATACAACCTTTGCCATTAAAAACTAAGTATTACCCGTCTAACTGACTCTCCCCATCTCAGCACCTCCTTTGCTTTGAGCTCCAGGCTGGAAGGGCATCTCCGACCCTGGGAACTACTTCTCATCTACTGCATGGATGCTCAAGGCAAAGGGTGGTACACTCCCTGCAACACCAGGTCTGAACTCCAGACCAGAAGAGGCTCTGCAGCGGAGAGACCTGGCCCTGCACTGCCCCAAGGACGAGCTCATGGCCTCAAACCAGCCGTACCCAAACACCAGTCCCAGGAAGGTTCGTATCCCAGTTTAAGGCTTTTGAAGAGCATTCAATGTGAGGTGCTGGGTCGAGAGAAGCAGCTAAAGAGGAGAAAAGGGCAATTAGCAGCAACCAGTGACCTCAGATCATCCTTACAAGAACATCAGGCACAGGCAGAGCATGGCAGCGACTTCAGCCAGAGGGATTGCTCCTGCTGAGTTTCACCAGCCCACTCACTGCAGAGCTGATCCAGAAGCAAAGCTGAGCCCCAGAAGCAAAGCAAACAAGAGGAGGAACACTCACTGAGACTCCCAGCCGGCTGCAGCACAACCACCACCACTGCCAGGAGATGCCCCAGCCAGCAGAGGAGCGGCATGGTGAGACCCTTCCCAGCCGAGAGCTGCTGCAGTGCACTGGGGAAGGGGAAGTGGCTGTGGGAAGTTGGGGACAGGCCAGAGGAGCTGACACTGCCACCCCCCAGCCCTTCTGACCTCCCCCAGCCGAGGGCTGCCCCCCCTGAGCTCACCAGCAAGGATGTGCCAACAGAGAGGAGGATGCTGATGCTGCTCTCCCCATCCCTGGCAGTGCTCAAGGCCAGGTTGGACACAGGGGCTTGGAGCAAGCTGCTCCAGTGGAAGGGGTCCCTGCCCTGGCAGGGGTTGGAGCTGGAGGAGCTTTAAGGTCCCTTCCAACCCAAACCATTCCATGATTCCTCCAAGGTGGGGACAGTGGGGATAAAGCTACTTTACAGCTAGAAGAGCTTTGCAGCATTCTGACTTCCTTCTGGTGCTCTAAGGGCAATGCTGCACATTCACTTTGCCTCTTTATCCAGGTGTTAGGCAGGGGTGGGGAAGGCAGCCCTCTCTATGCCTAGTCAAGCAGCGGTTATTGAAGCACCTCTTTCTTTTCCTACAAATAAGACAATTATTAAAAGGCAGAGTCAGCTGTCATTGCAATTGCAGTTTTATTATGATCTCGTGGTGAAGGAGCACTGCTCGGATCACAGGATGCCTGCCCACAGAGTGCTTCCCCTTTACCGGAGGTTGCAGAAAAGATTCAGCCATTTCTTTCTTTATGCTTTGCTTTCCCCCAGCTGCTCTTGGAGCACACACAAAGGTGCAGCAAGCGGCACTGCTGTGGCCTCGGATCCATCTGTCCTGCTTGGGAAGGAAGCCTGGCATTTTTGCTTGGATTCGAGGTGTCCTCCATTGGGCCTGCTTTGAAGGTCATGGCTAATCAGGCAGGTAAGTGCTTGTTCACAGTAATGAACGCAGCATATATGAATGGAGGAGCAATGGGCTCGACTGGGTTGCAGGGGGTTGTGAGGCGAGTGTGAGTTGGTGGCTCTCACCGTGTCCATGTCCCTACAGCATCTGCTTGGCTCCCACAGGGATTTACTTTTCCTTCAGCTCCTTTCTAACTGAGCCCTTGTCAGTATAGCAAATATAGCTAAATGTATAAAGTGATGTAGAAACCTAACAGAGTGATCTCTAACAGAATGAGCCCAAAGTAGGCATTTCCTGACTCCCTGTATGGCCAAAGAGTCAAAGTTCTTTGACTGATTGAGTATTAGCACAAATCACAAAGTCATAAAGAAACCCTCAGTGAGAACGATTGTTCCTCATGCAAAGAGAACAGTTCTTATGATACCGGTGATGACAGTCAGCCATACGCTGTGGTTTTTAGCTCCTTTTCAAGCTTCTGGATCTCCAGGTACAGTTTGTGGACTTCCAGCAGAGTTTTCAGTTCTGCCAGAGGAACTCCACACTGGAAAGCTTCCCTGTTCTGAAGGATCTTCTCACATGTATCACGCTTTTTCTTTAAAAGAACCAAAAGAAAGGCAAGGTGTGAGATGGCTGCAGGGAGCCAGGGCTGAGCATCCCCCTCCTACCACAGCCCCAAACCAGCCACATTCATGAGCTTGGACCAGTGCTAAATGGGGCAAGATGCAGACAAAGCCTGGGCAGATGGGCAGGAGCTTAGGCAAGCTGCTCTAGTGGAAGGTGTCCCTGCCCATGGCACGGGTTGGAACTGGATGAGCTTTAAGGTCCCTCCCAACACAAACCAGTCTGGGATGATACTTACACAGGTGGGTGGTGGTACCCAAGTGCCATTAGCTGAGCAGGTAGTTTCTAAACCTGAGGTTTGAGGGCCACCACGCTTGCAGAAGTAGACCAGAGTTTCATTCACATTATACCACAACTTCAGTGTGTAAATCACAAGGTCCTCCTGTCTCGGGGGCTGAAAACACTGAACTGAAAGGAAAACACATGCCAAAAGAAGAGATGTAGTGGGAGGAGATGGAGGAGAAAACACCCAGCAAATTCCAGCTGCTGCTGGTGATTCAAAGGAGCAGCACCCCTGGTCTGTGCCAGTGGGGCTGGTACCCACCGGGCTGGCAGGAGGGCAGAGGAGGGTGCCAGGTGCTGTCAGCCAGGCACCGGCTCTCAGCATCACCACGCAGCACGAAGCCTTCGTCACAGGAGAAGCGCACGACTGCTCCATAGGGAAACGTGAATCTCTGTGGGCTCATCCTGCCCCTCTCGACCACGGGCCTGGGGCACCGGACCACTGCGGGAAGAGAGCAGAACGGGGGGTTTGGATCTGCGCTTCCCCAGGGACAGCAGGGACCCAGGTGAGGTGGGGAGAGCCACAGTTCCTGGTGCTCTCTGCATCAGTTTTACACTCAGAGCCACAATTCCTGGTGCTCTCTGCATCAGTTTTATACTCAGAGCCACAATTCCTGGTGCTCTCTGCATCAGTTTTATACTCAGAGCCACAATTCCTGGTGCTCTCTGCATCAGTTTTACACTCAGAGCCACAATTCCTGATGCTCTCTGCATCAGTTTTATACTCAGAGCCCCAATTCCTGATGCTCTCTGCATCAGTTTTATACTCAAACACCAGGACTGACCCTCAGCTGCCTGCAGCAGCCCCCAAGGGACCCCACCAGTCCCTGGTGTTACTGTGGTGCCAAGATCTTTGCACAGGAGCCAGAGTTGCTGCACAGTCATTAAGGTGCACTCAGTTTGGAGCTCCTGGACCAGGGCAGGTCCTTGCTTCAGTGTGACCCCATAGAGGAGGAGCATCTCACCCCTGCACTCCGGGGCAGGTCCGCTCCACACCAGGTTCACCCCGTCGTCAGAGGTGCAGTAGATGGTGGCATCCCCGATGAGGGACAGACCCTCTGCGCAGCTGTACGTCACCTCAGTGCCATAGGAGAACTGCTCCTGTCCCAAGCCAGAGTGCCGCCCGTTGGAGATTTGCGGAGGGGGGCCACAGACTGCGGGATAAAGGGAATGGATAAGAAAAGGAGCACACAACCAACCATTACACTCAGGTGAGAGCCAAAATCGCTTCTGGGAAATCAGTGCAAGAGTTAACGTTGTGCTTGGAGTGTGGCAAATCCACCTGCGTCACATCACCCCCAGCAAGAGGACACCTCAATGCTTTCAGCCCATGATCATTGCTCCCCAGAAGCAGATGCAGCAGCAGGTCACCTACAGGTGCTGTTTCTCAGTATTGATGCACAAGATTGCTTGTCTGCACTGCATTACACGTACCTTTATCACAAAAGGGTAACGGGGGAGCCCAGGTTGCATCAGCCTGGCACTCGGTCATGTCCTGGCCCCTGAGGACATAGCCATTATCACACTGTAACCTCAGCCGCGTCCCAACTGTGTAGTCCTTTTTGTTTTGATAAACCTCTTTTCCGTGGGCAGTATCTGGCCTCGGGCAGCGAGGTTCTAGAAACAACAGAAAATAAAGGATGTCATCAACCTCTTTCCTGCTGGCAAGGTTTCAGGCTCAGGATGCTCCCAGCAGCTCGCTGATGCTGCTCTGGTGCGCCATCACTAGGGGAAGAGTCTCAGCAGTGGCAGTTACTTATGCTGCTGCTTTTTCTTCTGAGGGGAAAATGCAAAGGGAACATCCTCTGCTCTCAAGCCTCGTGTCAGCTAACCAGCCAGCTGCTGTCCAGAACACAAACCACATCCCCTTCCAGCTGGATAAATGTCTCCTGGGCTTCTTGGGAACCTCCTAAGCATCTAAACATTACCAAACCCCAGCCCTTTGCATCCCAAATCCCCAGACTTTGCCAACCCCCCATGCTTTCTCCATTGCAATCCCCAGGCAACATAATGATCCATGTGGATCTTTTGCTGCTGACTTCTTCCTAGCTAACACAGGAGAACTGGATCTGGGGATACCTGGCAGTGGAGCAAAATCCACTACCATCACCTAAGGCTGCATGTGGGTATCAGCAGACAACTACAGCTGTACAGAGTGACCCAGACCTGTGCAGTCAGAAATAAGCAGTCGACAAGTCAATGTGTTCCATCAGCTTTTGCCTACCTGGAAAGCACTCTGGCACTGCTGGATTCCACGTCCCATCACTTGTACACCGAAGCATAACGTTACGGCTGTGACCTTTGAAAGCATAGCCATCGTTGCACGTAACTTCCAGTAGGTCTCCATACACATAACCCTCTTGACCTTCCTGTACACCTAAGGGCTTTCCATTGCTGATGACTGGATCTGGGCAACGGATTCCTGAGGAATGCCAAACATCAAGGGTGAAACCGTGGCAAAGCCATCTGGCTGACAGCACATTCAGAAGGATGAGCCTTTTGTAAGACAAAGGCACATCACAACACTACATCTGCCCCGACAGCATCCCCGAGCAATCCTGGGGTGTTTGTAAGGGAGTCTAGCGGATGAAACACACCTCAATGACCTTTTCCCACAGGTTCCAGGGACTAGAAAGCATAGCTGGTAAATAAAGCAAAGAAACCTGTTGCTGGGGACTAAATCAAAGGAGTTGAAGAGTCACAGCACAGGCCATGCTGGACACCCAGAGCATCTCCCTCTTCCCCTCACCCTGTGCTTTGCACAACAGCAGAGCACAGACAGTTTGTACATTCAGCATCACACACAACACAAGGGCAAGTAAACCAAAGGAGCATCCACTTACTTTCACAGGGATAGGGGATTTTAGTCCATGTAAAATCTGGCAGACACCTAATGTGCCATGTGTCTTCCCCAGGGCTGAACTGGTGGCCCTCCCAGCACTCATAGGTAATGACAGTGCCCACAGGAAACAGGTTGCCAGCAAGTTTAGCTTTAGCAGCATTGTGCACATCTGGAGGGTCACCACAGCTACCTAGGAATGAAATAGCAATTTAGGGATGTCGTCAGGGATAAATCAGTGAGGTCTGTGATGGTATGTAACATACGAGAGAATTTGGGTAAAGGTATGGGCTCACATTATTCCTTCTGAGATGCACTTAATCCCTTTGGAGAGGGGCTTGGGACAAGGGATGTAGGGACAGGCCAAGGGGAATGGCTTGAACATGCCCGAGGGGAGACTGAGCTGAGCTCTTAGGCAGAAGCTCTTCCCTGTGAGGGTGCTGAGGCGCTGGCACAGGGTGCCCAGAGAAGCTGTGGCTGCCCCATCCCTGGCAGTGCTCAAGGCCAGGTTGGACACAGGGGCTTGGAGCAAGCTGCTCCAGTGGAAGGGGTCCCTGCCTGTGGCAGGGGTTGGAGCTGGAGGAGCTTTAAGGTCCTGTTTATGTTTTAAACCATTGCCCCTTCTCCTATCGCTACAGCCCCTGATGAAGAGGATGTCACTGAAGGGAAGGCGCTGGATGAGGAGGAGCAGGGCTCGGTCCCCCACACTTACTGAGCAGACAGCGTGGCGGCAGCGGGTCCCAGAGCCCATTCTCACTGCAGGTGGATGCGTCGCTGCCGTTCAGGCTGTAGCGGAAGTTGCAGTCGAACACAACAGTGTCCCCATACGTGTACTCAGCCCGGTACCCGCTCAGCAGCTGCCCGTTCTCCACGCTTGGCTGCTCACAGCTCACCACTGCATCGGGGGAAAGCCACCACACAGCAGTTATGCTCCAGAGGGGAGATGAAGGGGTTAAAAGCATTCTCATAGCATAAGGTGGGTTCACCAAAAAGGCTGAAAATGGCCATGAGAAGGCAGGTGGATGTAGCAGAGCAGGTTTCTGCATTGTTTTACACAGGCCAGTGGGTGAGATGTATTGGGTGGTCTTCAAAGGCTAATAACAAATCCCATTCCCACATCCCTGCTGACTCGCTGGCCATGAGCTCTTGGTCCCTGCAATGGGACACCCTCATTGCTGCTGCTGCCACCAAACTCAGAGGGTCTTACCTGTAAGAGATGATTCCATAAAACAGAGGGACAGCTCCAAGGAAGAAAACAGCTCTATTAGGCAGGGCAAGAGACAGTGGGAAGTGGCTATGGATGCCTGCAGTGCCCCAGTGTGTTTGCAAGCATACACTCCCCTCACCTTTGCACTTTGGGGCTGGCTTGCTCCACACACCATTGACGTTATCTGTGGTTGTACAGAAAATGGAGGCATCTCCCACCAGTGAGAAAGGTTTCTCTCCCCTTTTGACAGTATTGCATGTGTAAGTGACGGATGCTCCATACTCAAAGAGCTCTTTGCCTGCTCCGCTGTGCTCTCCGTTAGCTATTTCTGGAGGGGGTGAACACGGGATTGCTGGGGAATGGAAAGGGGAATGGTAGAGAGAGGGAAGAAGAAAAGAGAACAATGTTTGTTTAGAACCAAAGGGCTGGTAAGAAAAAAGCTGAAACATGAAGCACCAAAAAGGCCAGAAATTCAGAAGTCTCAAGGAGCAGCCCGGCAGCCCATGGAGCTCTGCCCAGGGCATGGGGTGGTTTTGGGGTACACCCGTCCTATGCGCAGCTCCCTCACAGGCAATGAATGAATAATTATACAGGAAGAAGAATGCAAAGAAAAAACATTTCCAGACTTCACCATGCTTGGAACTGCTGAAACCCTCAGCAGAGCAACGTAACTGCGCCTTTATCCATCGCCCATGACATCTGTGCAGTTCAGGAGCTCCACTTACCCTCACAGATGGGAATATCTCTGTCCCACGTAACAACCCCATTTTTAACCACGCACCAAATTTGAGGACTTCCAACCAGTCTGTACCTGTGTGAAACGGGAGAGGGAATTACCCGCCAAAGTCAGGTTTTGATGTATTACCGCCATCTTATTGGTTTGGCTTCCTATCATAATTACAACTGATCAGGAATGGTTTAGAAAGGGCAGGAAGCTGAATCTGAGTTAAGGGAGAACTGCCTCGAAGCAGGAGATTAAGAAAACTCAGTCTTAAAGCTTCCAAAGGAAAGCTTAAAAGATACTTCACACAGTCTGCAATTCCCTGCACTCATAAGGCTTCTGACAGCACAGGCTTTAATCCAGGGGGAAAATCACTGTAGAAGAAGAGGACCTGTGGCTGGAGTGCTCCTGCTTACCCAGTGTTGCAGGTGAAGTTCACTGCTGAACCAAAACTGAACTTCTCTGACAGGACCAGTCTGCCATTGGCTGGCTCTCCAGGGTAGATGCACGGCTTTGCTGGGGGACGAGAGGATGGAGTTTGTTCCTACCTCAGTTTTTGGAAGAATCAGGAAAGTGCAGCAGGAAAGCAGAAGCCTCCTTCAGTACTGATGGACCAGAAACCGCCAGATTTCCCCTCCAACCCTAAATCACTCCATGAATTGTGATGCTGTTAAAGAGTTGCATCACGACCTGCAGCCAGCCTCTGCAGCTAAAGAGGGGCTTTGCAGTGACCTCGGCAAGTGTGACAGTGTTTCCTCACAGCTAAAGGATTCTCCTGCTACAGGCCTGAAATACTTCTTACAAAGTGCCTGAGCAGAGCAGCCTTTGGGTCAGCAATCAAACAGAGCCAGCATCACAGCAGAGTTCAGCTCTTGCCACCATTGCCAGTACAGTGCAACAACCGGTGATTCACTTCCCACCATCCCATGAGGTCAGCTTGGGCCCTGCTCCAGCAAAATGAGCTGATGGCATCAATGAAGAAAAGACTAAACCAAAAGTCAACCCAACATATACTCACGTATACAGATCTCCTCCGGTCCATACCACTTGTCACCCCATCCACAAGTAAGGAAGTCTCTGACATTAACATTTCTCATGTAACCCGGACGACAGACGTATTGCACCACCGAATTAGAGGCAAATGTGGTAATGCCTTTGTATCGCTCTTTGAGCTCTGCAGATGGGAATCGTGGTGGAGCATTGCAGGCACCTACCAAGAGAAACTCCATCAGAAAGATGCTGGGAGGAAAAGCAGCACGAGTTTAGGGCCGATTTACTCTGAAAGCCCAGGTGAGGACACTTGGGTGGCCTTAAAACTCCTTAAAGCTAGAACCAAAGAGGAGCAGCAGTGTGTGACTGGGGATGGCTGAGGCCATGGACGGGGAGGAGCATCACCGCACAGCATCCTGTTTGCTCCTCATACCTCATCCAGCACTTTCAAAGGCTGGTCACAAAGCCCAGATAAACCCTTTCCTCTCCCCAGTTTGTATAAATCAGTGCACCTCTTTCAGCTGGAACAATTTCATGTCTGTTTTACACAGAAGGGCAAAAAAGGCAGAGGAAGGGGGATCCTGATCACAAAAAGATTTACAGTGTTCTCAAAGGGCAAAGGCAACAAGGAAGGGAGAAGGAACCCCAGGAGAAGGATTTCCTTCGAGGGATGTTGGTTTATCCTGTTGGAGTCATTCACTTACTATCAACAGCCACAACAAGAGCGGTGGTGAGGAATAACCCCAGGACAGCGGCGCGATCCCTCTGCCTCCCCAGCTCCAAAGCTGGCATCTTTCTTTATTCTTGTCTGGAGATCCCACAGGAGTTACCACATTCCTTATTCTAGGCCTGTGAAATAGCAGGGGGGTGTTTACACTCAGGATAACCATAGCTTACACAGACAGCTATCATTTCTCCATCCATTTCCCAGCAGCTGTAGCTGGGAGCCAGGAGCTATCGGAATCCTTTGCTGGCAAATGCGACCGAGACCCAGGCCAGAGGAGCTGTGTCCAGCAGATCTGACCCAAAGACATGAGAACAGAATGCAATCAGGACAACTGACTGTAACTCTTAAACAGTTCCCATAGGCTTTATTCCCTTGTCTCATTTGTGTTTTTGAGAAAGCAGCTTAGCAGGGTCAACTCAAAACCACTCCATTGCCAACACAGCCTTCTTCCCAGCCAAGCAGCCAAATGAATATCTGCTGGGCCATGAGTTTATCTATGTCTTCTGGGAAAAGGCCCCTGAAACTTAGGGGTAGAACATTTATTTTCAGTAATACGTCTCTTGGAAGCAAATTCACAGTGGGATGAAATCCTGCTGGAGTCCTCAGTACATCCCCTAACAGTAAATTAAACACAGAGAGAGAAGGATCTAACCAAGAAGCTAAATCAGTTTTGTGCAAACAACATTAACTAGAGCAAAGCCATGCAACAGACAAGTCCGTCAGGAGACCAAAGTGCTTCACAGAACAGAGTTTATGGGCTATTTGGAGTAACCTGGTACCCCTGGAGATCAGCAAGATTCCCCTCTGTTATCCAGGATGAGCCTCAACCCTCCCAACACCATGTATGCCCCAAGCACATAGTCTTTCCTGATGCTTTCTGCACTAAGCTTAACACCACTCTTGGCTGTTTCATTCCTTTGGCTTTCCTTCAATCCTTGTTACACCTCCTGGTTTCATTTGATTTCATTTACTGATCCTTCTGCCCCCTACTTTGACGAGAAGGCTGCAATCCAGTTCAAGAGCAACATCACTTAAAGCTGCATGCCTTGAAGTTGTCTTACCTGGAGATTTGGTGACAGGAGATGGAGAGACCCAGCGTGTTGAGCTCGTGCAAGGCAAAGTGATGACTGCTCTTGCCCAGTCCCCCTGTCACTGCAGGGCTAGAGGAGGAGTTATGATAAGCCTACATGCTCCACACAGACAAGTTTGAGTTCTGCGAGACCAGACTTGTGCCATTGACCCATAAATCATTAACTCCTCCTCTGGGCAAGAAGGAAGTCGTTTGTTCAACCCACAAAGCAAAACAGTAGAAAACTGAATGCAGCCCAGGCAGATGTTGAAATTGTTTGTTTTCTGTGCGGAGCTGCCAGCTCCTCGTTGGAAAGATCCCTGCTGAGCAGGACGCTGCCCATTCCATTGTGCAGCAACGGCACACGGCCAGTGCTGGTCCCCAAGTGATGCCCAGGGACCTCCTCAAGAGACTGCGTCACCTTGGGACAATGTCAACCATGAGCTGATCCCTCCTGACCTCAAAAGCCTGTGGCCAGTGCTCAACATAGAGTCTCCTCAACCAACTCCACCTACCTCCATTAATGCAGCTGAAGCTCAGCAGCACATCTGGTCTCAGGCAGCATCAACTCGGCACTCAACATCCATGTCCACAATGGGAACGCAGTTGCCCTTTGTCTCACTGAAAGCCCTTCCCAAATCCAGCTGTCCCCAGTGGGTCATTTTCCACTTACAAGAGCTTTGGAAGGAACTGAACCCTTTGCTCCTTTTGCACTTCAGCTTCATCCATGCTTGAAGCACCACCAAGAACCTGGCGATGGACTTTTGACCCCAGGATGTGCTTCTCATGTTAGTTTGTCCTGCCAAACTGAGGCCTTTTTTGCCAGAAAAATGTACCCCATCATCCCTGCATTGAGAGGGATACATCCCCTTCCTGGAGCTCACCTCAGCTCAGGCCAGAAATGCAGTGAAACACATAAGAGTTTTTACTCTATAAAGCACAGCAAAAGGCTCCCTGCCCTCACTCCACAAGCAGGGGCTTGCTCACAACAGGCCCCCTGGTACTCCCGAGCAGGCACTTGACCTCCACTAGATATTGACAAGAATCCAGTTAATCACAAACACAAACAGGCTTTCAGGATTTGGTTTCTCCGTATGGGTCAGAACAAGCCAATTCGTGTGCTGGAAAAGCAGCAGCTTCCCAGCAGGCACTCAGGAGGTTGGTTTGTACCTGCCCAGGGAGCAGCAGCCAAGGTACAGCCGTCTCCTGCTCTGACAGCCACTAAACACTCCTAAGACCTCCTCAATCCACAGCTTGCAATGGATAAGCAGGATAAAAGGGGTTTTCTTTGACCACATCCAAGGTGACATCTCTTCAGGCTGCAGCTGGCGAGTCCCTTTGGTTTCCAGTGTCACCAGTTGCTCCTTTGTTTTTCATCTAGAAAGAGTTCAAGGCCAGGTTGGACACAGGGGCTTAGAGCAAGCTGCTCCAGTGGAAGGTGAACCTGCCCATGGCAGGGGTTGGAGCTGGATGGGCTTTAAGGTCTCTTCCAACCCAAACTATTCCATGATTCTATGAAAGCCAGCCCACAATAGGGCAAATAATAATGGAAAATAACAGAGAGAACTAGATCTGTATTCTTTTAAAATCTCTTTATTGTAAATAAATGCTGACGGGATATTTGTGCTCAGGTGCACAGAGCTCACAACAAACAGCACAGGTTTATATACATTGCATTCCTTTCAAACCTAAAAAAATCACATTAGGAAGCAGTAGTGCAGCCAAATTGCAAGCAGACATGTAACATCAATCTTACCAAACACAGAGATGCATTTGCAGACAGTGTTCAGGGACAGAGCAGCAGCAGGAGAGGCAGAGGTGGCACCAGCAGCACCCTCTGAAGGAGGACAGGGTGAGGGTTTGGGATGTACCCATGAGCTGGTGGTTCCTAGAAGCACTGGCAGCAATGCTGCTGCTCCCAAGGCTTCCCCATCACCCGCAGCAACAGGATGACTTACAGTGGTGACAGCTCTAATGGTGCAGCCAGTGTATGCAAACTCCAGCTACCTGGGCTGGTTTGAAGCCTTTTTCCTTGCCTGATTTCCCCGTCACTGGTGGCAGAGATGGAACAGATTTTGCCTGAGATCACTGCTCTCTAAAAGAGCTCATAATGCTGATGGAGCAGCCATTGGGCCCCTGGACCACAGCTCAGGGTGGCTGCCACCATCACCTCTGCTGCTAGAAACAGAGAGACAGAAGATGAGGGAGATGGAGAAAACTCCCAAGTCACGAAGCAATGCTCCTGAAGGAACCAAGCCCCCTTCCACACCTCCACCTGCCCAGCCCAACACACCAGTACCAGTAGAACCGAGAGCACAAGCAGCTGCTGAGCCTCAGGTCAGCCCATTGTGCAATCGCTGTTTATCCCTGGGTGTTTGCACTCACGGTGCCAAGGAAATCAGGTGATTTCAAGGAAGAACCTGGCACAGGGACCTGTATGGGGCTGGGGAGATGTGTGCGGTCACTAGCATCGTCCCAGCCCCACTGCCCCCAAAGGCTCAGGGAGTTGTCAGGTACGACTCACCCACATGGCAGCAATGATGATCATGAGCCTGCTGCTGCGCTGCTCTGGACATGCGTATTTAGGCCTTTTGAAAGTTAAAATGCAGGAGGAAAAGGCTATTATTAGGCTTTGATTAAAGCAACAAGGCACAAACAGTGCCATCTGCAGAGGTGGCTGAGAGGCTCCATCCCATGACCCAGCAGCCTACAACCAAAGCAAGGACCCACAACAGCAATAAGGTACCCACAGTCAGTGATAAGGACCCAGAGACCTGATTTTTAGCAGTGATTAATAAAAGTATTAATTACAACCAACATCATAGCAGCTGCCTTCATGAATCCTGGCAGGTAAAAAAAACCTGTATTTTGTCTCCTTATAGACATTAACTACTCAAATGACACAAAGAGAATTAACTCCTTCACAAGTTATTACTGCATATTGTGCATAAACATCCTACAGTACATTGCTACTGCTTTTGACTCACAGAGCAGGAGATGGATGGACAGGAGCAGCCAGCCCAATGTGGTTTGTGCGTTTAGAGCATCACTGGAGTGTGACAGCGAGTACCACCATGTAATAGGCTGGAAATCTCTTCCTGCAAGGTTTTTTGGCTCATTTCTAAGCACTGGAACATTTAAACCCAAAGAACAGACTCTGTCCCTGCACAGCAAACCTGTGCCCCCGTGAGAACAGCAGAAGGAACAAAACTATTACAACTCAGTTTCTCACCCACTCAATTTCTTTCCTCTGCAGCACAACTGCTTTAGATTAACACATGCTTCTGCTCCTCAGAAACCCCAAGGGGTGAGGATTAATGCCTGGGCCTTTGCCATGCCCCTTTCCATCTCAGCTTTATCAACTTACAAGTCTGGAGTGTTTAAAACTACCCAGATTTGAGCTCAAAATCCCCAGGTAAATCTCAGGCTTCGGGGCTGCTGAGCTCCTCTGCAGTGCTTCTCAGGCACAGATCCCTGCCCTGGGTATGGCCAACCTCTATTTCCATGTTGAAATGAGCAACCTGGGTCCCAGGAGTTCCTCATATGGAGGCAACTTGAAACCTGGAGTCAACTTGAAACAGCAGGTCCAGAAGAGCCTCCTGCTTCGTACCTAAATGCCCCTTTCTTCAAGAAGGGTAGGAGTGGGATAAAATGGAGTTGGGCATAACACAAGCTCAGGACAAGAAAGAATGGTTTTAAACTGTCAGAGGGGAGATTTAGGTTGCAGATAAGGGAGAAGCTCTTCCCTGTGAGGGTGCTGAGGCGCTGGCACAGGGTGCCCAGAGAAGCTGTGGCTGCCCCAGCCCTGGCAGTGCTCAAGGCCAGGTTGGACACAGGGGCTTGGAGCAAGCTGCTCCAGTGGAAGGGGTCCCTGCCCGTGGCAGGGGTTGGAGCTGGAGGAGCTTTAAGGTCCTTTACAACCCAAACCAGGCTGGGGTTCTATGATTCCAAGTCAGAATTTGTGGGAGAAAACTCAATGTGGAGTTTTGGTGGGGATTTAAGTAACACATGAGCTGCACCACAAGGCAGCTTCCCCATCTATGCACTGAATGCTAAAACAGCTTAAACCCTACTAAAAGCAGCATTATACATCAATATCATTCACAGCTTTTTCATAGGCAAATTTAAAAACCTTGTTGGTGAGCTTAAGTTCTGGTACATTAAAAAGACAACTGGTAAAAGATCTTGTGCTTCTAGCATGTGGCCCTGAGAGCAAAGCGATGCTCTCATTTTCTGTTCTCACAGATAAAAGTGTCCATAGAACACAGGATAAATGAGAGGAGGAAGCTTAGATCTGGGTGCAAAGCTAAAGCAGGACTTGAGCTCAGCTTCAACAGCACTATGCTCTTTCCAGAGAGAGACAGGAGGTTTTGTTCCCTTCTGCCCCTCGCAGGATTTGCTGACCTAGCAAGCGCCGTGTGTTTTATATGATGAGCAAAAGCCTTCCCAGAGCAAAGGAACCAGCTCAGATCTGGGGATTTAAATCAGGAGTCCTGAAAACACAGCTGAGCAATGCCTGGAGCTCTGGGGACAGTTAAACACCACAAGTACTGCATCTGATATTAGAAATGGTAGCAGCTAAATAAGAACTTGGGGATTTGGTCTGATAACACCAAAGAAAAGCTGCTTCGGGGAGTATGGCCCTTTTGTCCTGCATACACTGCAGTTCATTTCACTACCTGATCAGGAGGACAAATATGGGACCCCAGGATGCCCAGGGGTAAGTTAGCTCACATTCTTCTCCAATCTCATGGACAGACATTGCAGCATTCAGAAAGAAAAGACACAGAGAGGCTCTAAAAACACATTTCAGAGGAGAGGGCGGGCCGAAGCGGCAGCAGCTCACTGTGCTCCAGGGATGCTCAATCCAGCTGCAGGGCTCTTCCCAGCCATGGAAATCCCAGATGAAAGCCAAACCTCTACACCGTTAAACTGGCCATCCTCTGCAATGAGACAGAAACAGGACAAGTTAGACCAAGGCTAAGTCAGGAGATGTAAAGCAGGGAGAGAGCTCAGCTTAGTGCTGGGGATGGACAGAGATACTTCGCAGTGGATCCACCAGCTCCATATAATCACTCTGCATCATTCCAGCATCCATATGATCATTCTGTATGACTGAGACCATCCAAGGATTTTCTTCTTTACTTCTACCCCAGCAAATAATGGAGTTGCTTCACAAGCTGCATCATCTTTAACCTCTTGCAAAGCTCTGTGAGAAGGGTTTCCCACCCTGGGACCATGCAAGCTGAGCTTTTCTGGAGGCAATAATGAAGCAGGCTGGTTACTGAGGGTTACTCACTTTTATTTCTCTTCTCCATAGTAAAATACACTTCCAGAACAAGGAAACATTACAGGAATCGTTTCACATATTAACCACAATAAATACTTCTAGCTTTGGTAAAACTCCTACTGCCTCAGTGAGGGTCCAACAGACACCAGGAACACACTCAGGTCAGTACAAGTGAATTCTGTTCTATACAAATCATACAAATTAAAACCAATTAACCAGGATTTCGTACAGCTGCTGTTCATGCAATGTCTCAGAGCACAGAACAGGCTCCTTTTGTGCCATGCCCAGCACCTGCCCTGCAAACCAACATGTGAATCAATAGGTGTAAGTTGTCTTTGTTACCGCACCAGCACTGGTTTGCCATTAAGAGAACCAATGGCACAGCTCTGAAGCCAGTTTGCTGACAACCAACACTTGAAATCCAACAGTCAGGAAATCCAGACCCTGTTTATGTTCTATTTGCAATTAAAAACCAAAGCAAAGTAAAATTAAAACAGTTTTCCCCAACAAGGACACTTCAAGAGTAACCATCATCAGGGCTAATCCATAAGAGCTGCTCACATGCTGCCTTCTCAAGCAGAACAGCAGTACTAGGAAGGAAGGAAGTTTGTACTGGAATCGAGGAAGCTGGACCAAATTACTACCATTTATCTGCATCCCCTCCTAGGAAATCTGTTATTTGTTTAAATATAGGGGGAAAGAAGCACTCAAAGTACATACATTCATTTTCTAACCACACAGCCCAGAGCAAAGGCAAATCCAAAGGGGCAAGGCTTTGATTTTCAGCCTATGCATAATACTCCTCTGATTGGATTCTAAATTAATATTAGTACAGGAATAATTTATCAGATTTAGCACAAGCTCCCCCCAGCTCAGGTTCTTTCTCCTTTCCCCCCCCCATTAACATTAAGGCCTCTGAAACACAGGGAGACAGGCAGCTTTGGAGAAACAGGCCCTTCTGGCACCACTACTGGCTGGACCATTCCTGTGTCACCATCCCAGCTTGGGAGATGTCTGCAGCAGGATCTGAGCCTGATGCTTTGTGCGCTTCCACAGCTTTGGCAGGTCAGTAAGAACACTCTCAGCATTATTCAAAATGCTATCCCAAACTAGCAAATAGGAGACAGAGGCATTCACTTTGGGATCAACCCCGTACCTTCGTGTCCCATGACATCGTGGGGATAAAGAGCAGCTGCATTGACAGAATGGTTGGAAGAGCTTCACTTCAAGGACAAAGTGCAGTTAAAGCAGAAAACTGCACATCCAAAAGCCAAATACATTCAAGGGGGAGTTTCTCAGGCCTGGAGGAGCATTACCTGCACCTCCCTTCCCTGAAAGGGATGAGCTGCATCCTACGGCAGCAAGGGGACCACCCTGCCACAGGGGAGACGGGAGCTCAGCACCCAAACCTGAATCCAGTCTCAACACCTGGCACATCTGGAAACTGAACCAGCTCCTGCTTTACTTTCTTTGCACATAACCCAGCTCTCTGACACCAGAGCACCAGCAGCGAAAGGACTTGCCCAAGGGCAGAGGCAAGGAGGGAGCAGAGACTTGCTGAGAGCAAGAGCAGGTCAGCAACAACCCCATCAGCCCATGTGCAGCAACATAAACCCCCCAAGGACACAGCTTGTGCCATCTCTGCGCCTACCCTTAGGCGCTACCACCCTTGGGTGCTCCCCCCAGCACAGCCTGCTGCTCCCAGAGAGGGACAACACTGTTATCCCAAAGATGAGGGATGCAGCCAGATACTGTGGGTCACCCCAGTGCATGGGGATGAGCATGGCTCAGCACAGAGAATGCACTGCGAGTGCTGCCAAGAGCCATCCCACAGCCCCATGCAGGGACCTGCTATGCAATAATGCAGCCAGGTCCCCAGACAGAGCAGCTAAATGGCAAAACCACCCTTTACAAGACAAACCCCACCAGCACTGTGTGTACTGCAGGAGGAGAAACACCCGAGAAGCCAAGCGCAAGGTTGCAGCAGGGTGTGCCCCAGGCACCAGCAGAGCAGGGCTGGTGGGAGCACAGCGAAGCGAGGGCATCTCCAGCGTTTCTGCATGGGGCAGCAGCCGTGGTCCCATCCGAGCCCCTTACTCAGCGGTCGAGGGGGAAGCCAAGGGTTCGTGGGTGATGCTGGCTGCAGGCTCCCTAAAAAGAGGGGGACAGACAAGGACATGTTCTCCCCTTAGGGTGGGAGAGAGTCCCACTTCCTGTGTCCCCAGTCAAGGGGCCTCAAAAGGGATGTGGTGGTGAGGACTCGGTGACAACAGGCACCCACACAGGAAGGTTTATCCACCCAGCTACTTGCCAAGCACACGCTAAACCCCCCAGCTCCCTCAAGCCGTGGGGATCTGGGGCTGAGCAGCACCACTCCCATCCAGGCTACAACATCCAACAACTCCCACAGAATCCCTGCCATCCATGCGTCACCAGATGGAAAGGAGACAGATGTGGGAGCCAGCACTGCTCAGGATGGGCTATATGGCTCAGCCTAGCAGTGCCAGTGCAGCCATTCCACATCCTGGTCCAGGGATGAAGCAAGCTCAGGGTGAAACACACTTCTATGAGCAGCCAGCAGAAGCATATTCACCAGTAAAACCAGTTGGAGCCCCTGGATTAGTGGGCTCAGCCTGGTAATGTACTTCCCCCCACCGAGGTCCCCCTTAATGACAGGTCCTTAATGACACAGGAAAAGACTTCCTTCTGCTCCATGCATTTGTCTTTCCCCAAAGCAGATTCCATGCAATAGTAATCGAGAGAAGTCCTACTTACTAAACCAAAAGAGAGTACATAGAAGCTGCTTTCAGTGATACTCACGGGCAAGCAATTCCCCCTTGAGGCTGCAAAGGAAAAAGAAACAGCACAGGATAGCTCGTAGTGCATTTTAAAGGAGATTTTGAAATAATAGGAAAAGCAGCAAAGCAAATGAGGAAAGAAGTGAAGCAACGCCAAAGATGCCATGTTAGGGAGCTGGGGGGAGGCTTGTATCACAGAGGAGCTGATACAAGGCATGGACAGTGCTGCAGTGCCTGGCCACCTCCTCCCTCCACTGCTGCTTATCCCAAGGGCTCCATTCAGGCAAAAGGTCCTGGAACTGGACAATTCCCTACCCACACCCAGCCCAGAACCCAGGGCTTACTAAATGCTCCTTCATCACTACAAGGATGAAGGGTACAACTGCAAACAGGGGTGGGGATCCCTGTCCTCGGGCACCCACCTCAGGCCATCAAGGTCCTCTCCAGTTGAGATACCACCCAGAATTACTGTGGCTCAAATCCACCTCAATGCAAAGCCCTGGCTGGTTCGGTCCACCAGAGCCCTGGGATTCTGGGGATGCTCAAGCCTCATGCTCTAAACTGAGTATGGAAACACCAGCAATGCTCACCTGTGCTGCATCACCTCTTCCTTTGCTCTCTGGCCACTTACTCTGAGGGCAGGGGGGGAAGCTGAGCTCACTAATAGCTGGGGAAACATTAACCTCTAAAGCAGCCAAGATTAAACAGCTTTGGTAATGGCTGTCTCTGTGCATTACAACACACATGTAACGTGCACATTACTCTGCACATTACAACATAGGTTCTTTCCAACCCTAACTTCTATGACTATAGGACCCAGCCAAGACCTCCTCAAAGTCCCCTCCAAACCTCTTTGCCTGTGCTCTCCCAGGCATACACCTCAATTTAACCTCATTTAACCTCAATTTAACACCTCATTTAACAGCAAAACAAGTTTAAATGAGCAAAGAAACAGATGGGGCTTTGCATCCAACACCGATGAGGGCCTTGGTGCCTTTTTAAGCCAGATGAAACACCAAGCACCCAAAGCTGCTTTAATCTGGGCACCCAAAGAGCCCAAACTTTGTTCAACAAGCTGCTGACAACGGGATCTGCAGGAAAACAGGCACTGACAAAGTCATGACGCAAGCATTTCCTACCAGGGACTGGAGCAACACTTGGCTGCAGCATCTAATTTAGACAAAGAGGATACTTGTACCTCCTTCCAGATGGGTTCTTGCCAGAAAGCATCACCCAGAATCAGCCACCCTGCCAAAACCCTACTGCACTGATGTAAACTCACCTGCACAAAGCCTGATGATCATAGAATGGCTTGGGTTGGAAGGGATCACAAAGCCCATCCAGTTCCAACCCCCTGCCACAGGCAGGGACACCTTCCACTAAATCAGGTTGCTCCAAGGCCCAACCAACCTGGTTCTGAAAGCCTTTGGCACGACAATTCCACTTTAATGGGGTGACTTTGGGGTTTATGAGTGCCTAATCCAGGATTCTTACATGGAAACAAAGACCCTGGGAACGGGCTGCATTCCAGACAGGACCACTGATAGCTGCAGGTGATGGTGGGGAAGGGAAACAGAGAGGGTACCACCTGGACCTCAGCTTGCAGCTGCTGCTGGTCGGCCCCATCTCCAGCTTCCAAGGGTGGGAAAGGCCCCACGAGGTCGAGAGGTTTGCTCCCAACGCTGTAATGGCGCGGGCGCTTTACCGTGTCCGCGCTGGCCCGCGGCGTAAAGCTGTTCCTTCTCATCCTTACAGGGCTTTGGCCGGCGGGAAGCTTGCTCTGATCCCGGGTGGAGGGAATCACAGGGAATGAAGAGGGGAACCACAGTTTACAAAGGCATCCACAGCGGCACACACCTCCCCATGCCTTCCCCTGCAGAGCACCAGCAGGGGGAAACACCCCACTCGCTTGGCTGCTCTGCCTCGGAGGCCACTGAAAAGTCTGTTTCTGAGCAGTTTCACTTCTCTTTGAGAGTTTTTTGCTTAGCTTTGTTCAGGGAGGGGGTTTTTTGTGTTCATTTTGGGGTTTATTTTCCTCTTCTCCCCACAATCAATTTAGGGGGGAAAAAGCATAATTAGAAATAGAAAAACTTTCCGTTCTTTGTGTTTCTTCTCCCCCAAAGCAGCCACATTGCCTGAGTAAAGCCAAGAACAACAGAAACAGCCTCCCACTTCTCCAGGCAAGCAATGATTTCAACACAGGCATCACACAGAGGTTGCAAAGTGATAAATGACGGACTGGAAACCACCAGCAAGAGACCAGGCACAGAAACCTTGCTGAATATCCTCAGTTTAGTGTTTTGCATCAGCTGGATTTAGCTCCACGATCCCTCCAGCCACAGATGCAGGTTCCTGGTCTCTTCTCTCCTCATTTATGGTCCCTTGGCATAGGGGATTTTATGTTGGGACACAAAAACCAACCATATCCCAGGCAATCAACCAATAGCTCTTTATAGAGTACAACAAGAGGCAGCCAAAAAACCTAAACATACCAAAAGACCTTAAGATGTGATGCACTTTGATTTCCTGTGAGCGAGCACAGCAGAGAGCTGGTTGATGCTCTTTATTTGGGGGAGCTAACCACAGGCAATCACTACGCACCATTCCCTGATGGATCAATCCCTTTGCAAAGCTGCATTTACACAAGCAAGCACCTACAGTAACAGCAGCTTCCACAGACCCAGCACATAATGATGTGGTGCATCCACAAGGTGGATGGCTGAGCAGTCATTGAAGTAAAGGGAGACAGGAGTTCATAAAGCCAAAGCCTGAAGCGTTTCCACTGCTGCTCTAAGAGTATTCACAGTGCAAAGGAAATAAATTGGACCCATCTCCTTATGCCTCCAACACATACAAAGTTTAGGAACACCGCAGTCTTGCTTTGCCCCAGATACTTGTCTCTGCTGATTTCTTGTGTGTTTTATCAGGGAAAACCCTCTGTTCCTGCCCCACAAGGGCTGTGAGAGCCACCAAGAACCACCCCTAGAACCCAGCCTTACCCCAGTGGCAGCTTTACAAAGAGAAAAGCTCATCAAGACAGTGAAGGAAAAATAAATCACTCCCAAACATTCTGGCAACTCTTTCTGAAGCGCTCACCATTAACAGAAACAAGCAACAACAACTTCATTAACTGAGACCAGGATCTCCAAAATCTCTGTTCTAAACCTGCCCATTCTGCTTCTTAGATAGCTCTGAAAACATCGCTCCCTGGCCTGGGAAACAAACTAATTCCACCCCCTATTAATTCTGCTTTGGGGGGGGATTCTTTCTGAAGCAAGCCTTTGTGCTCACTGATAGCATTCAGCCACTTCCAGCAGGTACTGAGGAGTGTTTCAGTGCCCTTACTTTTGGAATGGGATAAAGCCTGAGCTGTGCAGCAAGAACTTACTGAGTTCAGACAGGGTTTGTCACGGTGGGTGTTCACTGCTTCCACGTTCAGGGCGATTGTCTCCACTTTACAGCCTTTACCACAAGAGAAGTTGATATGAGGAAGGGTAACATAAGAAATAAATATCTCTTATTTTCTATTGGAAACAGCATGGAAAGTGAGCAGCAATAAATGGGTTCCAGTTTCTAAGACAGCTCAAACAAACAGGACTTTACACTTGAACTACATTCTGGCTTTGACCTTCACTGTTCAGCCCTGTTATGGCGACTATAGGTCCATCCAAAAAAAGCCAGTTTTAACTGACTTGCACCCCAAACTGGGGGCACAAACAGCCTCACCAATGGGTGAAGCCCAGAGATAATTATCCCTTGTTTAGGAGATGGAAACACCCTGGCACCCATGTATCTCCTTTCCCACTGCTCCCACCAAACCCTCCCACAATCCAGAACCTTTATATGTATTAAATACACTACCAGAAGCTTCTACAGCTCAGCTGGTTGCTGCCAGACATGAACACAAATTTGCCCATCACATTCCCTGCCCATGGCAGGGTGTTGGAAGTAGATGATCTTAAGGTCCTTCCCAACCCAAACCACCCTATGATACACACATAATACAGACAGTGTTTACCATATGCCACAGGTGTGAGCTTCAGAATGGTATGGAGAGGGCATCGCAGGTAGGGCAGCTCATCTAGGACAGAGGCAGGTGTTATGGGGTATTATGGGGTGCTGCCCACACCAGCCACCCTGCTCTGCCCAGGCTTTGGGTGGGAGCATTTCACATAGCAATACTGGATGCAGCAGTGGGATGGGACAAAACCCATCATTCCCAACACATGGGGCCAACAAGAGGAAACCTCTCCAGCTGCACACAGATAGGAAAGCACCACAGCAACAGCTGCCATGGACCCATGGGAGTTCTACTTAGAGTCAATAAACTTTACTAAAGGCTTTACTAAACTCCAGTGCCACTCATTGGAGCATCATAAAGGAGCCTGCACTGGAACCAGCTTCCAGGTGAGTATGCCACACAAAGGATCAGCACCAATCAGCGATGCAGCACAACTGCCAACCCTTTGGGCTCCCCATGCACCACAAAACTTCCCCTTTATATTAAAGTCAAGTCCTTATAGAATACATAAGTGCCACTGTGAAACAGCAGCTGAGCAGAGAGCCAGCAGCGCGCTCTTCTGCACTTCACACTGGGAGAGCTTCTTGCCCCGTGCCCCACTGAACTGCAATGGTTAAAGTGTGTGAGCAATGTTTGCTTTGCTTTTTTAAGCACCTCTTGCCTTGTGAGAAATCAAAACAGCAATTACCAGGCACCCTCCCCGACGCCCTGCAAAGGAAGCAGCAGAGAACCAGCCCCTTCCACCGCTCGCTTATTTTTGTACCTGCACTCTTGTCAAGGAAATAAGCCAACAGGCACCTCATAACGGCCTGGTGGGAGATGACGAGGACGTTGCCTTGTCTTTCCAGCTCCATAATTACCGGCTCCAGGCGCTGGACCAAGTCCTGGTAGGACTGGAAAACAAAATGGGAATTGTTCAAGGCATTTCGTAAACAGAGGTTTAAAGCAGCAGCAGCAATTTTAGCACAGCTTCACCTTCAGGAAATCATCAATTTAAGAATAAAATGCAGACGTTTAGGGATGATCTGGTGAAGACAGGGAGAGAAAACGGCAAAGAGCAAAAGGTGAAAGTTAAGGTCAGCAACCCGCAGATTACAGGAGGGTTTCCATTACTGGTAACTCCTCAGGAGTGCAATAAGAAAAACATAAGTCAATTATACACTGAAGGTTGTGAAGTAAACCCAGAAACGGCTCCACACCACACCCACATTCATCTCCTTTCCATTTTCCATGGTGAAAATTCAGGCTTTGCCCACATGAGGGGGATGCAGAAGCCCCTCAGTGTCCAAGGTGGGGGCATCGAGGGACTCAGGAAGTTGCTCAGTTCATTGACTGAAAGGCATCATCTGCACACCATGATAAAGGAAACCAATGAACCTTCTCTCTGAAAGACAATTAGGGATCCTAATGTTTTCAGTTGCTCACAGAAATATTGGCAGAGAAAGGAAAAAATAGGTCAAGTCATTCAATTCTACACATATCTTTTTGGTTTACATATACTGTATCACTGTTATTCTCTAAGGGTCCTCACCTCGCCTCCAGGATAGCGATAAAGGTACTTCTCCTGATCTCTCAATGCAAACTCATCTGGATACTTGACTTCAATTTCTCCATAGGTCATTTCTTCACATACCCCCTGAGGAAAGAACAACTTGTTACAACCCACCCCATTTCAACAGAGGAGATGCAACAAAGGGAAAAGGCAACTGGCTGAGATGAGCAATTCCTTTATGTGATGAAAATGATAGACAGTGTACCTACCATGGCCACACCAATGGCCTTCCAATACCTAAAGGAGCCAACAAAAAAGGCTGGAGAGGGACTTTGGACAAGGGCCTGTAGGGACAGGACAAGAGGAATGGCTTGAACCTGCCCGAGGGGAGACTGAGCTGAGCTCTTAGGCAGAAGCTCTTCCCTGTGAGGGTGCTGAGGCGCTGGCACAGGGTGCCCAGAGAAGCTGTGGCTGCCCCATCCCTGGCAGTGCTCAAGGCCAGGTTGGACACAGGGGCTTGGAGCAAGCTGCTCCAGTGGAAGGGGTCCCTGCCCATGGCAGGGGTTGGAACTGGAGGAGCTTTAAGATCCCTTCCAACCCAAACTACTCTGTGCTTCTACGATTTATGATGGCTGGAGTACATTATACATGGACATGGTTAGAGACAAACAAGAAATGGTCATTTTATCATAGTAAAGTTGGTTTTAAGCATTATTTTCCACCTGGGAAAGCTAAAGGCTTCAATCAGCATTTCACTCACAGCATCGATCTCGTTGAGAATCTTCCACTGCTCATACATGACCCCCAGGGACTCGGCCGTCTGGATCGTCCTTTTCAGCTGGCTCGTCCACACCTTCAGGTCAACGATCTCCTGCTCTTCAATGAACTGCTTCAGCGCCTGAGCAAACTGCAGAAAAAGCCAGGGGAGGTTAGGAGGGAGCAGGAGCTGCTGCCACTCTTCAGAGCATCAGTTCAAGGGCCGTGGCTGTTGCAGCAAGATCCATCTGCGGGGCTGCCCCTCGCAGGAGTCGGATGCAGAGCCCGGCTCTGGTCACACAACACATACGGCAACCCGGGTGCTGCCAAACACTTACCTGCTTCCCACGTGGTGACAGACCAGAATCCCCACCAATCTTGCCAACAAGATTATATTCACTCTCACCATGTCGGCAAAGGTAGATGGTACGCGGCTGGACATGAATGTTCATTAGGTAATAGACGATTTTACTCTGGATGTAATCTTGGACTCTGTTTACTAGGAACCGCTGTCCCACATTGATCACTTTAATGAAGGAAAGATCTCTGGAGTCAACATAAGATAAGAACACCCACACGACTGGTTTTAAATATGAAGCACGTGCAGCTGCGGGTGTAATCTAGCTATTAATCCTCTAGTAAAGGCATCAGCACTACCACTGGGTCACTCCAGCAGACAGAAGAGACACTGAACTGCTTACACAAGGAGTTGCATTACACTGCAGTACACTAGAGAAAATCCCTTTCAAATCACTTGGGAATCACCTTCACACAGGCACTTTGGGAGAGCAGAGCCTCCAGCAGACACATTATAGCATCTGGAGCCAGAGAACAGCAGCAACAAAGCAAAGCAGCTCATGTGTGCAAGGATAAAATGCACCCCAGGGCTTTGCTTACTTGTCATAGGCATCGGGATCCAGAGGCTGGTAAGTGACCTTGTAGCACTCTATCCTCTTCAGGAAATCATCCATCACGTTCTCCCTGTTTCTCTCTGGGTAGTCAGGGCTGGAAACCTTCACCTCCTGATAAGAGACAGCACCGCTTTGTGAGAGTTAAGTAAACTCACCCGGGGAACAAAGGCAAGGCTGAATAACATTATTCTTCCCCTTGGAAACAAACAGGCATTGTTTAACCCTGCCCTGTGGAAAAAAACCTGCTCCTGGAGAGGAAACAAAGGGCAACTCTGAAGGCGCTGTGGTGCTTGGCCCTCTGACAGACACAGCTGCCTTGCTGCTCGCCTCCCCTCGACAAGAAAGCACACTTCAAGGTCAAACAGTTCTCAGCTTCATTTGATTTCCACCTTCTCACACAGCCTAACTGCATCTTTAGCTTTTCTAAAGCTGCAAACCTTGCAGCTGCTTATTTAGGTGAAACATAAGAGCAAGGCATTTGCAGACACTGCTGTAAGCTATTGTGGCCGGTGACCTTGTACTGAGCACCCTCAGAAGGCACAGAGAGCCAAGCTTGGTAAATGCAGCACGCACCAGGATATTGGCAGCAATGACTTCTGGATCGTCACACACAGACTCCACAAAAAACACCTACAAAGAAGGCAAAGAAGCATGTTTCAGAGAGTCAAGAGCTGTGCCCTGGATCAAAACTCAAGCGCTCCTGCCCCAGGGAGCGTTAATGCCCCTCAGTGCAGCAGCTACAAATGAAACACAGCAGCACCACTACCTTGAAAGCATTTTCTTTAGCAAAACTTAGGATCAGGTCCCGTCTTTCTCGAGTGGTGTTGGTCGCATCAAACACCTATCAGAAAATGAGCAAGCAGCAATGAGCAGCTTCATCTAAGGCTTTTAAACCAGCCCCAAAGCACTGGGGGTAACAAGCAGGTCCCCAAATAACCCAGGCAGCTTTAAACTACCCAAACATAAGCCCATATTCAGTGCAGCAAAGTCTTACAGCTATTTGCCCACACTCCTCCAAGAGATATGCCTTCACATCTTGTAGAGCCACCAAGGCACATCGCCTGCAGGAGAGAAACAAGCACTCTTAGAGCTGATGGAAAGCATTCAACCACCAAAGCTTCTGAACCACTGGAAGAGGTTTAAATACCTTCTCTCTCTGTCCATGGAGGGCCCACCCTGCATCCCTATGAACACCAGGGATCATAAGGCACCTCTGCCTAAAACCTGCTTGTGGCAGGATCCCTGCATGGGCTGTGCTGCCTCATCCCCTGGTTTCAGTCAGTGCTAACTTGTGCTCCTGAAATACAGAGCCTGCCAAGGCCTGAGACTAACCAGCCCACCACAGAACAGTTCTGCCCCTTGATGCCAACTTACTTGCGGATTTCCATGGCTTCTTTGTTATCGTGCCTGAAGAAGTCATAGGACTTGTAAGACTTCACCGCCTCCCTGCGATACACTCCTAAGTTAAACACTTCACACACAAAAAGACAAGCACGTGAGACTGACAGCACTGCACAGGCAGATCTCACAGTGCTTTCTGCACAGGGCAGAACCAGCCCTGCACAAGGGCAGTCCCAGCACACACCTTTGGTGGGCACCCCGATCCAGTTGAGGTAGCGGGTGAGCTTCTTGGACACGTAGGTCTTGCCACGTGCAGGCAGGCCGATCATCACGATCAGCGTTGGGGAGTTGGTCATGTAAGAAGCCCATGCTGCAAATCCAAAACCAACCCAGGAGCATCAGCAGCACCGCAGGGTATCTGAGAGCAAGAACCAAGCCCCAACGCAAAGCCATGCAGAGCTGCCCACCTTGTGCCAGTATTTAAAGGGAGGCTACAAAGACCACAAGGGTCCCCAGCATAAGAAGGGCATGGAGCTGTTGTCAGGCTTTAACCCATCAGAGGGGAGACTGAGCTGAGCTCTTAGGCAGAAGCTCTTCCCTGTGAGGGTGCTGAGGCGCTGGCACAGGGTGCCCAGAGAAGCTGTGGCTGCCCCATCCCTGGCAGTGCTCAAGGCCAGGTTGGACACAGGGGCTTGGAGCAAGCTGCTCCAGTGGAAGGGTCCCTGCCCGTCGCACGGGGTGGAACTGAATGAGCTTTAAGCTCCCTTCCCTTCCTACACAAACCATTCCATGATTCCAGGAAGATGGAGACTCCCTTTTGAAAAGAATCGCATGGGGAAAACAAAGGGTAATGGGTACAAGTTACCCACGGGACAAGAGGAAAACTTTGCCCGATGAGAACAATATAATCTCCCCAGGGAAGTGGAGGACTCCCCCAACGCTGGCCACAGTTATGATCTGGCTGGACAGGGTGCTGGGACACCCACTCCGGGTCATGCTTTGCCTAGGAAGATCAGAACGCCCTTCCCACCCCGGGATTCTAAGATTCTCCGATCTGCCGTCTGACCAGACCCCCGCCGCGCATCTCCTAACGGGCTCCCTGGTGCCTCACCGCTCATTAACCACTCTGCGGTCTCCCGGGTGTCAGCTAATGAGCCGCATTAGCCCCAACGCACCCGCTGTACTAATGGGACTAATAGCAACCGTTAGCCTTAAAGCTATTTACCGACCGGGCAGGAGCCGCCAAGGGCGAACGCTGCTTTAAGTAAAACGCTCACGTTCTGGCAGAAAACAGCTCGAGTCCAGGAGCTGGGAGCGGAGCAGCACCGGGAGGCAGGGAAAGAAGGACAAGGAGAAGCAGCGCCGAGCACCCTCGGGAGGGCACAGGCAGGACACCGGGTACCTGCTGCGCGCCCGCGGACGAGGGGGAAACGCGGGTTGAAGAAAACGCGAGCGGTTTTAAGCGCTATCCTTAAATTAAATATATATATCTACGGTTTTAACCCCTAAAGAGCGGCAGCGCGCAGACCCCACTCCGGACCGAGGTTACTCACAGCACTGCTTCTCTCCGCCGCGCAGAGCCCCGGGCCTGCCCCGCGGGCCGCCGCCGTGCCGCGCCGCCGACATGGCTCCGCGCCGGCGCGCCACAAATGCAAATCATATGCAACTCTCTACGTCACACGCGGAGGCGCGCCCCGCTACGTCACGCCCCGCTCCGCCCGGATGCGGCCCAGCCAATGATGGTGCGCGGCGGGAGGTCTCGCGAGAGCAGGCAGGACGGAAGCCGGTCGGTGAGGAGGAGGAGGAGGAGGAGGAGGAAGAGGAGGTGCGGGGAGGCCCCGCTGAGGATGCTCCGGCTGCGGTGCAAGGCCCGGAGCGGCTCCCACCCGCTGCCCGGGCTCACGGCGCACTCCCGGCTCCGCGACATGCAGGCCGCGCTGGCCGCCCTCACCGGCGTCCCCGTCTCGGCACAGCGGCTGCTGCTCGGTTTCCCACCGCGGAGCCTGGACCTCAGTGACGGCGAGCGGCGGCTCGGCGAGCTCGGGATCCACTCGGGTGAGGGCCGGGCCTGTGCTGGGGGGCGGAAACCGGCGCTTTATGGGGTGTAATTAGCTTAATGAAAAGAGGCTGCGGGCCAGCACGCCCCTCATCAGCCGGCTGTCGGGCCGGTTCCTCCCCCGGCGGGAGCTGTCAACACCCGGCTAGAGGTGCTTCCTGCTCGCCGGCAGCGCCCGTCGTGGCTTTACCCGCGTGCCGAGGGTCCGCAGGGCTGGGGCCCGGTGGGTGAGTACTGCGGAGCCTCCTCTGTGGGCTTGATCCGTAAGCTGTGGTGTTACCGGCTGGTCTGGCAGAGGCGGTTTCCCATCTGGATATGGTGCTGTGGGGGAAAATGAGCAGAAGCCGCAATTATAACAATGCAGCCGCGTTGCTTTGGTTTAGGACCAGCAGCGCCTTTAAATCTGGTCTGCATGTAGAAGTGTTCAAGGCCAGGTTGGGCACAGGGGCTTGGAGCAAGCTGCTCTAGTGGAAGGGGTCCTTATCTGTGTCAGGGGTTGGAACTGGAGGAGCTTTAAGTTCCAACACAAACTGTTCTGTGGTGCTGTGATTTCCCTCAATTCCTCCTCTTCCTGTGTTTGATAGGTGATACACTGATCGTCGAAGAGGACACTTCCAAAGCCAAGACTGAGTCACCCGTGGTTGCAAAAAGAACGATGTCTAACTCGGTCAGGGAAGCTGTGCCTGTGCTCGCCAGGAGGGTTGTGCCAGCAGATAACTCCTGTCTCTTCACCAGTGTGTACTATGTGGTAGAAGGAGGCGTCTACGACCCAGGCTGTGCTCCAGAGATGCGCAGCCTCATAGCTCAGATAGTAGCAAGCGATCCGGAATCATACTGTGAGGCAGTTCTAGGGAAAACCAACAGGGAGTATTGTGACTGGATCAGGAGAGAAGAGACGTGGGGAGGAGCCATCGAAGTGTCCATTCTATCCAAGTTTTACCAGTGTGAAATCTGTGTGGTGGACACACAGACAGTCAGGATCGACCGCTTTGGGGAAGATGCTGGTTACACTAAGCGGGTCCTTTTAATATATGATGGGATTCATTATGATCCACTTGAACGTAAAATCCCAGAGTCGGACATTCCTCCCCAGACCATTTTCTCCACAAGTGATGATATTGTCCTTGCACAAGCTTTGGAGTTGGCAGATGAAGCCAGGCGGAAGAGGCAGTTCACGGATGTGAATCACTTCACGCTGCGGTGCATGGTGTGCCAGAAGGGACTCACGGGACAAGTGGAAGCCAGAGAACACGCCAAGGAGACCGGACACACCAACTTTGGGGAAGTGTGACATCTGCATGAGGATGGTTACATCGACTACCTCATCGGTCCAGAATAAAATTCTGGATTCCCAGATAAGCTGTATGTAATCCTACAATTCCGTTCACAGAGCTTGAAAAGCAAATTAACTTAATGATGGCCAGGATGCACAGGTTTGTTATGGCTAGGGATTTATCTCAAGGGATTTGAAGTAGGTATCTTCTCGCATGCTAATTTATAGTACTTTGGCAGGTGGTATACACTGGCAGCTAGAACTTGATTCCTGAAATAGTCTTTGTGTGTGTGAACTGAGCAGACGTATTAAATCAGGCTCATTCAACACTAGCATAAAATCCAGCCTTTAAATTGCTGACTTAATCTCTCTGTATCCTGTTTTCAGGGTAATTAAATTAAGGGTTTGGGAAACACTCAGATCAGCATTATTTATGCTAAGGATTAGACTCTGCACATGCAAGCAGTTCTTGCAGGGGAAACTGCTCATTTGGTGCACACTTAGGAATGGAAAGAGTATCTCCAAAGCTGCCCTATACTATGTTACCATCAGAAGTAGACTGTATTGTGTGTGTGAAGTCATGGCTTTAGAGAAAGAAATGGCCTCTAAGCTTTAAGGTAGCCTTCTTTAAATTAATAAGTAGATGGTTAAGTGTTGAATAAACTTACTAATCCTCTGTAGGTAGTTTTTAGTTGCTTGAAAAATAACTATCAACCCCCTGGTGTTTACACTGCATCAGAACATAGGCATGTTTCTTGAAATAGTTTGGACTCTTATTCACAGTAGTACCTGAGATCCTGGCAGGAGGGAAATAGAGTAGTTAGGGAAGTGACTCAGTTTGTTACATCCATTGAAGCAGACTTGGGTGTAGCTCATGGCCACAGTGTTACTAAGCTGTACCAGATTCCAAACACTGTAAATGAGCACTTTAAGGTCTAGTTCTCACTCCTTCCTGCTAAAAAGTTTTGCCTTTTTTAGAAGGACAGAGAACCCAGAAGGGAGGCTTGAAGTTTCTTCATCTGCATTCTGCCTTAACGTGTTTGATTTGTCACCGGTGACTGTTCAGTGGCGAGACTTTAATCCTGATAATGAAGGGTGCAGTTTAACTTCCAGAACAAAATAAGCTATGGAAACTGCCCTACTTCTTGGACTGTTCACAATCAGGGAAGTTGAAATTGGTTGAATCTATCTTGCCTCACAGCAGTTGGAAGTGCTGTTGAGGTCTTTTAAAAGGTGCTGTAAAGGTGCATATTACTGAAGGGGATTTTGGTTTTTCCTTGAAATGCCTACAACACATGCTTGTTTTAATGAATTTTAAAAGATCCTTAACCTGCTTTTTTTCTGTTGCTGTTTTGAGTTACCTTCCTTGCACTTCTACAAACGGGGAGCAAGAACCTGCATCTTCAGACTGAGGCAGAAATAAATCCACTTTCCAAAGTGGAACTTAAGATCTAGTGTTACCTGAACTGGTGCAGCAAAACCGTGTTTATAGAAGGCATGTTTCACTGAAGTTCTCAGCAGAGGCTCCCAGTTGGACCTTGAAATACAGGAGGGTCCTGTCAAAGAAGGAACGTAATTACAGAAGTGCTTTGCTGAACTGAGGCGTGAATAATTAAGTATAAAGGACAGAATCACTATGGACCAGGTTGCTTTTTAAGTCAGTATTAAAATACATGTTAGCACTATTGGGAGTTTCCTATAGAAAGCGACTTAGTTTCCAGTGTTAAACTTCACTTGGCTTTTAATCTATCATAGGAAAAAACCAAACCAAACCCCCAACATTAAAACCAGTTCTCTAGAAGCTGATGCTTACAAACCTAAGGAAATACCTGACAGTTCAAAGGAACTTGAAGATTACACTGTGTTATAACTACTTGAGATGAAATACTGTCCAGGAATGAGACCAAGAGACTGTCAGTCCTCAGTTGTATTCTCAGCTTTCACATGGAAGCAGAGAGATGCCTTGGACAAGGAGCTGAGCCTCACCATTGCCATCTGTAAAATGGACATAAAACCTACCTCAGAGAGGTGTTCCGGTGGCTGGCTTGGGTGGCTTTGAACCAGAAGTGGAAGATACATATTTATTGCCTGCCATGTTTGCAAATGCATATTGGCTTTGGGGAGCAACACTTAGATTTTAGCTTTGTGTCCTGGATGGATTTCTGCAAGCGTGGAAAAGGATTTTTCTTTGGGGTATTTCTCAGTTGCAGTATTTTGAAGATGAGGGTTATTTAATCTGGAGTGTTGGGCTTTGCTATGTCATGTTTGCGTTGGAAATCTGCTCCCAGAGACTCGGTTCCACTCGAGGGAGATGTGTCAATATCACTGCTTGGATGTTTTCTTTTGTTGCCTAGAAAATAAAATCTCTTTGGTTTAAAAAATGCCCACTGACACTGCTGGAATTCATCTTTGTACGAGCTGATGCTGTTAGACACTGACAGGTGGATTTAAGACAACAAGGATCTGTGGTGCTGCCTGCGAGTCAGAAAACTTTATGTGATTCTCAAACTCTCCCAAAGTATCTGCATTATCTAAGATACAGGTACATTTGAAGTACAACCCCCTCTGTTTCAAGTTCTGGGAATGTTAGTTTTGGGTGGTTTTGGTATCATTTTTACCAGCATTTGCCTGCCCTTAACAATACAGTTACAGAAGCATCACCATCCCGCTGGTAGGATGAACTTCAGCACACCACTGACACATTTACACTGATCTGTTAGTCAGTGTACAGCAGAATGTTAGGTACACCTATTTTACCCTAGAGGTGGGACATGGGCTGGGGTCCTGACAGGGAATAGCATCAACCATACCCAAAGCCTGCAAAACTTGGGCTTATGTCCTTACTGTCATTCCCAATCCCATACAAGTTTAAAATGAGCATTAAATTCCTTGCTGAATACTTCAACACAGGACTCAGTAACTAAATGAGCCCTGGAAATGGGAAGGTTTGGTTTGGGGGTGTGCTTACTAAAAGGTGGATTATTGGTATTGTTTTACCAAGTTCTAGAACATCACTGAAGTAAAGAGTCCTCGTTTCCTGGTGCCAGTCTGGCTGTTTTACCAGCACTACATTCCTTCTTTAATTAAAGAAGAGCCTGACACACTCTAATCATGTGGCCTTTCACAAACATGTATTGTACCAAGAGATACGCATCAACTCGTGGTTGTAACAGCACTTGAAAAGCTTGTCTGAGTTTACGTGCTGAGCAGATGCTGAGCAAGGGCTTTCACTGGTGGAGGCAGCATGTTCCCACTGCAGTAAAGCATGTGGGAGCAAACGCTTCCAACAGCTTTCATTCCCATTGTAACTCTGTGGCACAGCGTTCCGGTACGTGTATCACCCGTGCAACCAGTTGGTGTAACAGCTTAC